AAGCAAGCAAGCAAGTAAGCAAGCAAGCAAGTAAGCAAGCAAGCAAGTAAGCAAGCAAGCAAGTAAGCAAGCAAGCAAGTAAGCAAGCAAGCAAGCAAGCAAGCATGATGTTTAAAGGATGGCGAATCTGGAAAGCAGAAATCAGATCATTGTATGAATAGTCCGTGCAATAAGGCCAACTGAAGTCGTGTTAGAGTAGAACTGTAGAAGCAGTTGGTTGCTTCACTGTCTTGATCCCAGAAGACGGCTCCGGCTCTTCTGGGCCACCATACCCCGACCAGACAGGACCGCCTAATCACAGGTGGATAGGTAGATACTAGATATTCCGGCAACGACTTTATCAGTTCTTTGTGTTCATGATTCACCGGCTCACGCATGGGCAGGGTGATATGGATGCAATGGAGACAGAAGGTCAATAGAATGGAGACAGAAGGTCAATGGCAATGGAGAAAGAAGGTCAGTGGTAATGGCAATGGCAATTACAGTGGTAGTGGATATAGAGGTGGCGGCATTAGTTAGCATTGGTTCAATGTATCTTGATTTCATGTGGTAACTTCTTGTTCGCTTGCTCTTGCTCAACACTGGTCAAGCGGAAGAGGAAGCGGAAGCGAAGCCACAATCACTGGATCACTGGATCACTAGCTCCCCTGCAAATGCATGCTGATGTTGATATCATGGCTCATAAAGACGTCAAAAAGCTACGCAACCTGCTCTGCTCCTCTCGACGAGGCCCATCGCTCACCAGATCCCCGGCGTGGCATCCGCGGTCGAGCAAGAGACGCTGGTTCTGGTTCTGGTTCTGGTTCTCACATGACGCTGCATTCTCTGTCGGGCTTTTCGCCTCGGATCCTGCTCCTCGACAACCGGCCGCGACTTTTCTCTCTCTTGTGGCCCTTGGACGGTTCCCCCAGCAGAGCGAGAGCGGGAGCGGGACCGGGTTGCTCCAGCCTGTCCTGAGTCTGCGGATCCGTCATGGCCCGGTCGGTGACCTCGGTGACGAACACTTCAGCTTGGGGCGCATCGGGCGGCATGAGATCTCGACTTCTCCGACCGGTCAATTTCGAAAAAGTCCGGCTGATGTTGTCGCTTGCCTTGGTCTGCGTGCGAGTTAACGAGTGACTGACGCGCTTGGAGCGGTTGGACGGGTCGCCGTTGTCCGGGACATTCAAGGATGCATCGCTCGATGATTCTGGCGGGAGGTCGGGGAACGACACAACGCTGGTCCTCCGCTCCTCGACGGGTGAGCGACCGCGAGGATCGTCTCGACTGGGGAGGTCGAGACTGGGCCGAGTAGAGCGAGGCTGATTGTCTGTCCACGCGGATACACTCGACAACTCACTCAGTGAGGCATTCCGCTCGGATACTGACGTGAATATGTCCTCTCCTGTTGTGATATGTCCTGGATCCCCCTCGATGGGGACAATCTGGTAGAAGAGAAGATATGGAGTCTCCTCTCTCAACGCCGTCTCAATGTCGACCACGGTGATGCGATTCGGAGCGAGATCGTCGAATCGCATCCACGTCTTCGTGTTGTCGGGACCGGTGGCATCGGCTGATCCCGGCGGCGGCGTGCCCCGAACGAGGGCAATATAATGTCCAGAATCCACCGAGACACCCCGGTGGCACACAACAGATTGTAATGAAAGCTTGAAGTTGCCGTACAGTGCACCAGCCTCCGCCATTTGATCGTCCTGGATGAAATGCGGTACTCCAATCTCGACGGGGATGTCGACCTGCGTATCTAGACGGACGGCTCGGCCATTTGGCTGCATCGAGTACCTCTTCAGGCATAGACCTAGGATCGGCCTCTTGGTCGAAAAATGGGCGGCCACTTGTGCATCATTTTTGGGTGCATTGTCCGTGTACCAAGCTGAAGGTTGTCAGTCAAACTCGGTATGGCGCCTCCAATAACTTACGTATCAGGCTGAAGAACTGCCACGCCGGCATCATGACTTCTTTTCGAACACTTCCGGCCCGGGGTCTTCGGGGAGGGTCTTGCGATTGTACCGATACCATTGACGAATAGCCACTCTCCTTGCGTGGAGGGAAATAGCGCTCTTGGATGATGCTAGGTGTCCGAAGGCGGTTCACCGGGCGCAGGGGAGAAGCATGGTTGGGGGACGATGATACTGGAGTGCTGGATGACGATTCCGGGTCGACCTCGACTGCCTCTACATGCACAGCGTTTGCTTTGTGTATGGAGGTCATGGTGGATCGTCGCTCCATGTACCTCCGCACCTCGATCCGGTTGTTGAAATAGTCTTCGAGACATTCTTCGAGCGTGATCACCTTGCGGTGGCCGGTAGGGTCAGGTGGAATTGCGACCTCGAGGAGTCTCTCGTTGATGAATTTGTGGTCATCATTCGTGTCTTCTCGGCCAGTGTGATAGATGTCCATCTTCAGAGTTAGCAAAGGGAGGTCAAGCTTTCCGGTGATGAAGGTGAATGCCTCGGAAGCATCCTGCTGGTGCATCTCTGCGGCTTCCTGCCAGCCGCATTCGGCCAGAGTATCTTGGAGGACTTTGGTGATGTCGGTGGTGATCAGCTTGCCGGACCTCAAGAGGTTTACCCAAAGCCGCAACACGAATGCCAATTTGTCCCGAGACACGTCATCGAACGAGTTATACAACATCGCCTCGAAACTGTCGAGGCGCGAAAACATGGCGAAAAGAGTCGCATCCAGGAAGCAGGTGACCCCTTGTCGATTCTGGGCACCGAGCAGTTTTGTGTGCGGATCATAGCCGGTGACGATGCCTTCGGAAGCATCAGACATGGCGAGCAAAAGGCTGTATGCTGCCTCGATGTCTCCATCTGCGGCGTTCGACCGGAGAGCCCAGAGGATCTGGGCATGTCTTAACAGAACGCCTTTGGAATCTAATATGCGCTGTCGTAAAGTTTTAATCTGTACGAAATCGATGAGTACAAATCAGATGACGCGCGGAGGCAATAGTAGGTCCATACTTTCTGCTCCTCCGCCTGGGTAGCAGGACTGCCGTGAGCATCAAAGAGACCAAAGAAGTCGACGGCGGAATTTGGATTGACCGGTTGAGCATTCACTTCGGGACTCGACTGTGCGAGAGCATAGGTCAGCAAAAAGAGAACAAGAGAAATCTCACCAGTGTAGGGGACGGTGGAGATATACAGAAGACACGACACGATCTCTGGCCGGGGTACAAATGGTAAGACAGAAACGCTGCATACTGGACATGATTTTGGGTGCAAAATACCAGACGGATGAGGCAATATGGACATGTAGACCGGGGATCACTCACCACTGCCAGCACTTTCCTACTGAGCGGGTTTGTATGATGATGGAAGCTGTCTCGGTCTCGGAGGCGCTTTCCATCCCGCTTGGAAAGGAATCTCTGCACTCCGCTCATGGTCACTGCGCAACGACCAGCGTCGTGTCGTATAAAATGTCCCAACGTGCGGATATGGAAGACGCTTCGATGGATCAAGTATTGGTCAGGGCATACTGACGAAGGTAAGGTACACCACAGGCCAAAATAAAAGTAGCGCCTGAACCGAATCTGATGGTTTGACAGACTGTCGATGATCGAGTCTAGAGTCTAGGAGGCTGGCCAGAGTGCGATGCTGCTCCGCGCCATTTGTGCCCTGTCACTCTCTTATTCGGATGAGGTGAAGTAGGTTTCGGGTTCGGTTTTCGGTCAAGCTAGCAAGAGTCACTGAACAGTCACTGAATACAAGATCAGAATCGAGTGTTTTCGCCCGGCTAAATTCGCAGCTCAACAAATCTCATGGCGCCGAGCGACTGGGGGACGATTTTGCCCCGCGATGGAGTTAGTTTGTAGTTAGTTGTACAGAGATAGCACTGCAATCCCTGCGGTCCGGGGGTCAACCACACAGTCAAGCCACAGCGCCACGACACGCCGCTTTCAGGTTGACTTGTGGCGTACCTTTGGCCGTGTGCCATTGGTTGCTTTACGACCACCGCCAAGGCTGGAAGCTCGACCACTCGCAAGTCGTTCAATGGCATCACGTTCAAGTTGGAGTACCAGACTCGGACGGAGAGCATCCATCAGAGACACAACCGGCGGCCGCGACACGACCTCGATTGATCCTACTAGTAGGGTATTCGACGACAGAACACTAGTCACGGAGTCGTAGCTCCTCCACGAAATCCCTCAGCGAGTCCTTCTCCTCTCCGCACCTCCTCGTCCTCCTCTACCTTCCCACCATGTCGACCATCACACGAACACTACGGAACCTGTGGAGGATTGGCTTCAAGGAATATGGTCACCAGCTACAGTATATAGTACGACTCTCCCCAGCAAGCCATGAAACCAGTATTCTGACCGACCACAGGGTGACACCAAAGCCGGTGTTTTGATAGGAACCGACCGATTCGGCAACAAATACTACGAAAACTTACAAGAAGAGCTCCCTCTGCGGACACGATGGGTACGGACTCTCACCCAGACGATTTCCGGGTCGTGGCGCTAAGATGAGCAGGTCGATTACAGTGCCAAAGAGTACGACCCCAGTGCGATCGAACCGGGCTGGCATGCGTGGATAAGCTACTTGGTCGACAAGCCACCCGTCGAAGATAAAATCATGGAAATTGGCCAAAGACCTTGGGAGCCCAAGGAGCCCAGGCTCAACATGAGCATGAGCAGAGGCGCTTACAGGCCCTATTCGACGTACGTCAGCTCCGCCTCCGGTTTGTACAACAGCTCCGATTGACCATTGAACAGGACGAAGCCGAAGTATAGTGCCTGGAACCCTGTTGCAAAACCCCGAGACGGCTCGACACCCTTCGCGGGAAGAGATGTTCGAGAAGGGGGAGAGTTTGAACCAAAGGCATAAATCGTGGTTATGCTACCGCATCAAACACTTGTACAGATGGATGCATGAGGAGTTTCTCGAGGGTTCTGATGGAAAGAACATAAACGCATGTCTTTTGTTTGCACAAATGGGTATCTCTGATGCGCCACATAAACCAGTCAACATATAACGCCATGTTTTATGTCCTTTCTCATGTCTTTGTTGGACGCCGATACACTCTTGCCGGACCCAGTTCCGCCCGGACCTCGTCAAGTTGTTGAAGTCCAATCTTCTCATTTCCGTTCTTGCCCCGTTTGCCCTTTGCGCCCCGTCGTTTTCCACCCCCTGGATTGGCCTTGTTCCAATCCCCTAGGAAGCCATCCATCATACTACCAAAATCTTCTCGAACGGCTCCCACGTCTGCGAAACTGGTGGTCGAGAGTTGTGACATCTTTGAACGACCCGTCATCCCCGAAGCCAGAGACATCCCCGCGTCCATATCATCGAACTCGTCGGCCTCTTCCAGGGCGTACATCTGTTCGACCTTGTCAAAGCGTGCATCGAGTAATTGCTGGCCCGATGTCCGCGCAAGAGACGATGAAGTCATGGAATATGAACTGGGATTCGTCAGAGCTCCTTTCCGCTTCTTCTGTCTCAGCGGTGTTCCATTCAACGTGTACAAAGAAGGTGTCTTGTCCTGGATGGCCGACGCAGCAATGATCGACTCCGCGGCTTTTGGCGGAGGTTTCCTGGCGTTGTCTCGCTTGAATTTGGCAAAGTCTCGCAGCCAGTCCCCGTCCTCAGCAGAAGCGGTTTCTGCATCGAGAGTATGGTCGTTTCTATCCCCGCCTTCAGTCATGGGTGCTGTCGAGGACAGCTTCAGCTCGGAGGGCTGTGTGGGTGCCTTTTCAGTCGCATCGGATTCCCAGCCCTCATCGTCGTCACCGTCGAAAAAGTTCTCCTCGAATTCTTCCAGCTCAAGTTCGCCATTGCGACCGTCTTTTGCCAGAGCGCCGAATATGTCGTCTGCATCGCTGTCGTCCACATAGGCATCGTCTTCGAGGGCTTCCAGCACCTCCCGTAATCTGGGGTCCATATCGGGTTGGAAGCCCGCAATCTCGTCTGGCACGTTCTGCTGCTTCTCATATGTCCGGTCTTTTGTGCTGGTCGTGAAGGTTGAGAGCATATCGGTGCCGGCCACACTTTGCTCGTCGTCAAGCGACACTTCTCGGAGGGCATCCTCCAACTTCATCGTCTTTGCTTTCGCCTTTCCTTTCCCCTGCACCTTGACCGGCATGGCTTCGATGAAGTGCGACTCTCCTCCGCCCTCGCCGATATCTCGTAAATGTTGCATATAGTCATAACTCGTGTCGTCAAAGTAGACTCCATACTGTGCAGCCTCGCCCTCATTTTCTCGCACGCTCTCGAAATCCAGCTCGTTTTCGAGGTCGTTCAGATGGAGTCCTTTCTTAGTACCGACTTCCTGTGACGACGAGGTAGGTCCTGACACCGGATACAGAGCCCGCTCGCCGGCATTTTCATCGTGTAACGCTGGGTCGGCTTGCGGCCGGTAGAGCAGGTGGAAGGTCTGAGCATTGTTCTTGTCGCTGCGGTCTTTGTCAGTATTGGACCATTGCTGAGCCAGGGTCAGAAACATACATCCAGCGTCTTCGCGGCATTTTGGCTGTGAACGTGCAGGTGTAAAGAGTCACAAAAGGATTATAACAACTTGAACTTGAAGGTCGGGACAGGATTGAAGGCGGTCTCGGGGAACCAAATTCTACAGAAAATACGGTACGACACATACATCTCGACATTACGTAAGCATTCAAGCAGTCTGCGGCGGCGTGGCGCCGCCAAGGTATGGTAAATCCCCCGATCGGGGAACAGGGTGATGCCGCCCTTGCTCACCTCAGCTAGTAGCGCGAGCTGGGTGAGCGATCGCCCATGACTCACCAGTCGTGAAGGACCTGTTGCGTGGGAATACAGTCTTCATTATCGTCTTATTAAAGGTACCTACCTACATGTATCTTGAAGTCACTGGCACGCGCTGCCTGGCAGGTCTTGGCAGTCCTGAACCGTACCTATATAAGCTGCGGCTTTTTCACCCCCTTCAACAAATTCCTCTCTCAAAGTGTAGCAGAAGCCCTGTTATTTGTTGGACTGTGATGAAAACAATGCTCAAGAAAACAATAGCCCAGACTTTGGACCCGGCCACTAGTGAGTGGCCTGGGAGCAGGTGTCAACATGCGGTTTCGAGCAACTTCTTAGTCCCTTCAAGTTGGAGATCAGTCAAGGGCTGAGAACTAGGACTAAAAGCGGCGCCATGAGTTCAGACAGTTTGATCCCTTCCTCCTAGTAGGAAATGGCTAGTTACCTATGTAGTAACTGTACTTCTCAAGAACCATGCGTGTGGTAGTAAGAGTCGTGGAGTAATAGTAAAAGAGAGACAACTCATGTTTGTCCGATGGTTGAGCCTGAGGTGGTAGCAATACTACTAGCAGTAGTATCGTACTTATACATCCGTTTTTGGTGCAGTGTGCCAATTAAATTATCTCTGTTCAGACATTCTCGCCGCCTTACAAATGACGTCCAGCCTGCGCCAGCGATTTATTTTCCTACAACCACCATCCATCCCTACTAGGGCTCTCACGCCCTTCACCCTCCCCCAATAGAGACCATCGACACTCAGAGACTCTACGTGTATCACAGAACCGTATCGCCAAAATGGTTCTCCCCAAGAGCAAAAACAGCGTCGGGCTGGGCAACAGCCTGATGAACGACCGATTCGGCAAGGGCAAAGGCGCCGACCGGAAAAAGGCCACGCAGCAAGGAGGCATCATCCGAAAAGACCATATCACAGGACAATCGTACGTGACGAACGAGTCGAAGGAGGCGGCATGGGTCAAAATGCGCAGTGTGACGGAGCAAGGCGCTCTCGACGAATTTCTGTCGACGGCCGAACTGGCCGGCACAGATTTCACGGCGGAGAAAATGAACAACGTCAAAATCATCCACTCCGACCACAAAAACCCATACCTGCTCAGCGCCGCGGAAGAGAGGGGCGCCCGGAGGAAACACGCCCAGAACAGAGGCAGGTTGACCGTGCCGAGAAGACCCCGGTGGGACGAAACCACCACGCCCCAGCAATTGGACGAGCAAGAACGTGTCAGTCTGTTGTCCTGGAGGCGTGGGCTTGCCGAGTTGCAGGAGAACGATGACCTTCTCATGACACCGTTCGAGCGCAACATCGAGGTCTGGAGGCAGCTGTGGCGGGTCATCGAACGATCCGATCTTGTCGTTCAGATCGTCGACGCCCGAAATCCTTTACTGTTTCGCAGCGAGGACTTGGAGAAATACGTCCAGGAGGTCGACCCTAAGAAGCGCAATCTGCTACTGGTCAACAAGGCCGACATGCTGACGGAGGCGCAGCGGAGCCAGTGGGCGGATTATTTCATTGAGCAGGGAATCAACTACAAGTTCTTCTCGGCCCATTTGGCAAAAGAGATGATCGAGGGCCGTGATGCCATGGAAGAGCTGGACGCTCGGCAACTACAACAGCAAATCGACCGGAATGCGCCCCAGAAAACGGTGGTCAAGAACCTCCAAGATCTCAATCTGAAGGAAACAGAGGGAGAGGAATGGTCTGGTGATGACGAGGAGGAGGATGATGATGAGGACGACGATGAGAATGAACACGAAGACGAAGACGAAGCCGAAGCCGAGACCGAAGAAGAAGAAGGGTCTGACCACAGCGAAGATGCATCATCTGAGCAACTTCAGGAACGAACTCAGATCTTGACGGTGGACGAACTGGAGGCTCTGTTTCTAGAGAACATCCCCGGAGACAGTACGACGGATCGCAAAACCACCATCGGTCTGGTGGGATATCCCAACGTAGGCAAGTCGTCGACAATCAATGCTCTGATCGGAGCCAAGAAGGTCAGCGTGTCGTCGACGCCCGGAAAGACCAAGCACTTCCAAACCATCCATCTATCCGAAAAGGTCATCCTCTGCGATTGTCCCGGTCTGGTCTTCCCCAACTTCGCCACCACCAAAGCCGAGTTGGTCTGCAGCGGCGTCTTGCCCATTGACCAGCTGCGCGAATTCACCGGTCCGGCCGGCCTGGTCGCCCAGAGAATCCCGCAGGCGTTCCTGGAGAATGTCTACGGGATGAAGATCCACACGAGGCCCGCCGAGGAGGGGGGCACGGGAGTCCCCAGTGCTTCTGAGATGCTGCGGGCCTATGCACGGGCGCGTGGATTCGCCACTACCGGCCATGGCCAGCCCGATGAGTCGAGGGCCGCGCGATATATTCTGAAGGACTATGTCAACGGCAAACTTCTCTACTGCCATCCGCCGCCCCACGACCCCGAGATCGACGGCAACGAGTTCAACGAGGCCCTGTATGACTTTGCTCATCTGCCTGCGAAGCGCCAGGCCTGGTTGATTTCCCACAGCGACGAAGCTGGTGTCGGTGTCGATCGCGCAGCAGAGACGGAGACGCCGCCGCCGCCGTCGCAGGCTGCATCGATTCCCAAACGACCTCAAGAAACCGGGAAACGGTCCAAGCAACTTGACAAAGGATTCTTCGCGCCTGGATCCGGCAGTGCAGGCCACCTGACCAGGCCGTTCAATCACCAGTACACTGAACAAGGGCTGCAGCAGAAGGAACTCAGCGGTCGCAAGGCCAGAACCATGATTGCGCTGGAGAAGGACATCGACCCGTCCGAGGTCCGGTTGAACGGCAGCAAGAAGCATTTCAAGGGCGCAAGGACTAAGACTCGGAATCTCCGGACAGGGATTGACGACGAGGACTGAAAATGTCCACTGGCGCGAGCCTAGCTACTCATATTGTTATAGTTTCAAGAGCATCATCATCCGCTCTTGTTCTTGTTCTTGTTCTGATGGCCCTTCTGTCTTGACAGATTGCCCTCTTTGCGCTGCTCTCCGATGCATCTTACACGCATATCATGCCCAAACGAGCAATGGCCAACCCTTCTAGAAAATCGGCGCAATCCTCGTACCGTCGTAAATCCAACCTAATGACTCGAACTCGAACTCGAACTCCGAAGGCAAAATACCAGAATGGCCCTGAGGCCGAGCTGACCAGAGCACCCGGCGCGGCATAGCCTTTCCGTAGCCAGCCCAATATCATCGAGTCAGTTGCTGGACGTTGCTGTGCCATGCTCTGCTTGAGAGGGTGAAAAGCACACAGATAGGTTCATACACTCATACAATCGTTTCGAGGAAGTGTCGGTTCCCTTTTTCTGGTCATTAGCGTCCCTCCAACCAGAATTGAGGCTAGATACGGTCTCCAGAGGTAAGGGCCGAGGCGCTCACGGCAGTGAGGACTGTACATCATTTCAAAAGGGTACCCTTAGGGCCTGATCTTCGCAGCCGTCTCTTGGAAAGCAATCTTATTCGGCCTGCAGAGCCAAATTCCTCGCACGAGTTACAAAGGGAGCGGCACAGTAGGCACTTCGCCTATAGCAGAAGACCCCACCTCTTCAAGCGTCCGGAAGCTGCCAGGTGAGGCGTTTGGAAGGCGGCGTAGCATCGTTGATGACCAAAGTGGGAGTCTTTCGCTCCGTGCGATCGGTAGGCGAGCTCAATAGCACCGAATCAATAGTGCTGCTGTCCCGATGATCGCCGTTCGAGTCTGAATCGGGCGGTGTTTCTGTCCCCGGCAGAATTGGAGGACTCGTACGGGGTCGTTCAATTAAGCTGGGGTCGAACAGTGGGTCGCCCAGTTCGTTCCTCTCTTCCCTACTCTCGTTTTCCTCCGAGAGGTTACTACCAAAGCTGACCGGGGTGGGCGACGAGTAGAGGTCGGAGGGACTGAGGGTTCCAATAACCGATTCTTCCGAGGCTGCGCGGCGATGACCTTTCAGAATGCCCTGACGTGCATGTTCGCTTCTGGTAGACTGGGATCTGCTCGGGGCAGGGCTGTCAGCTGGGGTGTCCAGGCTGGAGAGAGTCAACCATCTAGAACTAGGAGACCTGGCCAATACACTCTGCACCAAAGGCAACTCTCGGTAACTGTTCAAGGACCCTCTGGAGAAAATGACAAGTCCTAAGCAGATCAAAATCAGAATCATTTGCAGGATGGACATTCGCTTTTGAAAAATGACTTCATCTGCGAGAATGCCAAGACGAGCATTGATGGCAAGATTCTCTTGCTGGTAACGTTCTCGTTGTAGCTCAAGCTCGATCACGGTGGATTGCCAGAGTTGGTCGTATTGCTGCCGGAAGTCTCTGAGTTCGTTCAGCACCGTATGGTTGAGGTAGTCCAGGAAAGACGTGGTTTTCGCCAGCTGTCTTTGCTCGACTTTCTGGAAGGCGTCCCGAAGTGCACGGGATTGTTCTTCTATATACTGCAGCGAAAGCGATGAGTTCGATTCCAGCTGTTGCAGGCGCTTTTGGACAGATTTGAAGAACGACTCTTGTATTGTGGGAGCTGGAGGTGAGGATTGTGTCGAAGATGCAGACATTTTGGTGCTGTTGCTAACGGCTGTAGATGATGAGTCTCGTGAAAGGGACGAGTTGCCTGGGATATCTTGTTTATGGGTGAGACTCGGGGAATCATTGGCAATTGTAACAGGCCTCATTGAGGAAGATTCGGTGGTCGTAGTCGAGACGGTTTCTGAAGCATTGGCAACGATGGAGCCAGATATCGCTGTCACTTCTTCCACGCTTTCACTTTGAACGCTGGGCTTTGATTCTGACACTTCGAACGTGCTGGTTGTGACAGTGTCGACTTTTTGGCACACACCAAATGCCTCGCCAGCCATGATCAGACCATCAAACGCGCCTGAAAAGTTGGCAGGAGAGGTGGGCATGGGAGTTACGACGGCCAAGGTGGCTGAAGTGTGAGTGGTACTTGCGGTACTTGACCGGGTTGAAGATGTTACGTTGGGAGTCGAGTCGCCTGCTTCGACGGACTGAACAGGATCTTCGACAGCCTCTGTTTTCTGGAATAGCGATTCAGCCACTGCCTCAGGTACTAGCTCATCCACAGCAGAGCTTTCCTCGCCATCCTGGGAGTCAAGCTCGTCGTCCTCCATCTGCAGCGACTCCAAGTCGTGCTTATAGTCTTCGAGCATGGTTGTCCCATGCACCCGCACCAGACTGACTGGACAGTAGTATTCATTGCCATAGTGCGTGAGGAATTCAATGCGCAAATAACGAGCCCAAATGACAGGATTCTCGACCAAGAACGCTTGAACGTCTCGAGTATTGCGAGCCTCAAATGTTCCTAACGTCTTCCACTTATCGATCTTGACGGGATACTTGTCGGATACACTGACTCGGAAGGTTCGAAACGTTGAGCTGAAGAACTCGAAATTTGCCAGCACGATGGTGTCTATGGAGATATCATCGCACAATTCCAGAATGAGAAATTTGTTTTGCGCGGAACATTCATTCAGCATATAAGAGTCCTTGTTCTTTCCAAGCACAGCCGACGGGCTCTTCGCTTCTGGGTTCGTTTTGAGGACACTTGCTGCACAGTCAAAAGAAGCATAGTTGAATCTCTCCTTGCACGTCGTCCCGGCATCTTTGTTCCGTACACCGGCTCTTGGAGCATGACTCAGTCTGATGCTGCCGGCGCCGTCGTCGGGTTTCTGGCTGCTCCGCGAAGGGGCCTGGGTAATCGGCTCCAGTCCATCTGACACAAATCCGGAAAAGTCGAGGTCGATTTCTGCGTCGTCCCCGAGAGCATCAAGCGAATCTTGCACGAAACTTGGACGTTTCTTGGTCTCCCGATCAATGCCATGTCCTTTGCCCACATAGTCTGACTGTCCAGCCTTTCTCAAATTCTCCCGTTTCCAATCCTCGAATGACAAGAACTTTCCATCCTCGAGAGGCGACTCTTCGTCCGCGCCGTCGGGAGGAGGACCGGCTGAGGTTGTGGGTTGTCCAACGGAGGATGGACTCGAGGCAGGTTGTGTGAGTTCGGTGGTTGCCGTCGCATTGTCCGCCGGGTTCGAGATGTACTCATATGCGCTTGAGACTGCAGAGGTAGCAGAAGTGGTCGGGCCGCTATCACTGTTTTCGAACGAAGTCTGAGTAGAAAAGGGTAAGTCCGCTGAGGTAAGGCTAGACCCTTCGGTCGTACTTGATGTTGGGTTGGCTCTGCGACTGTCCGTCAGGCATTGCTGAGGGAGACTATGGGTGATATAGTTGACGGTGCGGAAGGGACACGTAGGAGGAGCCGGGGCGGTCGTTGATGTGGTCGAAGTGGCTGCAACAATGGCGGCGAGTATGTTCAGAATCAGGATGGTCTGCGCCCTGAACCATCTGAATGGTGGTCTTCCAACAGCCATGATTGAGGCATTGACCCTGTAGATTATCTACATTGCTCACTGGAGATGGGTGTCATGTTGCTTTGCTGCGTACACAGCAGCCAAACCTCAATATCGTCTGCAATGGATGTCGCGAAGGGTGCGCGATTGCCGCAGCAGTCAGTAGGAGTGCAGTTCGTCAACTTTGGAATTCCTATCATGATCCGCCGGAGTTCTGCCGAGGGATGTTCAGTTTGTCCTCAGCTGCTCATGCTGCTTTAAGTATTGGGACTGGCATCTCAGAAGGGTGCCCTCCCTGCGCGATCCTTGCACACCACTCCTATGTACACTATTGTACGGGCTTATGCAGTCTCCTTCAGTCGACATTATACCCATAAATACAGCGGCAATACTCGCACGGTGTTCGAACGCTTGCTCGAATCAGAGAGCTGTCGTCAAGACCAAAGAGCAATCTCGAGCCTTCCTACCTTATGTTGGCTGGTTATTGATAGGACGGACAGTCGACACAGTAGAAGGTATGTTGTGCATCGACTCTCCGTGAGAGATTACTACATTCTCTTATTACTGGCAGGTTAAATCGCTTCACAACTTGACCAGGTGAAGAAAACATATTCACGAGATTGACGCGGAGCGACCCCGAGAACAGACCACACAAGTCTAGTGAACTCTGTTGCCTGCCTGTCTTACGTACCTACCTACGGATGTAACTGCAAACAGCTTGGGTGGTGGAAAGCCGGACCCGCTCAATAGAACGAGGCCTTCGAAGCCCATGTCGAGACTATACTTACGCAATTGTGGAAGAACCAGGTGACCATGCATAGAAGCAGAGGAAAAGGTGACAAGAAGCAATATTCAGCCTCAAGGCGTCATCATTCGCTGCAACGTACCTAGGTATGTTGCAATGCAAAGTTTTTCTGTGGTGCATCAGACTCCAAGCCGTCCGAGTCTGTCACACACAGCTAAGACGTCACGCATTGAACAAAAGGCCCATGTTGTTGTTTGGAAGGGAGATTTGAATTGGCCGAATCCGTCTCTCTTCATACCTTGTGCCTCTGGAATGCCATACTATGGTCTTTGGGAGTTCGCTGGTACGTAACACCCAAGCTTCATAGGTACTGAAATAGCTCACTCCCCACAACTCTTTTCTCCGCCGAGCCTTTCATAGGTATTTTGGAAGCCTTTGGGCCGTGGATGGCAGCGGATGGGCCTTGATGGAGTCGTCTACACAGATTGACAGGATCATCAGGTACGCTGACTAGGGAGAATAGGGGAAGGGATTGTTGTGGCGTGGATCCCAACTTCAGGAAGCTCAAGCCTCTTTTTGGCTTGAATGGGGCAAGTGTGTTTGTTAGTGACTGCGCCTGCCGTGCCTGAGAAAAGTCAACTGGTCTGTCTGACTGAGCAGATTATTACCACGCACGGGTGCATTCCCACCAAAGCGCAGTCATTCAGGGCTCGTCAGACACGGGCATATTGTGAAACCTCGTGTCGCCACTGACGCCACGTCATTCGATGCAGGAACCAACAATCAAGCGAGGCAGGAACCACCGGCCTGTACCGGCCTGTGACTGGCTGCCGTCTCGGGTGGCGCCTGCCCTTCAGTGCAAGGTCCTTCTTCCGCCCCCGGTTCGCATAGCAGTGCTACAACACACATCCACCTCAAATCACAAAATGGAGCCTCCCCCCAAGGCACTGCGGACTGCAATCTTCTCTTGTTTTCTTGCCCACTGCATTATTCAAGTCATCAATCGTTTTTGGACTGCGCCCATTCCACATTCTTCGGTGCTTCCTTTCCACTCACTCACTTTTTCACAAATCGCCTTTTCCATCTTTCTCATCACCTCTTCATACGCTCGCTTGGATACATCGTTCCATTTGAATCAGATCTTCTCGCCAGATCTAGACACCACACTCGCTTACACCGTGAAATATGAAGGCCTCACTCCTCGCCCTCCTCGGCGGAGCTTCCGCTGCCCTCGCGCAGGTCCGCGGTTTCAACTATGCTTCCCAGGGTCAAGACTACAACGGCTTCGCCAGCCAATTCAAGACTGCTGCCGCCCTGGCTGGTGCCGACGACTTCACCAGTGCAAGACTGTACACCATGATTCAAGATGGCACCACCGACACCGTCATTGATGCCATCCAGGCTGCCATTGACACCAAGACCACTCTGCTACTCGGCCTGTGGGCTTCCTCCCCCCAGGACACCTTCAACAACGAACTTACCGCTTTGAAATCCGCCATCCAACAGTATGGTTCTGCTTTCGCTGATCTTGTTGTGGGTATTTCGGTCGGCAGCGAAGATCTCTACCGAATCTCGCCAATCGGTATCGCACAAGGCAGCGGTGTTGGTCAGACTCCGGATGTTCTTGTAGACTACATTGGTCAGGTTCGCGACATCATCAAGGGCACAGCCCTCGCCAGCAAGCCTGTCGGTCACGTCGACACCTGGAACGTGTTTACGAACAGCTCCAATGCCGAGGTCATCTCCAACTGCGATTTCTTGGGTCTGGACGAGTACCCATACTACCAAACGGCCGATGATAACCCGATCGGCAATGCTGGTGACCTTTTCTTCGAGGCCTACGACAAGGTTGCTAATGTCGCCGGAGGCAGACCTATTTGGGTCACCGAGTCTGGCTGGCCCACTTCTGGTCCGGTCTCTGGCGAGGCCGTCGCCAGCGTTGACAACGCCGAGACCTACTGGCAGGATGTTGCATGCGAGCTTGAACACCGGGGCATCGATTTCTGGTGGTACATCCTTGCTGATGCTGGCGCGACGCCATCCTTCGGTGTGAGCAACAACGGTGTGCCGCTTTACAACCTGGCCTGCAATGCCACCTCCGGCCATACCTCCAACTCAACCTCCTCCACGTCCACGACTTCGTCCGCTGCTGCCAACTCATCGTCAACTGCCACTGCCAGCGGCTCTCAGACTTCGAGCACGTTGAACGGCACAGCCACTTCCGCCATCGGTGGATCTGGTAGCTCCGGAACTGCTACGGCGGCCGGCTCCGCCATCACAAGCACTGTGGTCGCGACCGCTTCTGCGGGTAGCACTGCCTCTGCCTCTGGCACCGGCTTCAGCTTTGCTACAGGTGGCTCCTCGGGTGGTTCAAGCGCCGGCGAGAGTGGCACCGCCACCTCAACTGGTGCAAATGCCGTTTACACCGGTGCTGCGTCCAAGGTCGAAGGTTCGATTGCCGGCCTTGTGATTGTTGCTGGTGTGGCTGCCTTTGCTCTATGAGTATCTTGAGGCGAATCAGCATGGACCAGCATCGTACGACGCCCGCATCCCGTCACCCAGGTCCTCGGGACCATGTTGGTCACCGTGCAGCATCGCGGGGGCTTACCAGTCCTGTGTATCAATTCTCTCTGTCTTGAATGCATGGTCCCGCTGTCAGCCATGACTGAAACGGGCATGTTGTACATACCTCCCATGTGAGGACAACGTATATAAAATTGGGTTGGCATCATAGGCATCATAGGCATCATAGGCATTGGCGTTCTTGAAAATCATAATGATATACATTATAACCATCATCTGAGAATGATCTATTTGATGGGACAATTAGACTGGTCGTTCATGGTTCACCTAATGTATAAGTTCCATAAATATTCCAATATGTTGCCATACTACACCAGAGATGTGGTCGTCTTGGAGTCGAGTTCATCTGTTGGTGGCCGTTAAAGCGGCATGAGAATCCTACCGACGCATTGCATGGTGGCCCCCGACAGAAGGTGGCTACAAATTCCTTCGGGATCCGTAGAATGTTTTTGACGTCCACATATTCTCTTTCGAGTTCTTGTCCAGCAGTATGGGGAAAAGGGAGCCGCATGCGAGGTAATCGTCGGTGAAGGCCTGGTGTTGACATGTTGGCCCGGAGCATTGGAGTGCGAGTTTTTCGAAACTGCGCTCGAAGCAGCAGATTCCCATCTCCGCCAGCTGCTCGGACAGTCGCCAGACGATTTTCGTCGAGCTCTCCGCCGACGGCTCATCATGCTCCGCCGTCAACGGCACATCCTCTGGCGGGCGTCACCTCGCAGCTTGACCATGTCGCCCCGCGGTTCGAGATCGACCCGGACAACATTGAGATCCTCGATTCCCCGACCGCATTCTACGAGACCTTGAAGGTAACACGATGTCCCCCTCAAGAAAGAGCGCGACGAGACAAGGGGGGAGCCATGGCTAAGTTGCTTTGCAGGCGAAAATCCGAGGCGCGCGGCGAAGGATCTACCTCTCGACGCTGTACATCGGCAAGACGGAACATGAATTGATCGATACCCTGAGGCAGGCACTCGAGGACAATCCGAACCTCGAGCTGTCGATCTTGACAGATGCATTGCGAGGAACCAGGGAGGATCCTGAGCCATCATGCGCGACTCTGCTGGCGCCTCTGGTGTCGCAGTTCGGCGACCGCGTGCGGGTCTCCATGTTCCACACGCCCAATCTGAACGGCTGGAAGAAGAAATACATGCCTAAACGCATCAATGAGGGCTGGGGTCTCCAGCACATGAAGCTGTACGGGTTTGATGACGAGATCATGTTGTCAGGGTATGTAGGAGTCCCAACTGGTATCACTTCTGTTGTTGTTGTTGTTGTTTGTTTCTTTTGCATTTGTCCTTATGTCAAGAGAGGACTCTGACCATGATCTATACCTGTGCCTCCACAGTGCCAATCTGTCGAACGATTACTTTACGGATCGGCAGGATCGATATCACATCTTCTCCTCCAAGGAGCTCACGGACTTCTACGCCGCGGTCCACGAAGCTGTCTGCGACCTGTCGTACACGCTGGTCCCGTCGGACCAGCGACCGGGCGGGTTTGAGCTCATCAGTCCGCACGAACGTGGCTTTCCCGATCCGCTGTGGCATACGAAACGGTTCAAGGCGTACGCAAAGCAGAGCCTCGAGCCACTGATCCACAAGAAGGCACGTCAGAAGATGTTCCCCGTGCCGTTCACCAAGGACAAGACATTCGTGTATCCGCTGGCTCAGTTTGACATACTGCTCGGCCAACCCAGGAACATGGCCTTTCTCGACTACGAGTTTGCGACCTACACGTCGACCGAGAAACCCGCTCTCACGCGCCTGTTGACGAATCTGGCCGACGACGAACGACTCCGCAATTCCACGTGGACGTTCACGGCCGGTTATTTCAACATCGATCCGGATATCTGCGAGCTCTTGATCGCGGCGGCCCCAGAGGTCGGCAAGGCACTCTCGGGGCCAGGCACGGAGGACTTTGAAAAAGCCTGCACCGTCATCACGGCGTCACCCTGGGCCAATGGCTTCTACGGCAGCAAGGGCGTCAGCGGCATGCTGCCGGCGGCGTACACTTTGCTGTCACGCCGGTTTCTTCGCACCGTCGCCAAGGCGGGTAAAACGGACGTGATCCAGCTGAAAGAATGGCGCAAAGGCACTGTCGGCGAGCCCGGCGGCATGACTTACCACGCCAAGGGGCTTTGGGTGACCCTTCCACCTCAGCCCGGTCCCGGAGCCGATTCTGCTGCTGTGGTGGATGAGACGGGACCCAGCATCACCGTCGTTGGCAGCAGCAACTACACGAAGCGCAGCTACAGTCTCGACCTGGAAATCGGAGCCATGGTGGTCACCGGCGACGAAGGTCTCAAGGCGCGCCTTAAGCAGGAAACGGAAAATCTGCAGGCCAATGCCACGGTTGTGACACAAGACGATCTGGCCAAGATCGACCGTCGTGTCGGTTTGAAGGTCAGGCTTGCGCTTTGGCTCGTCGAGGCTCTGGGCGGTGCGCTTTGACGAGTGTCGGGTGTCATTGTCGACCATCTTCACAGCTTGATCGTTGTTTGCGGGCCGAACGACTGCGAAAACGGGACGCGATTTCCAGTGTGCAGGCGACTGGGGGCATGATAGATGCGGCTCCCTCTGAGACCACCGACTCTTGTGTCCTCAATCCGCATTTCTCTCGAAGCAAAATGAAAACTGTTGCCGTGACTGCATAGAGCCGAGCATCACAGCTGCTGGTACTGTCCCGCTGTTGATGTACGCAGGGGCTTACTTTACTAGTTGTGGACGCAGCAATTGGCCGAGCACCGCGATTTGGACTTCTACAGAAGATGAAGAACACCGCGGTTATGTTCTCTCCCGATCCATCGCGGTTGCTTATCGACCAAGTGGTCGCCAACAATCCAGAAGAGATAGAGTTGCCTGATATCCTAGCCAACCACGACTGAACTGATTATACAGACGCATTCGATCCCATTAGAGTGATCGATATAGGCCCCATCCGTCCCGGCCAGCTCTCTTGCCCTCGGTCAAATGGCTGGTTTGTCGTGTTATGATGGCGAGATAGATATGAAGAGCAGGTGCTGGGTTTTGGGCAGGACATTGGGGTCGCACTCACACCGGACTCTAATACATGAGAAAGAAACAATAGATGCTGATCCAGGATCTTCAAAAGCACAAGGGAATGGCTCTCTGATGGCGTTTGTACCACTTCGTGCGGATGGAAGACCACCAGGTAACTAGGCAATGTGCCGAACTGGTAGCAGCACTATCGTACGAAAGTATTTAGACAAGACACGATACCAAGCCGCGGCGGCGGTACAATCGTCAGCGCAGCGCAGGAAACGAAACACACTCCTGAAAGCGCAGATATCTGTGGTCGAGTCCGACCTGTGAACGGCTGAATGTTCGATGCGCGTCCAGCAAGATATGGTGCGACTCGGCAATTTGCAAGAAAAGATCGTAGTGTTGTTCGCGCACCTCGCAAAAGCCCTGTCTGCATGCACGCTTGCCAGGCCAAGCATCGTCGGTGAATTGACTTACAGTGTGACAGAGGATCATTAGCGGGGAGAGCCCATCGAGTCCGTAAGGTCGCAATGGACGGACACAGGCAAGAGAAGAAACCATGCGATCCTCTTGTCTGAATGAAAAGTCGGTATATACACCGCCACCCGAGAGAGAAAAAACTGGTCGATGGTGGAGGGTGGGAATGGCTGTTGGATGGTGTCGCTTAGGAATCCTAGATCGAGACACCGTATCGAGCGGCATCGAAAACTAGCAGATATCTTTCTTCGGTCCAACTTACCGTAAATAGTCTGAGGAGACGTACTGGCGCCTCCAATGCCCGGTGTGTTCTTGTAGGCATCAGTCGGTGGAGGGCAGTGAGTGAGTCGGCATGGAAGAAGAGGAAAACCTGGTTTGAGAAGTCAAGAAGACGACCCATTGTGTGTTCGACGCTTTTGTTTCAAGAAGATTGTCAACACGTACGCTTCGACGATCAGATACAGGCGACCCGCGTACGGGGATGATCAATCATGTCGCAGAAGGAGCCGTGGCAGGATGAGCACTCGTCGACTCTGTATCAAATGTGCTTGACAACGACGAAGCGCAGCCTTCACTGTTCCAGTTCGGCATGAATGAATGTTCGTTGTTAGAGTAGGCGCTGTTCAGGTCAAGTTCATGTTCGGACTGGGGAGAAAGCCCAACAGGCCAAAGCTAGGAAATCAAGTCGACCCACTCACTGCCAGTGCACGATCGACGGGTTGGTGGAGGTGACGGCGAAAGGAACCAGTTACTTTGCAGGACCAAGAGCAAGTACCGGCCCGTCTCGCCGACGGACGCATGCTACTTGGTATCCATAGTAGATAGATAGGATTGCAGCTCGCCTGCCACTCGACTACCTCTGTACTCTCTATGCGAGCAAGAGGGGATGATTTGTCTTCAGGACCTGCTCCTACTGCGTCGGTGAGACCCAGTTATACCGCATAGAGACTGCATCGTGGTCTTCAAACAGCCTTGTCTGTGGCTCGTCTCGACCGGAGGGCCGTAGTGGGACAAAAAACATAGATAGGCGCTAGACACCTTGCAGATGAAGGGGAAAATGCTCTGGCACTTATGCACAGTCTGCATCTCTGGACATGTCCACTGGGCCGCCAGCTGCATTAGACCACGCCGCTTCAAGGCGAGAGGGACGACGTGAGTGAGAAGCATCCTTTGTTGAAATTGCAATCGAAATTTTATATGTACACCGACAGTTGGGCGAAAAGAACCCATTCTCAACGGCAATGATGGTGAGTTTGCCGGACTTCCAGATATTGTGCACTGTAGATTGCAGCACCGGATGTATAATGTAACAATTGGCCCGTACACAATAAGATGAGACATCGGGAGACGAGCGGTACGTGATCTTGGCTTCGGTGCAAGTCCCGACTACTGCCAGTGCCCGATATGTTGTTGTGTTGGGCTGAAACAGCAACCCCTCGTCTCGCATAGTCTTCGAAACCGCCAGTGTCAGCGCCTTTGGGGACTCGGGAATTGCAGGAGATGAGTTGTTATGGCCTCAACAGCCAATCAGTCTCTGCGCTCTCACGTGCCATCCAGATAGCTGATGATGGTCGATAACAACAATCGTATCAATAGGAATGATACCCCTCAGCTTCATGTCGCTTGGTGGAAGGGATTGCTGATCAGACACATGTCAGCATATTGACAGGCCGCAGTTGCGTCGAGTTCTGCCACGCGTCTGTCTCGGTTCTCAGTGTCGGACTACTATTGGCAGCGTGTGAGACCATGCTGAGATCCCGAAACTGATGGAAACTGATGGAATGCGACATGTCCCAAGTCCCAGAGGATCGCCCGGAAATACTGGCCCCTGGATCCTATCAAAACATGGTCACATGACCTGACCCGGGGCTCCTGATGTCAGTGCTGGAAAAGGGTGCGATTTGCACCTCGTAGATACAATATTGTCAGGCTCCTCTGGATGTTCTCAATCCGCTGTTCAAGAGGGATTGAAGGACAACATTGCGTCCCTGTTGGCATTGATCTTGATGCTGTACAGAGTACAGAACATGTAGTCCCCTTTGGGCACGAGTCTGTTCTGCGGGGAACACCTAGGAACCGGATCCTAAGGAAGAAAGCCCCATCGTGAGCAATTAATACGAATGACATCTTTTCTCCTTGTTGGACTCCATCAATGAAATGAAGTCGACGGAAAATAACTCTAGGCACCCTCCGAGCCGAACAGGCCGATGTTGGCTGTGGGATGGTTGTTGTTACAAGGTGTATCCATACAGACACGGGAGCAATTATGTCGCACCGAATATGGCAGCTTAGCAGACTTTCAGAAAGCTGATGCGCGAGTCCTGCTGGTTGGCTCTTGTAAGGAGGTTTCAAAAGAAGAGAGACCAATGGCCCTCCCTCCATAGATGCAGCATGCTTTGCAGTGTCCTGTTCCTGTTTCTGCTGCGTTCTCTACCACTGCAGCCTTGAGGGGAGGACCCTGAGGGCTACGTGTTTGCGGGTCGGCCGTTTAGGAGCAGCGTCAGGCAGAGTACAGGGTGTTCTGTACTGTGGTAGGCTCGTGGTTACCATGGCGTGACTATTGGCTCAAGGACACGGAGAGGACAAAGCGTATAGCCGAAAGCGGAACACTGCTATCGCGGTGGAGGAACACTGGAGCTCCATCAGAGGATCGTGAGCGTAACACGTATGAACATGTCTTGGTTGAACTTGAGACGTTAGATCTTGGGCTGATCTGAATGCGGCCATCTCGAGCTCCAGCTGTGATGCCGTGATGGTTGAAGCCTTGTTTGCTACAGTGGCACTGCCAGCCAGCACCAAGAAATCCACCGTATGGCGCCATCCCTTTCAGGGTGCGGCGTGGAATGGAGCACGCAAGACGCGGGCAGCCTGGTAATTGTGGTCACGCTCTAGGAGGAAATTGCGTGGTGCAGCGGGAACAGAGGCCACTAGTCCTGAGGCAGCTTAGATCTGTAGCTTATGCAGAATAATGCATGACTAGTGGTTCTTCTAATAGGAGCATGGGAACAGGCATCAGAGACCAGCGACCCCACCATGCGCTTTCTCAATGGCCGTTCTATCTGCCCGCCAATTCCATGACCTTCCAATCGATCCGCGTGATTTGTCGAGTTGCTGCACGACCTTGCTGCCCTCCTGCGCTCGGTCCCTCGAAGCTCCAGGTCTGACACTGCTCATCGGTCCAGGCGCTGCTCGTTGTCCGGCGGCGTCGCGGCATAGGCTCCCAGGGCCTCTCTCTTAGTGGTGATTCCCCCCAGACTTGCTCAATCAATTAGCAACCCACTTATGCCAGGGGCCTGTTAGGCTACCGCTACTAAACCACTATGAGCTACTACGGCACCCACGGGACCCATCGCAGCGACAACAGGTGGCAGATACCGACACCGCCTCGCCGGCCGTAGGTAGTCTCGCATGCCAGTGTGAGTGTCCAGTCCTATCCAAGACCAAGACCAAGACCCAGACCCAGACCCGGACCCGAGACCCTCCCCATCTCCAGCTCTGCTATGTTTACCTCACTCTCCCTCCCATCTTATCGCCTCTGACTCTCACCGCACCTTCAATCCCATCCTTCTGCAATGTGATAAAGACAAGATCCTCGCGAGCTCTCATATCTTCTCTTACCTCCAAACATACCAAAGCCGTGTCTCTCCTTCGCCATTTCTCTACGTCTCGACGACCGTTCCTTCCTGCATTCCTCAGCTGTCACCGGGCGACACCTCACCCCACTGCTCTCACTCCCCACCTCCCCGACCTACAGAGTATACCACTCATACGACTCGGGCAAAGAGATCACAGTTGTACCTATAACTCTCCTATACCTTTGAGCTGTGTGCTGTGTTTGGATTGTCGGTGTTAAAACGTCTACCACTCTCTCGAGTCCTGTCGTCGCTGTCGAATCCTCGGCTTGCTGGGTGAACTCATCGTTGTGGTGCTCTTGGGCTTGCACCCCCGAGCTGTCACCACAATAACATCATCTTGCAACAAAGGAGCCCTCCAGTCCTTTGAGACAAAGGCGAATCGACCGTTCTCTCCTATACATCGATCCATCCGATCTGATTCTCGGTCACTCAACCCAGCATCGGTGGCATCTCCTGTGGCTGCCTGTTGAGAGCATTGTCCTCCCTGACACATCTACGCTCGCCTACCTTCTGCTCCACCTATACTACGAGTCTCCTTACCTGCAGCACTCTTCTCAACTCTCTCTATCCTCAACTCCTTCTCTCGCTATCCTTTGGCTCTGCCGGAACAAGACCCAGCCTATGACCATGACGCAATAAATCGACGCTCTTTACGCTATCAGTGCTTGTTCGACTGCACAACGGGCCTTGAGGCTCTGCGTCATCGATCAGCTCTCCTTTGTTTTACGTTCACGACCTATACCTCTCTATGAGCCTCTGACCACACACGACGACTGGGAGTTTCGCGGTTTCTCTCGACTAGGTGTTCTTACACATGATACGGGTGGTTGAAGATTTGAAGTTATACGGTGGATTTATGATTGGTGTCTCGGTTTCTGCATTCGACCTTGTCTTCTCCCATTGAGCACAGCTGCTCGCCCACGCTTCTCACAAATCCTTCCTGTCTATACGCCTGTGCAAACCTCTTCCGTGCCATCCCCCGTCGTTTCTATCAGGAGGGCAAAAGCATCTTGGTGGCGGACTTTGTCAAAAGCGAATAGACCACTTCTCCTCTCAGCTACACCTACCGCCATCGGTTCGTCATGGAGTGCATGAAAGATCGCTTCCGTAAGGATGAGTTGCTCGATGGCCGATTCAGGACCATTGCTCCCCTCAATCACGGCTCCTTTGGCATGGTCTTTCTGGCTGAGGACACTCGAACCGGAGAAGAGGTAGCTATCAAATGCTTGACCAAACCCTCGGTGGCAGCTCACACCAACTCGGTTTCGAGTGCAGATGAAGGTGCCGAAGAACTTGCCTGCCACGCCATCTTGAAGTATCATGATCATCTGGTCAACCTCATCCATCACTTCGAGACCAAGGCTCATACCTATCTGGTTCTGGAATACTGCTCTCAGGGAGATCTCTACGAAGCCATTCGTCTAGGCCATGGACCCCTTCAGACTGAACACGTTAGACGTTTCATGCTGCAGTTGATCAGCGCCGTCCACCACATGCACATTAACGGTCTATTCCACCGCGACATCAAGCCTGAGAACATTTTCCTGACCAATGACGGATCCTTGAAGCTCGGCGATTTCGGACTGGCCACTCGAAGCCTCTGGTCGTACGAGCCCTGTGTGGGAAGCGACCGATACATGGCACCGGAGCAGTATGATCCTGCTGGTAATGGCTACTCGCCGGCAAAGGCAGACATTTGGTCAATCGGGATTTGCTTGCTCAACGTCTTGTTCGCTAAGAACCCCTTTGTTACGCCAACCGAGTCGGACGTCCTCTTTGCTGATTACGTTCGAGACCGCCAGTCCTTGTTCGACATCTTCCCCGGCATGTCCCAAGATACCTTTGAGATCCTGTCCATTGCCATGGCCCTGGACCCTGCCAAACGTGACCTTGGGGCCCTGAAGCAAGCTGTCCTCCGCGCTGTCACTTTCACCACGGATGACGACTCTTTCGATGAGTTTTGCGCCGAGGAACGGGATGTCGTACGAGCCAGCGCCAACCGCGAGCCACTCCGTACCCCGTCACTCCAAAGCCCTCACATGGATGGCGAGTCGTTCCCATGGGCCAAGGCGTTGCACTCAAGCCCCCAGCGAAAGCAGCAACAACTGGCTTCTATTCCGGACATGTATGAAGAGGATCTTTTCGCTTCCGAGAAAAGCCTCAAGCTTGGTGAGTCCTGGTTTTCCGGTCACAATAACACGCCTTCCCTGTCATCGGTCTACGACTCGGCCTACGGCTCCTACAAGTCCATGGCAATCAAGCGCCCATCCCTCCGCCATCCACCGCAGGCCGACCCTGTACCTATCCCTCATTCTCTTCCTTCTCGCCCCTCGCGGCCCATCCCTACCATGTCTTCCGTCTTTGGTAAGAAGGATGATTTTGTGGCCAAGAGCTGGAGCGACATGTTCGAGGAGGATGAAGAGGAATTGGAGCGTGAATCCGCCTTGGATCTGCGTGGCGATCGGGCTTCCCGTGGCTGGAGCCATGAAAGCAACAAACGTCACCTCCCCGTTCCTCCTGGAGTTCTCACCGAGTCCAAGAGTCGGTCCTCCAGCAATGCTTTTCGCAGCCATACTCCCAAACCAACGTCGCCGACTAAACTTGGTCATGCTGCGAACGAGAATGATCCTTTCGCAGGGCGCGACCGTACACCTCGACATTCACCGAAGCAGATGCCAGTGGACAAATGGGCGGCTCTAGGTAATCGACGACGCAACCCTCAAGCGGAGACCGGGCCTCAATCCTGGAGTACCAAGAAACGCTCATTCACCACGGGTTCGCGCAAGAGGCCAACCAGCATGATAGGATTTGACCAGCAAGCTTCACAACGCCGGGACAGTCGAAGCAAAGCTCGACCGGCATATCTCAACCAAGATTGGCGTTCAGCTAGGGCGATCGACACGTCATCGGCAGATGAGGATGACCATGAGTGGGTTGGAGGATGGCACAACTTCCATTTGTGATAACTTTGGAACATGACTTATTGTCGGCTTTTTCTGAAGATGCCTGAGTGGCGCTGGTGACGTTTTGATTGAAGGGGATTTGCAGCTGGTTTTCTCTTGGTGGTTGCAGACCACGTGCACACATACTCTGATCACCCTCGTTTTTTGTCTGGGTTGGGACCTTGACACTGATGACTTGTGCAAATCAACACGGGTTTGTTTCTTGACGAGGTGTCACGGAGTGTACCAATAGTACTGAACAATATCTGGACAATCCATGGCTTTTGGCGTCCAACAGGCGGGAGTGGCTGGGGTATGTTTTCAACTGTCAGGAAGTTCAGAGACGGCATCATCCGACCAAAAAAAAGACAGGTTCAAGACCGGTTTCACCAAAAGGCGGGTTTGGAGAAGCAAAAAAATGGAACAGACGACAAGAAGATGGGTGCATTCAAAACTCGCAGCAATTCTCCCCGCGACAATGGGACTTTTGTATCTTATTGCTGTGGAATGCGAGAAAATGACATGTCGGTCAAGACCGAGTAGCTAGATTCGTTAGGTACTTGCTTGCCCCAAGCAGACTTTCGCCTTTCAAGAGTGAAGAATGGAAAATTATAACCCTCAGAATGGTTCCCATGTAGTCTTTTTGAATGAGCTACCACTGTATGGACGTAGTAGGACAGGCATATGCTACGTATATGGGTCTATCACAATTATAACAGACAAGACAGGGAAGTGTCTGTCTACTACCTCGCAGGGACTTGGTGGTTTCCATCTCCCAGACATGGCTCTACGAGGGGAGACGACGCAGCCAGATAACCAAACACATACATTATTATATATAGATTAGGTTGATGAGAAAGTTGAATGATCTAGCTTCTTGAGATTGCGACTGAGATTCAGCTCCATCCGTGTTTCCATGAACGAGTTTATTAGTATTTGAACCAGAGAGACTCAAGTCTACTTACTAGTAGACTGACTGACTGTTCTCCATTCCCGTTCTTCCCACGACATGAGATTCACGACACGAGATTCCGCCGATCGAATTGGACTTAGGAGTTGAACTGATTGACTACATACAATACAATACATTACATTATATTACATTACATGTAAGGAGAGTGAGAGGGAGAGAGAAGGGATGGGAAACGAGATCGATGCAGATGATACAGAAGAGAGAAGCAACCAATCCATCAATCAATTCAGTCGCTATCACTCAAGACCAGTGCGTCGTCGACGCTCGCGCCGGGCCCATTGCTCGTCGCGCGACTGGCCAAATGCGCCGAGGTGGTCGACGGGGTGGTGGTGGTGGTTGCGTCGAGACTATCCTCGTCGTCTTGATCGAAATCTTCTTCATCTTCTCGATCATCTTCGTCGTCTTCGTCTCCTTCGTCCTCGACGAGTTCATCTTCTGTGGTTTCTGGCCCTCGTCCTTGTCCTCGTTCTCGTTCTCGGTCTTGGCCATGGCCATGTTGGCCTTGTCGTTCCTCTTCCTCGGCGTATTCGTACTCGTATTCTTCTTCATACTCGTACTCTTCCTCGAGGTTGGATTCTTCTTCTTCTCCCTCTTCTTCGAGAAGGTCTTCATCGTCTTCGAGATCTTCCCTCTCGGCCTGGTCATGGTGTGCATCGCCACGGTACGGGGTCGGGTATGGATGCTGATACTGATATTGACCGTTAGAAGTGACTTCCACCTGCTCTTCCTCCTGGTGGTGGTCGTGGTAATCTGGAGCCGCTCTCTGAGTGGACTGATGATCAATATCTTCGACGAGTTCTTCATCTTCATCTTCCAAGATTTCTTCTTCTTCTTCACTTTGGTGTTCATCACCTTCGTCGACTTCGTCCTGCACAATCGAATTAGACTGGAGAAGGTCGTAAGGATTCCGACTCCGAGTCCGACTGGTCTTGGTCTGGTGAAGGTGCCGATGAGCTTGCACATGGACATTTGCACGTGCAGTTGTATCACCATCTCCATGTTCCGCTTCAGACCGCGGCCGCTTCGACGCATGATGATGTGCGCCGAGATCGACGTGACCAAAGGCATCTTGACCCTTTCGTCCTCCGCTGCTCCCCAGGTCTGGATCGATGTCTTCTTCTGCTTCTTCTTCGTCGTCATCATAGTGCGATCGTTTCTTTCCCAGCGTCGTCGTGTCAAATGATGTTGCTGATCGTCCACCGGATCGAGATGGATTGGTCGCACCCTGGGCACTAATATACCTCATCGCACTTCTCTTAGACATGGCGACGGGGATGTACTCGGAAGTCGACCGCAGAGGTCTCGTTGCTAGACCGTGAGCACCCGTGGCGCGAATCCGTCTTTCTGTCCGGGATAGACTCGTCCCAGGTTGATACTCGTAGCCATTCGTCGTAGCCAGACCATGAACACTTGTTGAAGGAGCATCAGCAGCAGTGGATGTAACAAGACTGCCGCCTCTCGTAGCATGACTGTCTCGACTCTTGCGGAATTCTTCCTCCTGCTCCATTTCCTTTTCGAGGCTGACTGTCTGCTCCTTGAACCATTCGGCTTGTTCGGCCATCGCCTGGCGCGCTTCTCGAATCTGCTTGAGAAAGTCGTCTGCACCGGTGGGAACGCTGGCCGTCGTCTTCGGCGCTGTTACTTCAGATGTCGGAGAGAAGACCATAGAAGGGGTGCTGCCGGCAACAGGAGGTGACGCCGCAACGGCGCTCGTAGTAGGAGAACTCTGCAAAGAGACAGACCCAGCAGGGCCCGTACGTCTGCTTGATTTAGCCAGGATGGCTTTTCTCTCTTCTTCCTGTCGGCGCTTTCGGAGGGCAACTGTCTCGGCGGTGTCCGGTATAATGGAGGTGTCGGGATCAATACCCATCGCCTTGAGTCGGAAGTAATCCGTGTGGGTTGTGTCGACCTTCTGAGCAGACGTTGACTGGCGCAAGTCATGGTTGCTGGCGGAGCGGCCCAGCGTCGATTTGGCCGAGAAGATCGAAAGGTGATGCGCCGGTCTGGACATGGTGGTTGCATGAAAGCTTGGGACAGGTGGCAGCGAGCTTCTGTCGGACACGTTGGACTCGGAGAATGTGCCCATCGTCCTTGATCTCTTGTGCCCTGGATTTGCAGGCGTCCCAGGGCCGGTCCCATTCTGCGAGACGACACTGCCGGACTGTGTTTGTCCAGAGAAACTCTTCCTCTTCTGACCAGCCACTTTGCCAGGTGCATGCTCAGATTGAACACTGCTGCTGTGTTTGGATCTTCGGGCTTCGGTGATCTGTTCCACCTCCTTCTGTAGGCGTTTGGTCTCCTGGGTGGCGCGAATGATTTCCTCCAATTCCTCTTCACTTCTCTTCCTGCGCTCCTGCTCGGCTCTCATCGTCTGGGCGAAAAGGTGGCGTCTGTTCCTGGCCCGCCGGTTGAGGCTGTTCTTCCACGCTCGTGTTCGCCAGATGTACCCGAATTTTCTCGCCAAAATCCGCGAGCGGATTGACGCTGTCGAGTGGTTAGCAAAATGGATAGATAAGTGAGAGATTGCCAAAAGTACTTACCGACAGCAGCATCATGAACCTCAATTTGATGCTGGTTGAATGCGGTCCGAATGAGATCAGGAAGCGTGTATTCAATATAATGCTGCATCAATCCATTCTTACGGAGCAATGCCACCTGGGCAAGATTGTCCACCAGTTGATCCCGATCTGCTTGAGTGAACTCAGGTTCGGCCGAAGGAGCAAGGGGAGACTGCGACGACACTGTGTTCTCCTGAGCTGCTTTCAAGGAAGAAGCGGGCTGTACCGAAGATTTGGGGGATGGCTCTGCTTGAGATGGAACGGGTTTGGCTGGGACGTGATCGGCAGACTTGGACGTGGGTAATTCGACAGGTGGAAATTTGAACCCTTCTGAAGGAGGTTTGGATGGTGCTTCGGAAGTCGATGGGGGCTGCGAGGAGAAGAAAGTTGGCGGTGGCGGAACGGTAGCTGTCGTTGTCGGCTTGAAGGAGAATGCTTCGGTGGTAGGTGGAGACGTGAGTGGTGATCTTGCTTCGTTGGATGTAGAATTGGCTTGAGGAGGCGCTGGGTTCTGTTGTGAAGCCTGTGGTGGGAAGGAAACCGTCGGCGCTGTAGGGAAACCAGTCTGTGGTGTGGCCAGGACTTTGGATGCTGGCTCGGCGGGTTTGGGGGCCTGGACAGCAGGCTGCGACGAATTGTCGAATGGAAATGGTGTTGCTGGTGAGCTGGCCTTTGGTTTTGACTCTGTTTGACGAGATGATTAGCAAGAAACACACAAACAGACTGGACATGTCTGGCGTCGATACGCATGTACAACGCAGCTTGCAACAGGAAATAGAAGCATACCTTCAGCTGGCCCCGAGGTGGCCGGAAAGACTGCGCGTGGGCCGAAAATAGGGGGAATAGCAGAAGACGAAGATGTGGCCACTGCCGGTGTGCTGGCCGCAGCAGCAGCCGTGGTGACTGTCTGTCCGAAATTGAAACCAGTGAAGGTCGGTGTTTTGACAGATTCGGCGCTCAGAGGAGGTGTCGAGGGGGCAGGACTGAACGAGGGCTCTTTCGGCGGGTGAGCGAAGCCTCCAAAACTGAACGGTTCAGCCTGCTGCTGCTGCTGCTGCTGCTGACCGGCGGCAGGTTTCCCAAATGCGGATGGCGAAGATGTTGAACCAAAGCCGACAGAAACACCGGAGCTGCCGAAGCCAGACGATCCGAAAGCTGTCGGTTGACCGAAACTCGTCGCTTGCCCGAAAGTCGAAGTCGACTTGTCCGCCGGTTTGCCAAAGACAGAAGAAGGGCCGGCTGCAACCTTCGGCGCGAATGACGAGGCTTCGGGATTGAGTGCAGATCCGAAGGGAGAAGACTTGACCGCACCATGAGTGGGTGTCGCTTTGGCTTCAGGGACGAACATGCTCTGGTCGTCTTCTCCAGCTGCGTCTGCATCATCTTCTGCGCCTTCTGGCTCGTCCTCCGGCTCTATGAGGCCCTGTCGAATCGCCTCAGCCACGGGCACGGCGTTGATCGCGGCGGTCAGTGTGCGGTGATAGCGTTTCTTTTCGACATAAGTGCGTGAGAACGACTGCCGATTGGGGATCGAGGATTCTGCGCAGACATCAGAAGTGGTTCTTGAACAATGTGTGGAGGATGGAAACACCCACGATCGAGAGAATGAGCACTGTTGGACGTCACGTCGAGATACTCGTCGCCGTTTTCGTCCGTGGCGAAGTAAAGATCGAGAGCGGCGCAGAAGTCCCTCGTCTCTCCTTCGGTGTCAAAGCCCAGGAAGTCTGTCACGTCCGCGAGACTCCAGTCTCTGGACTTGGATTGCTGTGCTGCCGGCGCGCTCTTACACGATCGCCATAACCCGTCCAAGGCGGCGAACCGAACGGGGGCAAAGTAGATCTCGGCCACGCACGCCATGATGTATGGCACGGCCGGTGACGAGAGGATGTTCCAAAAGGCTCCCACTTTACTCTGAGCGATTGCAAACGGCTCTGTAGGTCGCAGAGGGCCCTGTTCGAAAAGGGTGTTGCCTGCAGCCATGTACAGCTTGAGTGCTGTCTGCACCCTCTTGTCGTCCAGGAGACGCTTAGGCCAGGATTGAATGCGATCTTCGAGATCTGGATGCTGCGACTGGAGCTCGAAGATGATGCAGTACGCCCGGAACTCGCCTTCATTCGCGAAATTCACCCGTTGCCGATTGTCATCGTAGTAGTAAAGCAAGGAGAGCAGCGTGTTGTTGAGTTGCTCCCGTTCCTGGTGTGCGTCAAAGTGTTCACCCTCCATGAGATTGTCCGGGTTAGACAACTGATGAAGCGACAGGATATGGAATCTGGCTATCCGCTCGTAGCAGTCGACGGCGATCTTGACATCGTCCACGTTGGTGACTTGTTGGATGGAGAAGTCGTTTCGAATCCCGCGGGTCCTATCCCAAACAAATTTGTGGATGGTGGCTAGTCGTTCTTCGCCCCCAATCACCTTGTCGAGGAGATAGTCCAAAGTCTTTTGGAGGGTCGCCGGAGTGCGTATGTCAGAGGGAAGCTGTTCATCGTATCCGGCAGCAGACCGACGGAAGCGTTTCACCATGCGGTCCTCTGAAGGGATGTCCTTCCCGGTGTCTTCATTGTGGACCTGCACTCCCTGGTCAGCATTCGGCCGAGCAAGGTAGACATGACAATCTTTCGACCTTTTCCGCTTTGTCGACCATGTTCTGCACGATCCGTTCGACTCTTTCGAATTCCGGACACATTTCGGTACAGGTGCCGACGGGGGTAATGGCCTTGTCGAGACTCGTCTTCTTCTCCGGATCTGCAAGAAATCCATCGCGAATTGCCTTGGCCCTCTCCTTCTCTCGTTTTTGTTTGAGCTAGATGTGGATTCGTACGTTAGAAACCTATAGATAAGGCCGCGGTCAGCAAGACGTGGATTTTATCGCAACGCACCTCTTGGAACTTGGCGAACGCGGCGTTCATGAAGTCGCGATGGTTGGAGGGCGCAGGCGAGGATGGGCGAGAGGCTGGTGTCGACGACGGCGACGACGACTGCTGAGGATTAGGCGCATTGAAGGATTGCGACAGATAACCGCGTCCACGACTGCGTCCTCGCACACTGGGCGTGGAGGACACCGTAGTCGAGGCACCGCGCCCTTTCTCTGGGTTAGCAACCAACGGTTCAGTTTCGCTGAGAGACGAATAGAACCCACCTCTTCCTGACGGTGTGGATGTGCCATTTTCCGACCCTCTCTTGATCGTCCCTGTCCGCAGCTTTTGTAGTAGCCCGTCACCACCGGTGGTCGAGACATTTGCGCCGCCTCTACCTCGTCCGCGACTCGTGACAGACGGTCCTCGCGAACTACCGCGACCACGAGTGTTGGACAAAGACGAGGTCGCTCGTCCACCCCTTGTTGAGCTGCCACCGCGTTGACCGCGGGTGGACGGCGCAGACATCGGCACAGTTCTGGGCGATCAACATCGGAAGACTGTCATGACATAGTGTAGTCGTAGATGGAGGCAGAAGGAAAAAGCAGGATGAGACTTGGGGGTGTCGAATCTGCCAGACTGATGGAGGAGACCAAGAGGAGATGGGTTTTTCGTGGGTAGGTAGTGAGGACGAGGAGCGACGCCGGTGAACGAGATGTTGAATTGATGTTGGCGGGTAGTAGTCGACAGGGAGTAGAGGTTTGGGAATGTCGCTTCATCAACAGTCCATGTTCGAGTTGATGCCACGGCGACTGACTGAACTGGCACTTGGATTCAATTGTCCGCAGCGCAGGCAAATATTTAATTGGTGGAGATGGTGAAGGGGAGAATACAACACTACTAACTACTGCTAACTAGTAAGCTTAACATGGCCAGCCTAAGGACCCTAACTTAGCCTACCACAGCCTAAGGTCGCCGCCTATCAGATACTAATATACCTAAGGTGCCCTCTTAAGCCTAGGGAGCCTAAGCCTAAGCCTCCTAGGCTCCTTAGGCCTAGGGTAGCCCCTTTAGGGTTCTCCAGGCCTTGGGAGCCTTATAAGGTGGATGTTAAAACTCTCGGGTCATCATGCTGGTCGATTGGGGACGCATTATCTAGGTAAACCCATATCCAACATATAAACAAGTCTACAGTAGTATGTAAGGTATATACTCTGTACTTAGGTAGGTACCTACCTAGTATTCAACTGAAGCCTCTCTTCTCTATAAGCGCCTTTGCTGCTTAGGAAACAAGGAATCTTCCACACCTTGACACTCCAACATCTAAAAACATATCACTCCTGGAGGACAACACAACACCCGACTCTAATTAAATCGATGTACCGTCCAAGAGTCATCGTCTTCAATCGTCAATCAACTTGATTTGAAACTTCTTTTGTATCTCATCTAAATGACAAACAACACCCGGAATGTGCATCTCAATCTCTCACTGCCATGGCATGGCGCCTTGTCTTGTGACGGATACCAGAAACCAGAAACCAGAAACCAGAAACAAAAACAGAACAAACCAGAACAGGTGCGCTCGCCGAAACCGAAACACAAAGATTCCCCGGGAAAATGAGTGCATGACAGTCTCGTCTGGCCTCCACAAAATCTGGAATAAAATTCGCATGGTCGGCATCGAGGGTTCCATCATCAACCATCAGACTCTCCGACGCAACTCAGCATTACCACGCCAATCAAAGCTTTTTTGGCCCGGAATTGTGCTTGCTCCCTGTTGTCCTATTGTTTCATCAGACCTGGAAAGAAAAAAGCACGCCGTCGATGGAGAAGGCGGAGCCGAAAACAAAGAGACCCCCAGTATCAAGAAGAAAATCATATCGGAATGGCGTGCTCAATGCTCAATGCAGAATTGCCCCGACTGACTGACTGACTGACGCTGGCAATACGCAATGAAGCAGAAACTCGTCAATCGACCGGCAAGGCGAGCCTGAAGAAGGCCACTTCACATTGCATCAAACATTGTCATCACGCATACCCACCATCACCGACCAACCGACCGGACACGGGGATTTTTGGCCGGCTGCTGATCTCGACAAGCTCACAATCGATAGTATGAGCCGGACATCATATCCATCTTCAGTTCCTGCTGCGATGAAATGCCAGGTTGGGATGCGTCAATCCCCCGAAGCGGTAGGTTGCGCTGATTGCCATCGCCATATTCATGATATTGCATGGGATTCATCAACGACAGGCCACTCTGCATGCTGCCACCCATGTCGTGCTCGATCTGACCATAGAACGCATGGCCCAACTCCGGGTTGGTGACAATATGGGGGGTAAGACCAAAAATCTGCTCCAGCGGCACTGGTCCCATATCGCTGGGCATCATCCCTAGCCAGCCTTGCGAACTTAGAGAGTGACGGGCCCCATGTGGTGCTAGACAGGCTGACATGTCCCTGCTGGCATGATGGTCGAGAACACCTTCAAAGGCGTTGGACGGTACCTGCTGGGGTATGCCGACCATCATTCCACGGCCACTGTGTGAAGGATCGAGAACGCCCCTCGGGTCACAAAGCATCGCATCATTCATTGGGCCGGCAATGTTGTATTCGCCCTTCAGTGTGCCCATGGCCATATCGTGCTGGAGTTCCTGGGCATGCTGCGGCGGCATTGCGGACGTGATCCGTCCAGTATGTCCAGTAAGCCGTGGTTTGCGCCCGGCCATACGACGACTCCTTGCACCTTCGCCGGCCATTGAACCTCGGTGCCTGCTGGCTTGCAGATTGCCATCATGAAGCGTTGCTCCTGGAGAATTTTGAGCTGACGACACCGGTGTCACGTCGGCTTCCATAGCCGACTCCTCATCGTGGGACCGATCGCTTGAGACTGCTTGACGGAGAGTAGTCTGCCCAGAGACCTCATCCTCGGAATCATTGGGCGTGAGTCTGAAGCCGTCACTGTAGTCGTTGAGGAAGACCAAAGAATCGCCGTCTAGGTCTGTCAGTCTCGCACGTTACACCAGTATTGGGCCACATTGCCTTACCGATTTCGCCGGCTTCATACTGTTCCATCATCTGTCGAGCTCTGGCAATCTGCTCCAGGATTTCCCAGCGGTCTTCTCTCAATTCATCCCGCTTGACCTCCAGGCACTCCAACAGGTCACCTGCAGTGACCGCTTGTTGGTTCTGCAGGTCTGGCGGGTTCGTGATGATGGGCTGTGGCGTTCCCATGATGAGGTGGACCAAAAGGCTAGTTCTGTCTGCACATTGTTAGGTCTGGTCATGCTGCAAGATGCGATGTTTGATGCCTACCTTCACGTCCGATATGATCGGGCTCGCGGTGAATGACATCTAGAGAGTGGGATGTCAGCCAAAGCAAAGAGATAGGTGGATAACACGCGAAGTGAGTTGAACTTACTTTTAGGCCAGTATGGCGGTTTGGTGCGATTTGAATCAGCGGGTTCACCACGGGGCATCCCGCCGTTGTATGGGTGGGTTGACTGCTGCGACGGCGGTCAGCACATCGACCTGGACAAGCCGGGGTTGGACAGACCTTCTTGGGATGGATCTTTTTGATCCAAATCTTGGCCACTAGACGGCACGCCACCTGTTGCAAGGTCAAGAATGCCTGCTCGAACCATTGCTCCAACTTCTCCCGGTCGTCAACTCGGATTTGGGACGCAGGAGTCTCACACACCAGTCGGACTCCTTGGCTGTTTTGATGAGTTCTTGGTCTGGCAGGGTTCCGGGGATTGATCGTCCTAGAACGATGCCGCTTGGGAGGCCGCTGGAAAGTATAGGAGATCGAGCCACTCGGCATCTTGGAGTCTGTTTCCGGGAGCTGCTTTTGAAGCTTCGAAGCTTGTCTGGCGGATGCAAGGTCTTTACCTAGGCCAGTCAGCACAGTCGCCTTGGTCTCCGAGCAGGACATGCCTGTCATCATAGCGCGGTCGCTCAGATACTGGACAAAGTTTCCATGAGCATCCCCGAGGATCGTATGTCTGTGCTGCCTCAAGTTGGGTGATGCTAGAATCTCGGGACTGCCTTTCTTCCCGGCCACCAGCCCAATGAAGTCTTCGCAGCCTTCAATAAGCTTTTTGATCTCGTTCTGGAGCAGGTCAGCTTGTTGTTTGGGTGAATGAAGATGTGTCTCCCGCTTACAACCACGTATCGCTGGCTGGCCTCCTTCGAATCCTTAGCGAGTTTGGGCCCGTCTTCCGGTTTGAGAGGGCGCGGATCGAGGAGAATTTGAGGGGAATGCATTGCCATCATTTCGGCCGACCTCTCCATTGCGACGAAGGCGTCCTCACTTCTGGTGGACTTGGGTGGAAATTGATGCGAGACGCAATATCTGACTTTCGATGGATGGTATCGGCGATGGTGCAGCCCAGGTGGTATCCTCGGCCGGCAGTGGTCCTGTCGACGTAGAGTAGGCGGTCAGCATGTTGAGAGCAACGTTGGATGATAGCCCAAGAAGGGTCGTTGGCTTCAAAGAGTTGGGAGGGAGCTCCAATAATCGCAGGTAAAACAATAGCAAGGTGAAAGGCGAATACATATCGCTGCCCATACCCCTGTCCCTCTGCGTTTGGGGTAAGCCGGCCCCGGTAATGGGGTGAAGTGCAGTGCTTCAGATCTCCCAGATAAGCGTGCGGCACGGTCCTCGGGCTCTAAAATAGAGCCCTGTCAAAGTCAACTCTCTTTTAGCTTCTTGACTTCATCTCCACAGTTCGACGTTGCCAGTGTCAGACCCTCTCTTTGCAGCGCTAACGGAGACGACATGCCATTGCAACTTGTCGCTTGAACAACACCCAGATGCAGCATGAGACTGTGACTAACCTTTCCTTCGTCTGTCGAAATGGAGACACTCTCAGGTCTGCGAAGTGAACTAACGCTGTATGGTGAACGGCGTCGAATATGTAGAATCGGTAGCTGTGGGATCGAACGGGTGGCTTGAATGGAGCTAGGCTTGATGCCGACAATGTTTGCATAGAGGAATGCGATAAAACCTGGAACCGCCGCGAAAAAGGACAAAAACAAAAGACGAAGCCGACCAGTTTGGGGAGACTGGGTTTACTCTTCCGGCCTAAACAGCCATCGGGTTGGTTGGTGGTGATGGTGCTGTTGCTGTTGCCAATGCTGGCCTTGGTGTCGAGAAGGATGAGTGGTCTGTCTTGTCGGGCGTATCTAATATGAGACGGAATAACGATTGACTTCACAAAAGTCAACGAGCGCTGCGCCGGGGCGACAAGAAGATCGAAGAGCGACGAGACCGATGCGAAGGGAGTAGACCAAGAGGCGAGATCGAAGAGGAGCAAGAGGAAGCTGGGATGTTTGCTCTGTTCCTCTTTCGGCTGGTGAATCTCTTATCTGGCCGACGGCACGATCGGGCCTATTGACTAGCCGGGTACAAGGAGAAGGTCGAGGGAAAATGGGGGTGAAGGAATCCCGGGCGGTCGAGACGAAGATGTATATGGAATTGCCAATCGGGCGAGGCCTGCAAGCAGCCAATTAGCCAGGACAGCGGCAGGTGGAAGTCGAAGGGCAGCATTGCACCGACTGAACAGTCGAGGTCGACACCCTCCTTCACAAAGACTGGGTGACATACTGGGGAGGCGGAGAGGCTGTGTCCATCCAGCTCATTGATTAGCTACTTGCTCTGCCGAGTTGTTTGGATCTTCTGCGGTGCCCGGTGTCTGGCAAGCTGGAGGAGGCGTCAACTTGTGCCCCGTTGCACCAGCTGCGAGCCTGACAGTCTCTTGCCATGGTTGTAGAGGATGGGTGCCAGCGGTCATCCTTCGCCTGTCCGCTGGCCGAATGTCTGCAGGACGCGGAAAGGGGGATGGCCGGGGAGATGGGAGAGAGGAGATTTTCTTCAGTCAAGATGTCGTCGGATCAAACAAGCTCAAGCTCATGCTCATTCATTGCTGGCCGGAGACGGAATCTGCAGGTCTTTGTGCTCTAGGGGTCGAGGCCCGGAAAAGCGAGAGGGATGACTTCATGAGCACTCAAGCCTCGAGGAGAAGGAGGATAGTAGCAGGGGAAGATGGATAGGTGAGTAGTCGATAGAGAGAGGGACCTGGTCGTCGTTCGGTTGTGCAAGTAAAACTGAGTAGTAGGACAAGGGGGATTGAAGCACTGGCAAGTCACGCTGGGCTGCGGGTTGCGGGCTGCGGGCTGCGGGCAAACATGTTACAGGCCTGAGCCCGCCTAATGGAAAGCCGCAGTGCCGCCGGCCAGCAGATGAAGCACTCAGGCTGCAGCCCACGAACTTTGCAGCACTGCACCACTGCAGCTGCAGCTGCTATACTCGAGCTTCTCTGGACCTCATCATCTCAGCATCTCTCAGCCTGCATCCATCACCTCTGCAGCCAGCAATGCTGCCCCCAAAAGCACTGGCAGAGCAAACCAGAACCAGAGGGCAGACCAAGACAGGCTGTAACCAGCATCAGCAACGACCCTTTCCGACAGCCTGAGTGCCACCACCCTCCCTCCTCCTTCACGCACCTCCCACTTCCCACCTCCCACCTCCCCCATGCTGCCTCCCGACCGTGACACCATCCATGATCTAACCTGCCCACTAGGTACTAGTAGGCAGAGTCCACTAGTCGAATTGAAACCGCCTTCATCCAAGCCGTGTGTTCCTCGACCCCCGTGGTGAGCGCGGACAAAGGTCAGGGACCCGGATTCCGACCTCGTCCAGCAGTCTCCAATGTCCAATGTCCAGACTTCAGTGTCGAATCCTGCTCGGCTGCAGTTTCGTTTCGTTTCGCGGAAACAACTTGATCTGTTGATTGTCAAGGTACTAGTACCCCCTACCTACCAGACCAAACGCCGCCGACAGACCGACGTCCTCAACCTAACACCGAGGACCACGCTGTGGAACAAGTCTCGAGCACATCTGAGCTCCAGCCAGGCAAGTCTGTCCTGTTCCCGCGTCATGTCAAGTCACCCGATCAAGGACGTCAGCGGTTCAGCTGATGGCTGCTCCGAACCAAGGATTGTACCGTGCCTCTTCCCTCCTGCCTCCTCTTCAAGTTCCTCGTCGTAAGCACAGAAGCAAACCTCGAGCGCATCCGCGATTCGAAACGACCCACATCCCGTCCTCGCTTCCTCGGGAATCTGAAGCTACCCAGCCCGGGCTAGGACGAACATACCTAATCTCGTGCTCCGGGAGTGTAGCCCGCATGCACGCGAGACAGAAAGAGAGAGATAGAAGCAGGCAAGAATACCCTAGCATGCGGCCCGGAACAGCCCATGAGATTGTCCGCCTTTCCGTCCCAGGTTTCCTCATGCATCAGCCAGCCATTCGCGAGCGGTGGCGAGCGAAGGAATGACAACAGCCCACTGCCACTGCAGCGTCGAAGTCGATGGCGCGGCACTAGGAGATGCAATGATGGACTGTCCAGGGGAGGGCCGTCTTTCAGTTTGACATCCACGCCCATCATCTGATCCGAATTTCCAAAGTGCCAATCTGGCAAGCCAATCGTACGAGAAGCGCGACAGTTTTGAACCCTTGTGAATCCGAACTTGCCGATTCTCGGTCAGCGTCTGATACTGCTCCAGAGATTCTAGGTCGGGCAGGCTGTCGATCAGGCGATCGATGAAACTAAACTTACCTCGGGCGATCTTCCCAGTCAAGTCCAACCGAGTACCACCCCCCCTTCCCACCCCAAGACCCCAGGTGAGAGGTCTGTTGTTAGCAAACCTCGTTGCACAAACTGGCGTTGCGCCATCATTTCCGCCGCCTACGAGTTTCTTGCCGCCTCATGTTTGGACGCCCTGCTTCACCACTTTGCACAACCATGGACGGGAAGTTTGGGTTCAGATCGCGACGGGAAGGGAAGAAAGATGGATGGTGTTTGCGGGGGAAGACCAGGAACAAACAAGAAATTAAGATACTGCACTTTTTGATTCGCTCGATGCGCCCAGGCCCTTTGCCAAAGGCGCGATCTTTTGTCCCGTCGGATGCAATGGGATACGTCCCGCCAGAACCGGGGTGTTCCATGCCCAAATTACAAGCCTTAGCCCCTCCAGCGGCTGCTTCCCAGGATATTGTGGGCTAAAGGTAACGGACTCGACCAGCCTTAGGCGAAGACATTCAGCCGATTGATGTCGCGGGGCCTGATTTGAGATTTCCCACGTGCTGTCTCACTCTGGAACGGTCATCTGGTACAGCGTACTCGCACACGGGTAACAGGTACATGGTGGACTGAGCGGATGCATCGCTGGCACAGGTACCTCTACCCCAACGTCCAAGTCAGAGAACTTCTGTCCCTCGCTCTGCCGAACGAACCTACCCTCAAACCATTAGCACCTCATGGTACACCATCCGCTCGGGGGTAATCACGGCGTGCGACGGTGGAGGCGATTTGTCCAACTCTGGAGACCGGGAATCGAAACGCATGTGCGGAAAGAAAGGCGGCAGATGCTGACCTGCAACACCCCCCCTTTTCGCTGACCCAGAGTGATTGGCCTCTCGGCGACTGTGACACAACAAGACCAACTAACGATGTAGAACTCCATTGGGGGCGGCGGACTTTTGGGTCTTCCTGACTGGTTCAAGGTAGACGAGGCGAGAATGCCACGCATCCTGTATTCCCTCCTTTCAGCCGCTCCCGGAGCTGTATGAATCTCCAGTCTCGACTTCCTGGCCCTGTACGCAGGGCACAACGGGCATCATGTTGACCCAGGCCTGGAGTGAACAGCGGTGACATCTAAGATCTGGGATCTGAACATTCTATTATCGGAGCGCACGAGGTACCAACGCAGCGGTACCCAGATTGGCCCGTGGGATGTGATGGTATTGGTCTTGATGCATTCATTGTACGGTGGAGCCGCGGTTATTGTTTGTTCGCGACCGCACTACCATTGCCAAACCCGTCGAGAAGGCCAGCCTCCCGGACCAGTTCGTAGAACAATCCGCGCCTTCTGATCAGCTCCTCTGGGGTGTCGAACTCGGCCACTCGTCCTTGCTGCAGCACCACGATCCGATCCGAATCCAGAATAGTGTTGATACGATGGGCAATGGTGATGATGGTACGGTTCTCGAACATGTTGCTGCGCAGCGTGGCTTGAAGCATCTGGTCCGTCTCCACGTCCACGGCAGCAGTGGCCTCATCAAGCACCAGGATGTTGCTTGGGGTGAGTAGAGCCCGCGCGAGAGAGACGAGCTGCCGTTGTCCCTGGCTCAGATTCGAACCTAGATCCGAGATCGCACGGTCAGCGGAAACATGTCATGGACATACAGGGGTCGAGGAAATCCCACTCACCAGCTTCGTGCACCGTAGCATCCAATCCGCCAGGCATGCTCGAGACATACTCCTTCAGTCGGGCGTGGTCGAGCACGCTCCACAGTTCCGTATCGTCGTGGACATGGCGAGGATCCAAGTTGTCGCGGATGGTCCCTTCGAAAAGAGCGGCGTCCTGAGGAATGATGGCAAGACGTCTTCGAAGGTCGAGCAGGCCAATCGTGGACGTGTTCAGACCGTCAATGCTACAGTGACGCAGTTAGTTCGCTGGTCGCTCGTGTTGACAGGCAGATAGTCTTGCATCGGCCCGTGGAATCGGAAGCAGTACTCACCTAATGTGTCCGGTCACTGGCTCGATGATCCGGAACAGTGCAAGAGTCAACGAGCTTTTCCCTGCTCCTGTACGTCCCACCACTCCGATCTTCTCCCGGGGTTTGATGCTCAGGTTGATATCTCTCAACACCAGATCGAGGCCCTCGCGATACCGCGTCGAGTAATCCTTGAATGTGATCTGGCCGTGCGCCGGCCAGCCAATGCTCGGTCGACTCTTGAAGATGACCTCGGGAGCTTCGTTGGGCAGGCTGGCGTATTCGAGCACACGCTCCACAGAAACAATGTTGGTCTCCACCTCCACTGTCTGTCGCACGATCCAGTTCAGTGACTGTGTGATCTGCAGGGCATATGACATCTAAGGGTCGTCAGTACTGAACCGTGGTTCGTATGCAATGTGCAGGGTTCCTTACCGCAAGGCCCACCATGCCAGCCGACAGGGCGCCTCCAGTTGTCACCGTGATGATCGCGAAAACGGCGGCCGCCAGGATGATGATAGATCCGATGAATTCCAAGCGAACCGCCAACCACCGATTCGCGCTGATGGAAGGGAAATATGCCCGTAGGTTGGCGTCCATACGCCACTCGTTTTCCATGAGGAAGCGTAGCTGTTGCCGAAATGCACGGATGGTGGACACCCCTCCAAGGGTTTCCTGGAAATGCGCATAGATCGGACTTCGGCTCACGCTGTCCAGTCGTTTCAACTCGCGCGAGGTGCGGAGATAGTATTTTTGGTATAGCACGTACACCGCCCCCAAAGGCACGACTAGGATCAGGAAAACCGGTGTTCCAGCAGCAATGACGCCGATGGTGAAGAAGGCGCGAGCCGTATTGACGAAAAGCTGCCTTGTCAGCGTGTTATCAGCATGGACAGCGTTGGTGAGTCTTACCATATTGAATGTGCGAGCAATGACTTCATCAACTCGGTAGATGTCACTACAGAGCAGTCAATACCATGGAAGAAACGAGCACCGAGTCACCAACGCCACGCACCTTGAGAAGCGGTTGAGGATGCGACCGACAGGGGTGGTGTCGAAGAAACTCATTGGAGACCGGAAGATGGCGTACGCCATTCGGTCATGTAGTTTTCTCGAAGCCTACAACCATGTGAGCTCGCCACCTCAATTGATACCCAGGGACAATCAAACCTCAATTGAGCAGAAAATCCAGAGAAGTAGGGTCTGTCAGATGTCAGCCATGGTCACTGTGCTACATGGAGAAGGGGTCTAACGTACCTGGACCACGACAAGACCTGCACCTCCGATTCCGAACGCAAAGTAGATCCCAATGTATTTTCCCACTTCGGGATTGGAACCATACGACTCGTTGATCTCTGACCATCGCTTCAGCCAAAAGCTGCCTCCGATCTGAGCAGTCTGAGCGGCGAGCAACGCCAGCATGTAGATCCCGACGGCGATGAGGTTGCTTTCTTTGGCGTAACTGGTGTAGACCGACCACTTGACTTTACCCTGCTCGGATGTCTCTTTGTTTTGCTTGCTCTTCAACCCGCCCTCTTCGTCCGTCATGCGACCCATGGGGCCTTTGAAACTTGCCGTGGAGGCTCGTCGCAGGGTGTTGAAGCTGGTTTTCCGCGCCGTCGATGGCCCGTTTGGACCAGCGCGAATTGGTGCAAGGTCGCCAACGCGTTGACGCGACTCTTCTGCCTCTTCGACATCGTATTCGTCCTGAACCGCACTGTCCACAGCAGTGGTAGACTCATCAGAATCCGTGCCTTCGATGCTGGGGCTCCGTTCGCCTTCCGACTCCTGCTGCTCCTCTTGAATCGCCGTCTTGATCAGGTTGGCAACCTCGCCTCTCATGGCCATGAGCTGCTGGTAAGTGCCTTTCTCCAGAACTGTCCCATCACGGAGCAAGTACATGTAGTCAGCCTCCTTCAAAATGTTGATGGCGTTCGTGGCCAGGACCCTGGCTTTCCCGCCCAAGAGGCCGTTCGGGCCCAGCACGTTGTTGATCAGGTGGCGTCCAACGTGCTGATCGACCGCAGACAGGACATCATCGAGGAGGTAGATATCGGCTCTAGCGTAGACAGCCCGGGCCAACGCCAACCGAGCCTTTTGACCTCCCGACAAGGAGATGCCACGCTCACCCACTTCGGTTTGATCTCCGTCCGGTAGTTGTCTGAAGTCATCCACAAGAGCACAGGCGTTGACGGTCTGGTTGTAGAAATGAGGATCCCATCGATGGCCAAAGATGATGTTTTCTTTGACACTCGCGTTCATGATCCAAGGCGACTGCGCTGCATAGGCAATGCGTCCACGCACGACGACCTCACCTTGAAGTTTCCAGAGGTCACCGAGCATGGCTTGGAGCAACGAAGACTTGCCAGCTCCGACACGGCCAACAATGCAGGTCAATTCGCCCTTGTTCGCATTGAAGTTGATGTTCTCGAGAACGTTCTTAGCCTGGTTCTTATCCCAGGTAAAAGTGGCATCCCGAATTGAAACGCATGAATCTCCCGCCTGGCTTGGGGGTTCGTCAATCATCCTCACCGCATCCTCTTGAAGCTCGTCCGCCGTGAAGAACGCGGTCAACCTACCAACTGCGACCGACGCCTCGATTATGCTTGTAATAACCATTGGCAGCACGGTCAGTGGAAAGGTCAAGAGGTTGAACAATGTGAGCGCAGGGAAGACTAGGTCTGTCGTCAATGGCGTATCGTTGACCAGCACAAAGACGGCGAAGGTCGAGCACGACACGAAGAATGGTGTAGAAGACCACGTGAACGTCGCAAAAGACTGGGCCGCCCCGATCTTCCGGAGATTGTTCAATTCGAGGTCATTGCGTACATGGCTCAACTTCTCCATGAACGCCGAGCCCCATGCGTAGAGCTTGATGGCCTTCATGTTGTTAAGGATCTCCGTCATCAAGCGTGACCGGCGGTCCTTGTACTTCATCTGGTCCAATTGCAGCTTCTTCATAAATCGAGCAATGAAGCCGTTGACCGGAATCATAATGACCATGGCTGCGACACCTGCAAAGCACGAAACGCCGACCAGTTGGTAGAGGGAGATCATGCAGAGCGTTATCTGGAATGGCGCCGACCACACCTGCTGACCCCACTGAGCCAGATCGGCGAGACGCTGCTGGTCTACGCTCATGTAGGTGACAATATCTCCAGTGTTCTTCTTCGCCCGAGATTCGTTTGACAGCCGCAAGGACTTTGCATATATCATGGCAGTGAGAGAAGACTTGATTCTCATCCCGGTCTCAAAGGCCAGCTGGAAGTATTGATGGAGAGCAGCAGTCTGGCAGACCGAGGTGGCAAACATGGCCAACGCAATGGCGATGCCACGGATTTCCGGCTGCCGCTCGCGACCGGGTCGATACGAGTCCACGAACGTGATCAACAGCCGCAGGAGCTGGGGCTGCACGAAAGCCAGACAATCACTGACGATCTTGGCCATTGATGCAAGGACATAAGGGCCGCCGAACGCCCTGCCCAAGGCTATCCATAAACTCGGCTTCTTCTTTTCCAGCTCATCCTGCCAGGCTTCCTGCAACATATCACCCGTGACTTTTGTTGTGTCCCGGTGCCGCAGGTTCCACAAATCATCTTGAGTGAGATAATGGCTATACCCAAACTTCATCAATGGAGTCATCCAGCTGAAGGTGAGGACGGAGAAGACGTCGGCATATTCGTACGGACATTCGTCGTCTGCGCCAAGGGCGTCATAGGCACTCTGTTTCTTCGGAACCAGGTATTCGAGGACGAATTCCACGATGGCAAGAGCCATGCTGACATTGAACGTGACAAAATACGGGAGACGTGTATTGTAGGCGCCTCTGGCCACCAAGGACCGCAGCTTGACAATGTATGCCAGAATGAAGAAGACCCAGTAGAAGAGCACGACGCCATTTGGGTTGCGCGACCGCCAGTGCTCATGGTATTGTACAGCGAAGATGACGAAGAGCGAGACAACCGTGGTGATGGAGGTGTAGAACCTGATGTCCTGATACCATATTCCCGACAACCGTTCGATCTGGAAGGCAGCTTGGAGGACGGTCGTGACGATTAGGGCTGCGATTAAAGACCTGTTGCCTGTATGTTAGGCAAGGCTTGGCAATCTGAGATCCAAGGAAAGACGGTGCTCACAGTTTTGCGTAGAAATGCCAATTTTTGGGGACGTCCTGAGCAATGCGCTTTCGAAACAAGAACCACAGTGCTCCCGCACCACCCACAATGCCCCAAACCGAGACTGCAACAATCCAGACATCAAGAAAACAGGGTGTCAGATCCCACCTCAGGGAGCTCACCGGACCCCAGCCCTCTGGATCGCCGCATAATGGCTGTCGGGTCGAAAGCAGACCAATGTCGTGCAGGATGGGATTTGGCGTGGGCGGAAACCGTCCGGCCGCAGTCAAGACCGACTGCAACCCTTCCGAGCCCCTCATCTACTGTGCATAGAAGGGAAAGAAGAAGCAGCGAGTGTAGGATGGGATGAAGGAAGCGAAGGACTCGGACGCTGTTGAAGCTCTCTGCAGCGAAGGAACGATCAGTTTCCAGGCAGGATTGAAGGATGGAGCAGATGCGGGATGCAGAGGCGTAGAACGATTTCTCCCAATGACGGTTACGCACCATAGAAAAGAGGCCCGACGTGATAGGTGGACGGAGTTGACGGACATAAGACCGATATCACGTGCATGGTTATTCAAGAGTTTCGCTCCTTGGTCATGTTGCACCACCGTAGTAGCTGACAAAGATGTTTCCGGCCACCGGAGCGGGATAGGGAAATAGAAAGCCCGAAAGCCCGAAGCTGCCGCCGGCACCATGGCCACGTGATCTCGGTTAATAGTGCTTCGAAGCGATCACGTGCCATCAGCCTGACCGCCACCCGTTGCCTACACTGCAACCAGTCAGGATCCATAGAATAACGCAAATGCCCCGCACTAACCCGGTATCCGCGTCCGTAACGGGCAACCATCTGGAAATCTGGCCCAATCCGGCCCTGTATCTGTCGCAGGAGTAAGCAATCAATCATCCGCAGCATGAGTCCGTAGCACGCACCACCGAAGCCCAGACCCAGACCAAGACCCTCGTGTCTTTCTTTGTGTCCGTCTCTGTTTCTTACCAGGTCTAGTCCACCAGCCATCTACCCAGTACACAGTACACAGTACTCATATTATTCTCAGAACCGAACCCCCAGGCCCAGATCCATCTTCTGATAATCCTAGTACTAACGATTAACGGCGCTTAATATGACACGCGACCTACCGATCCACAGCTCTCCTCCAGGTCGAACCCGATAAGGGGGATATTCCATTCAGGGTCTTCGGAATATGGCAAAGGAGGAAGGAAGAGTCGGCACCGGCTCTCAGAGAGAACCCACCACTTCTTACCTACAGACTACTACATGACTCGACAGTAATGAATCTGTCAGTTAACCGAGCAAGTCAGGGCTCAATATTGCTTGTCAGGGCCCCTGTTCCCCCGGACCAGGCCTCGCATGCCGCAAGCGATGCTCCATTTCTCTCTTGGTCATCCGGAATACTCCGTCCATCTCGATGAATTTGTAAGGTTAAATCGACCCTACACCATAGAGTAACAATCCATAGAAGGGTCCACAAGAAAGTCCGACCGTTCGCGAAGATCTGGCCCATGCGTCGCCCCTTGCCCGCCGTAGATCCAACCCACCGCGCCCGGCGACGACACCTAAGAAGTGTATCTATGTCCGAAAGTCAGCGGTGCTTTGGGAACCGCATCTCAGCGCACACACACTCACAACCAGCACAGACCGGACGCCGCCACTCTGGATCTGAACTCGATCGGGGCCCGGGCCCCTCCAATCTGGCAATCCAACGGACTTGATCGGGTTCTTGGGGGCTGGTCGGAGCGTCTCAAACTTCTAGATTTCACCCGGCGATGAATTGCAGTCATCTGTCCTGTGATGGTGAGTAGTGGGCTTACAGGCTAATCGTTGAAAGCCATGTCCACATTTATTGTCCCGAGCTAAGCCTGGTCCGGCCAACAATGGCCATAGGGATGGTATCACATTCCATCCCTTTACCGCTCAATTTCGTGCGACCCGGTCAGCCTGATTTGTTACGCATGGGCTTAACAGTCCCATGTGGCTTTGAAACTGGTTAGTTAGTTACTTAGTCGCGGCCTTCCATTGACAGCTGCAAGGGATAGGGACAGGGTCAGGGTCAGGGGTCAGGAATATTGACTGACTGGGTAAGGGAATGATGGACAGGGGGCCCTTTTTGCCACACACCAAAACCACACAGGCCTTCCGATGCACTTTCCTCTTGGGTCCAACGGTCGGCGATTGATGGCTTGATGGATTTAGTATCGTTTGCTTTTGCTAATTGTCTCATCACATGCAAGATAGTATAAACTCATCACAAGAGCCCAGGGCCCGTCACAGCGGTGGGGGCCTGATATCCGAAGATCCCCCATCCCCATCAGGCTTCCCCCCCCGGCTCGTTATCTCGCTTGAGTCTTTGAGCCTCGTGCTGGGAGTGAATTGTGGGTGTAAGTTCTTTAACCGAGCCCCGGAACCTGGCGCTAGGAGAAGTCCATTTCCACATGGCTTGTTAATCAAGTGCTCCTGTGCTCTGTGCTCTATGCTCTGTATATTAGGTGGTAGGAAGTAGGTACCATGGGTAGTAAGTGTTATTATATCTCGGAGACGAGACCCTGGATCTTCACTTCTACTCCACATTGTTGTTTCTGTCTTCAGCCTCGCCGGAAACATAAGCCTGTCATCCCTTTGTCCTCGACCACCACCACCACCACCGCCATTTTGTCCGCAAACAGGTCAAGTATCGTAATGTGACCGACGGCGACAGGGACAGCAGCGTTAATACAAAGACGAACACGAACGCGAACAACAATAGATAACCATCTTGGTTCTGATACCAATAGTAGCAGCAACAGCTATTTGGCGTTGAATGCCTGAGATACGCTCGGAATGGTGCCTCTTGAAGAAACGTACCAGAAATACTCCCCTCGAGAAGGAGAAACACACCAGAAGATGACTCCTCGAGAAGGAGAAATCCACCAGAAATACACTCCTCGAGAAGGGAACACGCACCAGCAATATGTTCCTCGAGAAGGAGTAACACACCAGAAGATAACTCCTCGAGAAGGGGACACGCACCAGCAATACACTCCTCGAGAAGGAGAAACACACCAGAAATACACTCCTCACAGCAAAACAGAAGGCGAGTCCCAGCCAGCCAGCTTCAACATCCAAACGAGGCGGAGCAGCCATGAACCCAACCCTCCCAACGGCGGGCTGGTGCTGGGCGGCGGGCAGACGATCAAACTGATGCTGGTGCCGGACAAGGCGGCGACGACGGCGGCGGCGCCCGCGAAAAAGGAGAAGCCGCACCCGCAGCAGAAGATGAAGAAGTTCTGGACGAACTTCGACCCGGAGTACGTGGGCAAGGTGACGCGGGTGCTGCCGGAGCGGATCGGCGAGAGCGACCTGACGGCGAAGCTGCTGGGCGAGACGGCGCACCGGGCTCTCCAGTCGTACGAGAAGGCGAAGGAGGCGTGCGTGCGGGACGTGAAGCGCATCATCCAGGAATGTCGGGCGGCCAACCAGAAGTACACGGACTCGCACTGGGACATTGAGCGCGACCTCAAGATCACGCGGGTGCGCGACTGTCTGGACGGGCTGGTGGGGGACGCGGACGACAAGCAGTACCCGGCGGACGCGAAGCGGGTGACGGACATCTTCGAGGATCCCAAGTTCTACGTCGACGGCGTGTCGTACGACGACATGCTGCAAGGGTCGGCGGGCGACTGCTGGTTCCTGGCGGCGATCTCGGCGCTGGGGTGCAACCCGGAGTTCATCGAGCGGGTGTGCGTGATCCAGGACCAGGCCGTCGGCGTGTACGGGTTCGTGTTCCACCGCGACGGCGAGTGGCACCAGTGCATCATCGACGACAAGCTGTATCTGCGCGCGCCGGCCTACGACGAGAGCGGCGACGTTGTGCTGGGCCAGTACGGCGTGCGCCGTGCCAACCAGGAGGACCAGTACCAGGAGCTGTTCCAGCGCGGCTCGCAGTCGCTGTACTTTGCGCAGTGTCGCGACCAGAACGAGACCTGGGTCGGCCTGCTGGAGAAGGCGTACGCCAAAGCCCACGGCGACTATGCCTCCATCTCCGGCGGCCAGACCGGCGAGGCCATCGAGGATCTGACCGGCGGCGTCACCACCGAGATCTACTCCACCAACATCCTCGACCCCGAGGCCTTCTGGCGCGACGAGCTGAGCCGCATCGGAAAGGACTTTGTCTTCTCGTGTGCCGCCGCCCGCTGGCGCGAATGGCGGCCCTATCTGGTCGCCAACGAGAAGATCCGCGAGGAGCGCCGCTCCGGCATCGTCAGCCAACACGCCTATGCCGTGCTGGCCACCTATGAAGGCCACGGCCAGCGCCTGGTCAAGATCCGGAACCCCTGGGGTCGGAAGGAATGGACCGGCGCCTGGAGCGACGGCTCCAAGGAGTGGACGGCCGACTGGCTGCAGCGACTCAACCACCAGTTCGGCGACGACGGCATCTTCTGGATGACCTACAAAGACATGCTGAGCAAGTACAAGTACATCGACCGCACCCGCATCTTCGGCCCGGACTGGCACGTCGCCCAGCAGTTCATGTCCGTCCAGGTTCCCTGGAGTACCTTGGACTACCAGCAAAACCACTTCTCCATCGACGTGCCCGACGACACGGATGCGGTGATTGTCCTGTCGCAGCTCGACGACCGATACTTCAAGGGCCTGCAGGGCAAGTACAACTTCACGTTGCAGTTCCGGGTCCAGAAGGACTCGCAGGACGACGAGGAGTACCTGGCTCGTAGCAAGATGACCTATGAGCTCGTACGGTCCGTGAATGTCGAGATTCCCCTGACCAAGGGCACGTACTCGGTGCTGGTCAAGGTCGAAGCCACAGAGACCAGGCGTGACGACGTGGAGAAGGTCGTTCGCAATAACATCCACCGCCGGGACAAAATTACCCAGATCGGCAAGCTGTACGATCTGGCACACCAGAAGGGCCAGCTTCCATCCTCGTCTCCCGGCTCGTCGATTGCTTCCTCCGTCTCGGGATCAGGCACCTCGACTCCCACATCTACTGGATCACAGATCCGCGATCAAAGCCGCTCGGACGCTTCTCCGGCAGCAGGGTCGAAGGAAGATTCTGAGGAGAAGGACCCGCACCGGAATCCGTGGAATGCCAGCTGTGTGGTGGGCCTGCGGGTATACAGCAAACAAGCCGACCTCGGCCTGAAAGTGGTGGTGCCGTCCAGGGAGGAGATTGAGGAAAACAAGCATATGCCCACGCTGGACAGAGACGACGTCGCCAAGAGCGCATTGGACGAGGCCCAGGCTGCTGTGGGCAAAGGTGACGAAGAGGAGGGCGAGGATGGAGAGAATGGCGGATCGGCTGCTGAAGACGGCGAGATCCAGAAGCCCATTGAAGGTCAAACCTAGGCGAGCACCAGATGCATCGAGAAAGCCGATGAAGACGACGAGGACTTTTCTGACCATTCTTCCGACGACTAGAAAGTGCCGACATCGAAACCTCAATCGGGCACATTCTCCCCGCCATGGAAACTGTGGTCTTCTTCCACTATCTCACTCCCATCGAGACAGGAAAGGGAATCACACTGCCATGTGCGATCCAACAGCCGTCTTGTCGTTGTCTCTGGCGTTGCTCGGGAACAAACTTTTGATCACTCCTCGATTTTGTTTGATCATTGTTCATTTGAAAGCGAAAGGGTTCCGGTTCAGGACGTTTGGGACTCTTTATCCATGGATCAGAAATAGAATCATCATCTCAGATGGGATCGCTGAGCCAAATTCAGGCTGATATTGACACGAAGAAATGGAAATGGCATCGTCTCATGGGCGTTTGAAAGGACGAACGGCGTTCAACAGGTGATGCTGGACAATCGGCCTTTGGATATCTGATATTGGGCCTTTTATATTGGCGTCTTACCAGGCTGGATCTGAGACTGAGACAGAGACAGAGACTGGGCTGATGGGTTGATGGATTTATATCACATTGGACACCTATATATATATATATATATATATAGAGGAGAGAAGCAGAGAAGCTCTGCAGAGATGGAGAATCCCACCACCGTTCTTTACTCGTGCGTCCTCAGTATTCTTGGGCCCTTCCGTCAGTATATGATATGCCAGGATGATCATATCAGGATAGAATGACCTGATATATGGTCTAAAGGGCCAGTGTGTCGGCACGTTAAACGAAAGCCATAAACCAAAGATCAGTATCAATGACAATTCAATTCAAGCCAATTCAATCCATATCATATCATATCATGCCATATGATGATACTATCCCATCTTCCCTTTCCATCGCATTCAGCTTCCTTCCGGATCCCGGCCTACTGATATCGGAAGCACAATGAAAGATATATATCCCCTCTATTTAGACAGATCGTCGACATCCAAGAGACTTAAGCCAGGTTCCCTCATTCCATCCCCCCCTTTGACAACGTTGCCACCACCACTGCCACCACCACCGCCCATTGTAGCCGAACTCTGTGCTCGACTCCTCGTCCCTTCCGTCTTGATACTAGCCACCTCGGCGCCCTCAAGCAGCTCCTGGTCCCTCCTCCCAAGCTCGGTGTCTTTGCCAGCATCCTCATCATCATCGTCGTCGTCGTCGTCTTCTTCTCCTTCCCGGTACGGTCTACTGTGACCTTGTTCACGCGCATTGCGCTCAAACTCCTTCTGCGTCTCCTCCATCCTCTTGCGCATTTCAGCAGCCATACGCATACCGTCATTGACAATGTTGTCCAACACGCCTCGCAGACCACGAGACCCCGGCTCGACCACTCCGCCGGCACGTCCGACGTCGATCACCGTCTTATTTGAGCCGCCGTTGATCAGATTCTTCACGGGCGTGCCCAGGTTGCTGAAGGTAGTGAGATTTCCGGAAAGCGTACTCGAGGCCAACGATGCCGTACTGGCGTCGGCCGAGTCACTGAGATGGAACGATTGGGGGAAGAACGTTTCGAAGAATTGTTCGAGCAGCTCGTCGGCAAGGATCACCATGCGGAAAGTCGGTAGCGTGATGTGCAACGGCTTATTCGGGTCCAGGGCGAGGTTGTGGGAGGCTGCGCGAGATGATATCCTCCGGGACCCTTCAGCTGGTGTCGGTCTCGCCGAGGGAGTGCCAGGCGGCGTGGCCTGAGATAGAGGATCTTTCTCCACTGGCTGAGGCGACACGAGGTGTTTCGAGACCGATGATTGCGTCTCCGTCAGGTCCAACAGATTTTCCTCTTCTGCGGGCTCGTGGATGGTCGCTGCCTCGAGTTTCGAGGTGGTGCGTTCCACCATTTCGTCGGGGTCGGCGTATTCAAAGCATCGACGGATGAAAGCACTGACACTGCCCAAAAACTTCTCATTCGTACTCATATGCAGCCCGTCCCCCGACTCGGCCGCCGACAGCGGAGCTGTCACCCCATTGCCGAAGTCAGACGGCGTGATTGCCCCGTCGAAGCCTCGCCTGGAAAGAAACAAGAGGGACTCTGACATCCGCAGGATACCTTCGCGGTCCACCTTGCCAGTATTGTCATCGTCGAAAAGCTCGAAAAACAGGCTCATGGAATTCATAATATCCGTGGTTCCCTTGATCCGAGCGATCCCTCGAACCAGTTGCTGCAGTGTCATCTCCCCTTGGTGAGACTCATCCCACTTCCCATATAACCGTTGCATGAAGTCATGGTCGGCCGGTTGTGGGCCTGATCCCCATTGCGAGAAGGTTTGACTGCGTTTCCTCTGGTTCGTCGTAGGATTGTTGATCTCCTGTGAAGGCGAGGTGGGCGAGTCCGTGATGGCCCATTTGGCCGTGTTGGCGAGGAATTCCCGAAACGCGTCATAGTCCATGGTCTGGACGGGGCCGACGTTACGTGCAGGCTCGTCGTGATTCCGATCGGAGTGGTGCGTCCAGAGACCGGGGCGGCTTCTTTGCTGCTCTTGTTTCCTTCTTTCGGCTTCCCTCAACTTGGCCCGCTTATGGCGTTCCGACAAGACGCCGAAGAAGCGATCATAGATGGCGCTGAGGTCGTCGGCGCTTAACTTCTTGCTTTCCGGTCCCAAGTTTCGGATCGAGGTTCGTTTGGCAAAGGTGGCCAGACCGTCCTTCACGCTCTCAATATGTTTGGTTCTCAATTCCTCGATGCTACCGTGAGTAATACCGGCAAATTCTTTGAAGGCCGTCACCATCAGTTCCTGGAATTTGGTGATCGCCCTCAACTTTTCGTTCTCCGAATGGGGATGCGCTGATTCGTCCAGTCGTGAAAAGTAATTCTTGAGGATCGAGATGAAGGATCCGTCGTCATGGACGTCCAATAACTCCTCACCATTGATGCGGAGGATCGCCAATCCCACCTGGAACAGAACCTTGGGACCTTCGAGAAAGAAGACGTCAAGGACCCGGAAGGCAAAGACCAACGGCATCGAGTTGATGTAAAGGGAAAGAAACCAGGGCAGCGACACGACAGATAGATTGACGTCCGACTTGACCAGGTGCTCCCAAAGAACGGGCATCGTCCGTTCCACCAGATTTTCGAAGACGCGTTGGTCCAACAGCGTCCCGTACATGTCTTTGGAATAGTATCCTGGGAGAAGACGGTCGCACAACGCCCCGAGGGTGAAAAAGGCTTGAGCTTCCGACATGTAGATGAGAAGTGCAGCAACCACGATATTCATGGCTTGACAATAGCCCACTTCTTCATTGGTCCAGCTGTACGCCGTCAGCACTCGTCGCAGCCGGCCGATACCTTCTTCGCTCTGGAAGCCGGGATATTCGGGTAGACTTCGATTGAGATCTTTCTCGATTTCGTCAATGGCCAAGGACTCTTGTCCGGTGAACTTTGCCAGCGTCTTCTCGTAAAGGTTGGGATTCCTCAACCGCGTGTAGAACGAACCGGAGCAGATTTCCCAGATCTCGCCTCTCAGTCGGTTCGGCAGCCCGACACGGATCAGCTTGTGGAAGGTGGGTTGCCGGACAATGGTGGCATTGCGGCCATTTTCTCGCATGTATTCTCCCCAGAGCCTGATCTTGCTCTTATCGCGAAGTTTTCTCGCATCTCCAGGATATCGGAAAAGGATGCCCAGCCCAGTGTCTGGCGGATCTGGAGGCTTGGTGCCTTCTTCTCTGGCCTTCAGCCGCGCGGGATTCAACAGATACTCCGAATAACACTGGGAGACGACCGCACGCAGGTTGTCCACTTCTTTCATGCCTTCTCTGAGTCCCCGTTTCAGGCCATCACAAAACCGCTCACAAGCAACTCGGCTTCCGTCGAGGGTCAGAATCAATTTCCGGGGAGGGGGCAGGGATGCCTTGGTCTTGTCCGTCAGCGGCTTTTGGACCGATTCGAACGTGGTGAGGGCCAGAGAAAACTGATCTTGATGGGTGTTCAGTCGTTCGACGCGCCGGATGGAGCAGAGGGGCAGGGTGAATCCATTTCCGCCTGGTCCGGCACCTTGCGTCGGGCCTGTAAACGCGGTGGAGGCACTATGACTGGCGGTGGGCAGGAAACTGGTGCGAAGGGTTGAGAAGCATAGAAAGTGTTCGCTCAGGTGTAGCTCTCCCACATATCTGTTGCCGCTGTCTCTCAATTTCTCCCCCGACGTGACATGGTTCCCTGAGGCGGGCAAAGGGATGGGGAGGAATAGTTCGGCCGTGATCTCGTGTAGAGGATGCTGACCCGCAGGCAACCTGAACTGATCGCGGAAGAGAGTGGCCTTGGACGGCCGGTTGTCATGGTTCGAGGACAAGGGGGACTGATCAATGAGCTTCTGGACAAATGAGCTCAACATGGCGCCGGGTCAAGGTGGTCGTTGCATCTAGATCGCTGTGGTCGACTCGAGTCTCGTCGTGTATTGTCGGTGACCACGCGTATCAGGGCGAGCGTGTCATTCTGCAACTGCAATGCTGCTGTAGGAGTTTCTTGCTTACTCCCTAGATCATGTCTTCAACGATCGGAAGGACCGGCAAGTAGGTCCTGTGTATATATAGGATGCAGTGTGCTGTAGCAACGCAACGCAGTCTTGTCTGTCAGAGTGAGCGCCGGGGCCATTCTGCTACTTCTTTCTCCTCCTCGCGTTCTGCTAGTACTTAGTAAGTACGTAGTACGTATGAGGAGCGGCGTGGCGCCTGGCTGCTATAACTACAAGAGTCACTACCCCAGCCTTGGCAGATAAAGCGGCGTGGCTCGTAGATCCTTTAGGACTCTTTCTAGAGGTACCTGACTTACGGCATGTTCTGTGCTTAGATATCTCTATTAGTAGTAGTATTAGTAGTACTGTAAGTATGGCCACTTCTTCACACTTCAAGATGGGTATGGCTTCTTCACAAGCACTTCAGAAACCACTAGATACTCAAAAGACACGCCAAAGTGTATACCCCTGGGGGGTTTGGGCCCTCCCCAACCTCAAATCACATATAGCCTAGGTATGCACCGGCCTCTCTTCTGCCTCTGTCAATGGCTACTAGTATCTATGGTCCAAGATCGTTCAGTCACTCGTACGCCTGTCTGTCTGTCTGTCCTGCCTGAAATTCCCTCCTCTACAAGACAAGAGCATGTCAGGGGAGCTGGATCCATCCACCATTGCGCCCGGTACAAAGGTCATTCATTCATTCATCCCGCCACCCAGAAAGAAAGCACTGTTCCGGTCCCCCATTCCATTATTCCGTATCCGTGGTCAACAGCAGTTCGACAATGAGATGAACCTTCTCGTACTCTGGATGCTGCAACGCCAGTTTCGGGGTGCGCGGTGCGGCCATGAAGTTCTTGAGCGCAAGACCATTGATACCCCCTCCCAGCGCCGCTGGTGTCTGAGTCGGGGCGCCTCCCGATCCGCCTCCTCCATCGTCGAGTAACTTGATGTCCTTGCCGGCAATGACTTGTTTCAATCGGCCGTTTTGCGCATCGCGGATCTCGACGAAGTCGTCATCCACGAGAATGAGATATTGCGCATATAGACAGGCCGACTTGGCTCGACCCACAAACTCCATCACCACTCCGCGCGAGATGTCGCCGTGTTTGTTGACGTAGACGGCACATTCTTCAAAGGTGACGAGGAATTCGGCCTCTCCCAGCCGGAACATGCCCAAGGGCTTCAGATCCTTGATCCGACTGGCGATCGAGCTGAGGTGTGCCTGCGCCTCGGGCTGATCGCTTCTCAGATTGGGCACGCTCCAGGTTTGCTTCTTCTCCAGCGTCAGCACCTCTACCCCTCTGGCCGTGGAGATGGCCAGACTGGACTGAAACAGATTCAAACTGTAGCACTCGGCCGGGATGTAGAACTCGTCATACTCCCGGAAAAATTCGGTCTGCCCCCTCCGAGATGAGGAAGGCAAGAAGCGGGAGCGGCTGGTCGTGCTCCTCTGGAGAACAGGCTCAAGGACTTTGAAGTTGGACGCCATGCCGTCTCGCTTTTTGTAAAAGACCAGCGTCCGCTCCTTCATCCGTCCCGTCACAAAGAAGCCAACGTCCTTAGAGCCGGACAGCTTTTGTGGTGCTTTACGACTGGAGGTATCACTTTGCGACACCACGTTGCCGGTTGGTGGGCAGACCACATCCAGATGATAGGCGATGAGCGCCTTGTCAGAAATGAGAAGAAACAGGTTGAACTCTTCCAGCACTGCGATCTGGGTGACGCGTTGCATAGGGATAGCCTAGACTCGGTCAGTCACTGCTACGCAGTACGAAGTCGCTTCACTCACCCGCACCCATCCCCGAGAATTTTGGTATTCGGAGATGTAGACGCCGTAGTCGGTCCCTACGGCGCACATGAGCCGGCCATATGGCTGATTGAACACCGTTGCACAGTTGATCGGAGCTCGGCAAACAGGTGCTGGACGGCCCTGGCCTTCGAATTTCTTTTCGGTTTCCCGAATGGCCCTGTCCAGGGGAGTACCCTTGATCAAGATGCGTCTTTGAGGATAAGCCAGCCCTTCGTAGCCGAAAGCCGTGTCTGCCAGGACGCGAAGTTTGAACGGCTCCGCATTCTGCGAGAACAAGGCTTCTGCATGTCGTGTTTTGGCTTGGATGATGGCTTCACACCAGTCCTGCCGGTTTTGCGCACTCGGAGCGTGGAGTGTGTACGTCTCCGTCTTGCCGAGGTGTTTGACGCGGAAAGGATACATGATCTTCTCCTCTTTTGAACTGCCAGAATCCAGGGTCGTGATAGGCACCATCGACTGGCTCGTGTTGCCTGATCCGATGGAGAGATTCGTGTTTGTATGTGTCAACGAGCCCGCTTGCCCTCCGCTGGCGGCAGACTGCGCCCTGGCAAGCCGGGCATCGGCGGCTGTCTGCCCTCGTGGCACCACAGTGGTGGTCACGGCGCCGATTCCTTTGACTGACGACTTCACCACCGCAGGGTCGTTGGAGCTTTCCAGGACAAGGAGATCCATGGGGATGGGCACCTTGGAAACGTCATAATATCCTTCTTTTCGATCTCGATATAGAGGTTTGGCTAGGACCAGGTAGTGGTCGAAGAGAATGGCATGCGTATCAACCCACTGAAAGCCTTTCCCTCCAGCGCGTTGCAGATCCCCCTGAAAGATGATCTCTCTGCCCAAGTGATCTAGGTTCAACTCCACCTCTTTCTCCATGGCCGGCCGAAGTCTCAACTTGGTTTGCATTTCGATCAGCTGCATTTTCTTGGTCATTTCGGCGAACTTCGAATCACATTCAAAGGTTGCCGCTCGAATCTCGTCCAGCGCAAATGCAAGATGGTTCTTTTCTTCCGACTCTTTCAACATGTTCTTTTGCACGGTCGAGAGCAGCAGGCCGTACCGCTGCAATCTAGTGATGGGCGCCTTAAGATAATTGTCCCACCCCAGGCGGTTCGATCGCTTGTCCTCCCGACCCTGGTCAAGGAAGTTCTTGAACTGGATGTTTCGCTCCGCTTCTCGACGCATGAGGTAGTCTGCTCGAGGAAAGCTCGATGCGTATTCAACATACACTGGCCGAGCTTTCCTGATCCATTCGCGGAAAATGTCACTAAAGCCTCCGATCCATGGTCCTTGTTCGGTTTGCCGATACTTCAACTGACCGAGAAGGTAATCCTGGTTCACTTTCTTGACTTTGTCAATGCCACCAAATACTTCCCTCAAGAACGGCGGCAATTTTTTGGGAGGAATGATCGGAGGCTGGGCCGCTGCGAGGCGATCCCGGTATAATATTCGTAGAACGTCCAGTTGGCTGATATACAGGTCTTCGCTCGTGACAATTTCGTGAAGGACATTTTGTCGTTCAATCTCTTTCCTGTCGTGGGATGCAATGTCTTCTTTGCCCAGCTTATAAAAGGTGGCCCAATCCTCCGACTTCTTCTCGACCGGCAAAGAATCAAGATCAATCTTTTTCAGTGTTCTCATGCACTGGTATGAATAGCAACGGCCCCGAGTGTGGTACAAATGCAGTTTCGAGGAATAACAGCCACTTCCCGTCAGTTGATAGAGAACGCCAGACATCGACCCAGGTCCGAACTTCACCCACTCTTCCTCCCTCACCAACGCATTGGTGGCCAACATCTCTTTGACGACGCGTTCACCAAGCGCTTCGGCTTCGGTGATGTACATGGTCGGAACTTTGTGCATGAAAAGTGCAACAATACCTTCGATGATGCTCTGCTCTTTTAGATCGGCCTCATCTTCGGCCAGCTCTCTGATCCACTCCAGAACTGCACTGAGCGCCCACGGCTCGGAGCATTGCTTCAACTGGTCTACTGAAAGTTTGGCAGGATTGTATCGTTTCTTCGGGATGGCTGGAAGGTCCAATGCAACGGCCGACTGGGGGCTGGCGATGTCATAGATCTCGGACGCTGGCCGCCCTTGTTGACGGGCAAGCTTTTGTCGGTCGGCGTCGGTTTTTGAGCGAACGGGATGCTCAACTCTTGGTGCACTCCTGGTGCTCGACAGTGAAGTTGATCGCGGTACGGGCGAGGGAGTGAGCAAAGAAGTAGTATAAGCATCTGGTGCCGGAGGATAACCACGAGCATTCGTCTCCGTGTACTGGGAAAATCGAGTTTGTTGGGTGTAAGTTCCCGCAGGCATCAAGTGCGGTATCCGTAAGCCGGGGTCGGAGTGTGGGGGTGGTGGTGGTAGCGGTCGTTGTTGGAGGCCAGGATGGAAGAATAGATCGGGCATGGAGTCTCGAGATGGGCTGGTGTCTCCTGAAGTACGGCCGGTCTCAGCATCCATCAGAGTTGCCTCATCCCCATCTTCATAACTCAGTCGACGAGGATGCGGACTCGGTTCGGTAAGACCGCCAGTTCCTCCAGTATCAACCCGCGCAACATTGTGTAAATATGAGTATTGACGAGGATTGTCTGAAGGAAGAACATACTCGAAGCCACTGGCTTGAGATTCTCTGCCTTCTGAGGATACACCAGAGCTGCGCATAGAATTCATCCGCGCAATCAGCCTGCCATACAAATCGCTCTGCGGCATGGCGGCGGCAGCAGCGTAGTTCGACTCTGACTGACCGTATGACATGTCTGGTGCATAGCCTCCGCCGGCAAGACTTAAATCGTACCCAGTGTAGTCGCTGTCACTACTCTGCTCTTGTCCGGGGAGAGGAGCAGCGGTGGCTCCGGCACGTGACTGGCTGGGGAAAAGAGTCGCTGAGCCGCTACGTCTGCGTGCATCCTCTGCCCTCTCTTGCTCGTCCAACGCCTGCAATGCTGCAAGTCCGGCAGCGGCCTCGGCGTCGCTGTCATCTGAGAATGCACCGTAGTTGATATACGTATCTCCAGTGGATGCGATGGTCCCATTGAGGTGAGTTGGAACTTCATCCGGCGAGAGAAGCGGCTGTGATGAGGGTTGTTGGTACATACCACTCAAGCCGTCATCTCGAGAATGACGATATCGATGGTCGCTGGCGGGCCCAGACTGCCCAGCAGTGCTTCCTATAGCCTCGTCTAGATGGAGCATCAGGTCATCATAGCCAGATTGACCAGATTGACGGGTGTCCCTGTCTGAGGTAGTTCGTGACTCGCCCGTATTGAAGTAGTCGTGATCTGAATCGGACTCCGACGGTACTCCGGGTAGAGACCTTCCCTGGGGATGGCGCTCGAGAGTACTTGTGCGCTGCGGAGATCGGCTTGAAGGCTGTCTACTGGGGGGAGTGGGGAGTGAAGGCTGCGGCGAGACTGACTGATTGCTCACCCGACTTGCGAATGAGGAATTCCGGTTGATATCGGGAGACGAATACGTACTCAACGTTGAGCCCTGGTATGCCGTCGTTATTCCCGCATTATATGGATATCCTTCCTCGGGGATACTGGTCGACCTGGAGTACGGCCGACCCGAGAGCGCGGCATCGTGAGGAGGAGGAGCGGGTGCAGGTGGCGAGTATGTTGACTGAGGCTGGCCCGGGGAAGAAGCGCTGGGCCGACGGGCATGATACTGCTGAACAGCATCATGCTGATATGCACCGTATGCCTGCAAAGGCGGATATGGTGCCTGACCGGTCCTCGGAGGAGGCGGCGGAGGAGGCTGATTAGCGGAAGAACTCATCTGCGCATTCACATCGTAATAGCCATAACTGTTGTACACTGAAGGTCGACGGTTGACGCCCGGGTCCCCGTAAGCAGCTGGCACATATGGCTGGTAGGTGCTTGAGGGATGAGCAGACTGTGGACTTGCATATGCTTGTGTATTGTACATGGGTTGCTGCTGTTGGTACTGAGCGGGATTGTAAGGTGCATGAGCAGGCACAGCGGGCTGGTGCTGGTGTTGATATCCTCCCAAAGCGGTATGTTGTGTGTTTGCTCTGAAGGGTAGCGATGTCGAAGCCTGCACATTCGCCGTGTGCGTCCTATTCACTGGAGGGCTTGCTCCTGACTGAGCAGTATAGGCCTGGTATCCCTGGATTGACCGCGGCTGCGTCTGCGCCAGATCTCCCTCGATGAATTGTTCGTCATCTCCCGCATCGAAACTCGAGACACGCTCGAGAGGCCGCGAAGGATATGGAGGCTGGGAGCCATATTGAGCATAACCACTGTTCTGGCCCGAGGAAGGATGGTTGTTGGCGGTATAGTAAGGCTGACCATTCTGGTAGCTGGCCATTGTCAGCGCAAGTGCGGCGTCGTGCTGCCGCGACAAGAATGAGGAAAGTCAACGCAGGGGTGGTGTATGGTCTCGCTGCGCATGTTCGACGGCTCGGTGGAGGACTTCGTTGCGTTTCATGAGCACCGGTCGCTCGAGTGGTGTTGACGAGGGATGCGCAGGCTCATCGGCGACAAAGACGATGATGGTTGCAAGGCCACCTCGGAGAGGGCTTGGATGTTGAGCTGGCCGCGATGAATGATGGGGTCGTAATCAGTGGCCAGGCGATGATCGCTGGGGCGCAACGGCTCAGCTGCACAGATGGAAGTCCATCGCAGGATGTTGGGAGGACTAGGTAGTAGTCGTAGTAGTAGTGGTAGGTGATGGTAGAATGTCGAGGCCAGCCGTCAGCGGGATGTGAGGTTAATCGACGCAGCACGCGGGCGCGCACTTTTAGTACATACTGTATACACTATACAGTAGTAACCGTTGGCGTCGGGCAATTAATCAATGCTAGTAGCACTGCAGAGTACATATACTGAATCCTGCACAGCAAGAAGAGATATCCACAGAAGGAATGTTACTACCTAAGGTAAGGTATTTAAGGAGACCATCATTCTGTACCTTAGGTACCTAAGGCATCTGTGAACCTTTTGGGGTTGGCTTGTCAATCTCACAGCTGAGCCCTGGCGCTGAGACTTGAACCCCAGATGAAGTTAGGCGGAGAAGTATAGAGAGAGAGACACAGTATAACTGCCGGGTTCCTTACGTGGCAGCTGAATCACCCCCATACAACCCTTAAGCGCGATGATCACGATTGTCAGGTTTTGTAACTCTTCTAAGGTGCCTAATCTGCCCTACAAGCTGCATCTCTTTCTCTCTCTCTCTCTCTCTCTCTATACTAGTACTACCCGGTGAGGCACCGCAGGCACTGGAAGTTCAACTCTACCACCCCACAAGTCCATCATTCCCTGCTTACGCTCCTACGAAATCATCCTCTCGAGATCTCTTCTTCTCGTCTTCAATGGCCTTGAACACGCCTTAAGCCACTCCCCCCTCGAGCCCGGCCGGCATTCAAGAGTAGCCTGCAACCTGAATCAAACTCTCTCGAATCTCGATATCGCTCGCCCACTTGTTGAGTGCACCTCTCACATGAACCGCACCGCAAGTTCGGTCATCTTGTTGAGCGTACATAGCATAGCGACATTCAACAGGCCTTGAGTCTTTCGTTGAGACCAAAGCAAATCCAGATACAGCCCCAACTTACCTCCGTCGCAAGTGCTTACATCGGTCGAGCAAGACATAGGAGCCGTTCTGCAGCGAGCGCTGAACACGCAGTGCTCGAACCCAGTGGCTTCGGTGCGGACCTTGCCTCGATTATGAAGAGTCTCGTGAGGCCAAAGGGGATTAATGGTAATCCGGAGATTGAGGTGTCAAGATGCAGAATACCGATTGACGAACCCAAGGTATGGACGGTCTGAACACTGTACACCTTACCTTAGGTAACACTACCCCGGCATTGAATGATACGTACTAGGCTTAGGGGCGTTCCCGGTCAAGCCCCACCTGTTCAATGGTTCCCTCCGCCCTGTCCCGACTTCTCGGCACCAGACGCTGGAGCCGCAGGAAACACCTTCGCGGACGGTGAACACGAGAGCGCCAGTGTCTGGTGGCCGGATGAGGAGACTCACTTGACACAATAGTTTCAACAGTTGCCCCGAGGATGAAGGCATAAGAAGGCGCAAAGCTGTATAGTACGGGATGAACCAAGAACTTCAACAAGCAACAAGCGACAAGCAGAGTATGAGTCTGGAGCCTCCGCTCCGGCAGCCGGGGCACTGGGGACAGCAGATACCGCTCGAGCACCTAAAAGCCCTCTAACACCCCACAGGGTCACCACCGGGGTGCTGGCGCCGGTGCCACCATCCAATTTAGTTCATGCCCACGATCTCCACATACTGGAAAATTCCCATCACGACACAAAAGATCAGAAGTCACCACGCTAAGAAACCCCGATCTCTTGAACTGTATGGCTTTCACACCAAAGAGTGGATTGCCTGCAAAGACAAGTTCGCGGGGCTTGAAAATGTCTTGTCCAGGGTATATAATGGGTTGCTGGGCCCCAAGTTGTCTTTCTGTCCCATAACGGTCCTGCGTTTCGGGTTGAGTGTTGCCGCTAATCTTGCTGGGCCAACATGACTGGTGTTGACAAACCATGGACCATAATTGTGGGCGCTGGACCTTCCGGCTTGCTTCTAGGTTTGATGCTCGCCAAAAAAGGCGTTCCAGTTCAAGTCTTGGAGGGATCCTCGGAGCTGGATGATTCTCCTCGGGCAGCTTACTATGGTCCTCCGGCTGCGTACGAGCTACGACGTGCCGGAGTCATCGAGGAGGTTCGAAAGCAAGGATTCGATCCCATCAGGACTTGTTGGAGGAAGCTCGACGGTACCTATCTCGCTGGTTTCGACAACAGTCTCCTGTTTGACGATCAAGATCGACAGGCATGTCTGCCCCTGGCCCAACTAGATCGACTGCTGTACAAACATGCCATTGCGCAACCGACGCTCAAAGTGAGCTTTAATCACAAGGTTGTGGACCTTGGCCAGGATACAGAGAAGGCGTGGGCAGATGTGGACACACCGGATGGCAGGAAGCGCCTAGAAGCAGCTTACATCGTAGGATGCGATGGGGCCTCAAGTACGGTTAGGAAATGCCTGTACGGGGACAAAGACTTCCCTGGCTTCACCTGGGACAAACAGATCGTCGCGACGAATGTAAGTCAGCCGCTCCGATCGTCATGACCCAGTTTGACCGTCTCCCAGGTGGCCTATCCATTTGAAAAGTACGGCTATGACGATGCCAACTTCTTCATCCATCCGGAGCATTGGCATATGGTGGCTCGCCTCACGAAGAACCCCGATGGTAGCGGCTGGTGGCGAGTGAGCTATGGAGAGGTCTCTGGCCTCACCCGAGAGGAGTTGATCGCTCGACAACCCATGAAGTACCAGGCCATACTGCCGGGACACCCAAGGCCAGGGGATTATGATCTTGCTGCCATCAGTCCGTACCGGATCCATCAGAGATTGGCTGATAGTCTACGGAGTGGCAGGTTCCTTCTGGCAGCCGATGCAGCACATAGTGAGTGTCTTGTGATGCGTTTCTTGTTACATCACTAACATTTAGACTACAGTTTGCAATCCCTTTGGCGGTCTGGGCTTGACAGGGGGGTTAGTCGACATTGGAGGCTTGTACGACTGTCTGATCGGCGTCCACGAGGGTAAAGCCGACGAGAGCATCCTGGACAAGTACTCGGAGATACGCCGGCAAAGGTTCCAGACGGTGACGGATCCTATCTCTTCGCAGAATATCCGGCGGCTCTATGATCAGGACCCGGACAAGGCTTTGGAGAATGATGAATTCTTGAAGATGCTCAAGAGTATCGAAAACAACGTGGAGGCACAGCGCGAATTCATGCGGTCACCCAATGCCCTTCGATATGACTTTACGCAGCATTACAAAGGCAACCACAAGACGATGGAGGGCGACCAGAGTGCAAAGAATGGCATTGTATCCCAAGTGAAAGAAATTGCGCCGACGGGAGGGGAATAGGAACGAGTTGGGATATGTTCGGTCCAGTTGGGATGGATATACCCATAACGTCTGAGAGAACTACTATGGCGAACATCCTGTAACTGATGAACTGCCTCCGACTTGACATAGGCCTGCTATACACCGTACGTGATCCAGGACACCACGAACTACTACCGAAAATCTCATGCCTTCAGAGTATACAGAGGTAGGTACCTACCTAGTATATATAGTACGGTACTACCTAAGATGGGTAGGTACCTATCGATTGGTGATTTGTGGAGACTCGCTGCACGTACTCCAGCTGCGAATATTCTCTAATACTTGTTAGTAGTGATGGCAGGCTCATACGTCATGGGTGGGATTTCTCGCAGGCAACTTGTTACTACTCTGTAGTGGGTGACTGCCCACTAAAAAGTACCTGCTGCGCACTGACATTGGACGTCCAATACTCGATACACGGCAACAACTGATTGAAGCTGATGTCTGAGTGAACATCCTGCGCAAAAGTATACCTTACCTGGCGAGCTGGGTACCTATACCATGCAATGTACTCTTCTGCCCAATATCTACTGTCATTTTATGGTGCCTGCAATTCACTCTCAAACGCTCTCTGCTGAGAGAATGGCATAGTCACCCGTCCACCGTGCTGTCACGTCCTGACCACAGAGTCGCACCACTGCACTGCAGCTCATCCCACTGAAGCTGCTTCCTTCCCATCTGCCTCGGCCGACCACGATCCCCTTAACCATGAAGCCCTCCGACCAGGCACCGCTGTTCCGTCGGCCCTCCTCCACTCCTCACTACCAGACCTTTGGCGGGATCACTCCTCCGAGATCTCGAGGCAGGCCGCTCTCGGACTCCTCCAACTCCTCCAGCCATGACCTCCACCATGCAGAAAGACACCACCAGAGCTCGCCTCTACCTAAGAAGCAGATGGCAATCCTGGCGGTGATAGCTCTATGTGAACAGACGGCGCTCAATTCCATCAGCCCCTATCTGCCTGAGATGGCGTCTACATTCCCCGAAGTGAAACCTGGACAGGTCGGCTTCTATGTGGGATTAATAGCCTCGGCCTTTGCGCTGGCCCAGCTGGCCACAAACTTCTTCTGGGGTTGGCTGTCAGACCACATAGGGCGGAAGCCTGTGATCTTGATGGGGACTTTGTTCACTGCTGCCTGCTTCATCGCCTTCGGCTTTGTCAAAACGCTGTGGCAGGCGATATTGGTGCAGGCTCTGATGGGTCTTTTGAACGGGAATCAAGGAGTAGTCTCGACCTGTCTGGGAGAGATCACAGACCGCAGCAACCAGTCCAAGGCGTTCACCTATCTGCCTGTCCTCTATGGACTTGGAGGTATCACTGGTCCAGTCATCGGCGGAGTTCTCGTGTATCAGAGGAACCCTTTCAACAAGTCGCAACCCAACCCCTACCCATTTCTCTTGCCCAATCTGCTTTCTGCCGCCGTTCTGTGTGTCGACCTCGTCCTCACGGCGATATTCCTCGAGGAGAGCTTGGAGGAGGCACCGTATCTCGGACCCATCACTCATCGGGTCAAGAGTCTCTTTGCCTGGCTGTGGGAGTTCACAGCCTCAACCAGACCACATTATTTGAGAAGGCGTAAGAGCAAGGCACACCAAACGCACAGTAATGGACTTGCCGAGGTGTCAGATGACGAAGACGCTGACGGAACAGCGGAGAATCAAGCACTGTTCCCTCAGACGGAGGAACTGAAGAAGAGCGACGTGCTCAACCGAGATACCATCCTCCTACTTTTGACATACCTCATCTTCCAGTTGTCCAACGTCTCTTTCAACTCGCTCTACCCAATCTTCGCGCAGGCGGCACCTCCGACTGGGCGGGGGTTGGATCCGGAAGAGATAGGCCTCTCACTTGGATTCGCCGGCGTGGTGACTATCTTGTTCCAGATCGGCATATTTGGAAAACTGCGGGATAAGGTGGGAAACAGGTGGGCATACCGGGCTGGACTGGGCGGCTTTGTGATAGCCTACCTTCTCATGCCCTTTGTCGGCTACAAGGGCAAAGGCGACGGTACAGAAGCCGTCTCATTCGGCGCGGTATGGTTATGGATCGAGATCGGTTTCGTCCTCCTCATTAAGACTGTGGCGGCAGTCGGAGGTCTCACAAGCGCTCTACTGTTGGTAAGTCGGCGATCTTTCCTTGGTGGTATACACAAGCTGGCAGGGCTGACCAGATGTCGCAGATCACCAATTCTGCCCCTAATCACTCTGTCCTTGGAACACTCAATGGTCTGGCCCAGACGCTGTCCGCGGCAGGCCGGGCGGTCGGTCCATTCGTGTCGGGTGGCATCTTCTCCCTCTCCACCAAGGTCCGTCCGAAAGGCGAGGCTTTGGCGTTTGGTACCTTTGGCGGAGTGGCCTTTGTGGGCTTCCTTCTCAGCTTTGGGATCAGGTCTCCAAACTTGGAGGCGGAGGGTTGGGAGTCGGGGGACGAAGAAGATGAAGACGACGAAGAAGACGACGACGATGGGAGCGATAAATCGGTGAATGAAGAGAACTGACCGCCGCGGAATGCACAGTCTCCTGAAGATCCAATCTAATATTGATCTACTACATGGGCGCTACGAGAAACAGATCCAGCGATGGAGTTCAGACGGTCCAAAAAAATTGGGAACGGGTCACGGGTCACGGGTCACGGGCGGCTTTGAAAACGATTGCTGTCTGCTCCAATGATGTTGATGGATTGGGAAAACAAGCAATGCTACCCATGCCGTTCACGCCTGGACATGGGATGTTTCAACGATTCGGTTTGACGTGCCAGTCAAAAATGCATGTTTTTCAACCCTCAGATAATAGTACTCTAGTTTTACACGGACTGCCAGACGCGCAGATGATTGTTCAAAGACAAAAGTCACCCTGTGCTCGGCTGTCTCAACTTTGGCTTTTCGGACTTTTGTTCTTCATTGGGTCATGCATGCATCGTCGTCCCCCGGGATCCAGCAGCCTCGTCGTTGATCTCGCTCTCACACTCCGAGCGCCAGGTCGCCGTCATCTCGGTTCCAGTCTTGTCACGGACGTCTTCTCCCATTCTCAGTCCCGACGGAATCGTTGGTGCCCAAGTTTTGTGTTTTCTTCTTTTCACGCTCTTCATGGTGTCCATGGTTCCTCAACCTGGTCGGGGATGTACGCGGATCGTGCGTCGCCCCACGCGATATATATAGATACTGATGATACGACCCTTTGAACGACGACATCCAACGCTCGATGCGCGAGAAATGCTGCTTGCAAGAGAGAGAGCAGACAGGAAAATACCACTCGACTCGACTCGACTCGACCGGAGGACACGGGATACACACACACACACACGCACACGTGCACCACCAACGCGTTTCACCGCGCTGGAAAACAAGAGAGCTCAGATTGAAAACCATTCCCAGAAAAAGACATGACTGTCCTCATCAGCGGTGCCAAACGACCGGGCTGGTTCTGCTGTTGCGAAAAAGAACAAAAACATCGTGAGCAGACCGGCCACGGTTCGCGGCGTGCAGAGAAGGGATCGAAGTGGTTAGGATCGATCGAGCTTCCAAAGCTTCCATCGCCTCGGACAGTGCACGCTTAGGTTCTTCATTGCCTGGTGTGCATGCGCGTGTGTGTGTGTTGTGCGAGCGTGCGCAGGATACATACCGGCTTGAGTCTTGTTTCGTAGCACTCTCCTGAATTGCCTGACTCTTTAAACATCGAGCGTTTTCTGCACGACATCAGACCTCGCGATATATCTGTATCTGTGTATGTATTTCGCGTCGGAGAATAGAGTGCAGAGATAGACGTCGCGACAAGAGATAGGCCAGTTGATGTGCATGTGCATGCGCAGGCGCGTATGTGCAGCAAACTTCTGACGCCGAGAGCGAGAATCGACCGACAGCCGGAGAGCGAGCTGCCCAAGCGAGGCGTGTGGTGTCCCGCGGCACGAGATTGGGTTGCGTGTCTTGAATCCCGGATCTCTTTGTTTGTTCGAGATCACGGTACGTGTATGGTCTCGGGAGCCTGCATCTCTTCGATCTCTGTTCTTGAATTGGGCTTTCACAGGTACAACTCCGCAGCTCACGACGACGGCGGACGGGTGCTTGCAGCCGATATGTGTTGCTAAGAATAACAATCCCATACACGGCGGCAAGTACCCGGGACCGAGGCCGTCGTGGTCGCTTGCGTCGTGCCCTCGAAGGTGGGTTTAGTACGTAGTTGTGTGAAGAATTGGTGTTTCGGCATCGAGAATTCGGATCCTGCGCCAAAGAAGAAAGTGGTCAGTCTATATTGGTGTACCGAAATTCCGGCGATCTCCTCAATTCCATCGGATATGAGTATACATGTGCGGTGCACCGGTGTCACGACATGCTTGGGAATTCTGTAGCTCTGCTCTGTGACTGACCTTCCTCGACCTGGGGTACTAGGAGAAGGAAGAGGAGGGAACAGCACAGATTCGAGGCGAGATCGCTAGACTTCTGCGAGGCAAGGCCGGGCGCTCTGACAGGCTCCGCTTGGGGCGGTTCGCGTCGGGCGTCTGGCGTCGTTGATCCTGGTTAAGGTCCATGATCAGTCAGTGGGCTTCAAGTCATTCTTGTGTCCTTGAATTTGCAGAGCATATCTGGGTCACGTGAGACCACATGCGAGCATCGAGGTCGGCAAGGCTTCTGAAGAGTCTTTTTGCTTTGATTGCGTTTCTATAACAGTCACTTGCTTGAGCTTGTCGATGAGAGAATGGAAGGAAGAACTCGAGGAGCCTAAAGCGGCGGGATATCACGGCATTATGTCATTGGTATACTTAGTCATAAATTATGTAATCGATGTTCGGTGTAGATCACCACAAGGGAGAAGAAACATCATGGCTTTTAGATATGATTCATGCATTCATACATTCTTGTTGAATTGTCTGGGGATCAAGAAGCAATGATGAATCAACTCGGGTCCATATTTCTCCTTTGCTGTTACCCGCGCACCTAGTTTCTCATGTCAGTGGGAGGCTTAAGCGGCATTGAGCTCTATTTATCTTTCACGGTATCAGACATTGACCCAGGACTCTGAGGCTGCTGTTCTACCAGTCTGAGCTCGTTATTTGATAGCGACGACTCCTCCAGCCTGCCCCCTTCTTCTGTCGAACCAGTTGAGCTATACCGACCCTGACATGGAGGAAAAAGTCACCTTTACCTCTGGGGACACTTCGATACCACCAGATCTGCGCATCCTCCATTACAATGATGGTGTGTACCCAAACCACTTGCTTGTGGAGGGAGGGCTCCCCGAGGCAACAAGTCATGTTCTAACACGCCATGTCGACAGTCTACCACATCGATGCGTCTTCTGCTGAACCAGTGGGAGGCATCGCCCGCTTCCAGACCGTCTGTAACTACTACCGCAATGACGGTCGGTTTTCGGGGCAACCCAACCTTGTCACGATCTTTTCCGGAGATGCTTTCAATCCTAGCTTGGAAAGCAGCGTGACCAAAGGTACCATTGCCGCCAACATGACATCTTGACCGTCTTCAACGGTCACGTGACAGGCAGCATACTGACGAGATTCGCAATGCTAGGTAGTCATATGGTGCCTGTGCTCAACATGATAGGGACAGATATTGCTTGTGTTGGCGTAAGAGTCCAATGATGCACCCGCTCGTCCTGAGGCTAACACTGCTATTGTCCGGCAGAACCACGATCTCGACTTTGGTGTTAAGCAATTTCGCAGCCTTGCCTCACAGTGCAAGTTCCCCTGGCTTTTGGCCAACGTGCTTGGTTCGGCTCCTCCGTCGTGAATCACCTTCGGCCTGATTGACGAATGTGATAGATCCTCAACTGGGCGATGACGTCCCTCTAGGCAATGCGAAGAAGACGGCCATGCTCACCTCCTCGAATGGGATCAAGATCGGCCTCATCGGTTTGGTGGAGCGAGAATGGCTGGACACCATCAACTCCTTGCCTCCGAATTTGATCTACAAGTCAGTGTCGGCGACGGCAATGGAGCTGGTACCAGGCTTGCGAGAACAAGGGGCAGAAATCATCATTGCCGTAACCCATCAACGAGAACCGAACGACAACAAACTCGCGGAGAAGATTCCCAATGGACTGATCGACATGATCCTTGGAGGTCATGATCACTTCTACCAACACAATCTAATCAATGGCACGCATGTTCTGCGCTCAGGAAGCGATTTCAAGCAGGTCAGCTATATCGAAGCGCGAAGGCGGCCCGGTGAGGACAAAAAGTGGGATGTTCATATCGTCCGGCAAGATATCGTGTCAGACATCCCTCAAGACCCGAAAGCGCTTGAACTCGTGGAAGAGCTTACGGCGAGCTTGAAGCCAAAGCTGGAAAAGCCTCTAGGCTACACGGCCGCTCCGTTGGATGCCAGATTTACCACCGTGCGGCTTAAGGAGTCGAATATTGGAAACTTTGCTTGTGACTTGATGCGCTCGTATTACCAAGGCGATTGCTGTCTCATGGCGGCTGGCACCATAAGAGGTGACCAGGTCTATCCTCCCGGACTGCTTCGGCTGAAGGATATTATGAATTGGTGAGTCTTCTATTGGCTTTTCACGGCGACTTCACGCATGTGGTCGGCTAACGTCTTTCTGTTCAAGCTTTCCGTTCGAGGATCCCACCATTGTCATTCAGGTCACCGGAGCAGCACTCTTGGCCGCACTGGAGAACTCGGTCTCCACATATCCCGCCCTTGAAGGCCGCTTCCCTCAGGTATCCAACATCGAATTCGAGTTCGACCCTCGCCTGCCGCCCCATCATCGAATCAAGTGGGTCAAGGTAGGCCGAGAACCCCTCGACCTCGAGAGGAAGTACAAGCTGGTCACGAGGGGCTACATGGGACGGGGCAAAGATGGGTTCGATTCCTTACTCGTGCAATCTGAAGGAGGCGAAGCGGAAGAAATCGTCTCCGAAGAGAACGGCATGTTGATCAGCATGATCATGCGGCAGTATTTCATGTCCTTGAAAATCATTGGCAGGTGGAAACACTGGGGCCAGAGCCTGGCTCGACACTGGGATGGAGTCCACGATGATTTGCACTCGACGCACCCTGTCGTAGAACCGAACACGGACGCTTTGGGGAAGAAGCCCTCTGAGAGCGGAGACACGACCACGCCGCTGGACGATTCGGAGGATGAAGGCGATCACCGCGTCCGCAACCCTCAGCATGACAAAAATGAGCGAGATATGCAGCTTATCCGGAAGGTCGTGCGCAAGTGGTGGCGTCTTACGGGACTCAAGGGCCAGCCTAGATGCTGTGACAAAATGGACGACGAGGAGTTTCAGGTTGACTGGACCAGAGTGAGTCAAATGATGGGTGTGCGATGGTGGTACCTTGTTGCTAATTATCACGACGCAGGCCATTGCACCTCGACTCGAGGGACGGATCAAAATCACAAAGGGTGCTCCCAGTCCGGAGGACAAGTCTTGACCCTTGTCGAGGTCAAGCTGTATACCATGCTTCTGTTCTTTCTTCTTCACGTTGAGCGCCAGAGAGACAGCTTGAAGAGTGCACCACGATCAGTGGAAGAGAGAGCCAACTGCATGCGTCGACCTGCTCTCCTTGAGCCATGATGGCACACCGAATTGTTCCACGAGCACTCTCAAGCTGTGAAAGCGACATCCACAACGGCATTCGCTACACGCGTTACATTCGCTGGATCCTGGCCCAGAACCGACTTGCCATCTTGATGCCTTGGAACACAATCTCCCAAGGACTCGCTGCCCATCTTGACGTTCCGGATCCCATGACTTTTCTCCTATCAGTCTCCAGGTTGAAGAGCAATGTGCCTGGATAGTCGACTAACCCTGTAGAGTTTGCTACCTGTGAGGTATAGGTACGTGTGCTCTGTTATGCAGTGTTTGGGATATAGAAGCGATAAAGCAGCATCGAAACAGTCCTCAAAAAGGGGTACTGGGGTAAACCGTCATCACGTGGATGGTCATGTGACTGAGCCACTGATATGACCAGACCAGGCGGTTCTAGTAGCAGAACCTGCGCGAACAATACAAGTAGTACACTCCGCCTCTGCAGTACGACATCCCAGGTGCCGTGTATCTTTAGGTAGAACAATAAAGGCATCTTAGTTCTCGATTCTGGAAGAGCCCCACAGGCTCGAGACGAAGAATTGCCCAAAACATGGTTGACTTCGCAGCGAGGAACCCGAAGCCCGCAGCCCGGGCGTCAAGCGATGTGCCGACGTGAATCTCCGCATCGCAGGACCCAAGTGGCAATAATACTTATTAGTAGTAGTATGGCAGTGGGTAGTTCGGCATTCCAGCTCGTTGGAGGAGTCGTGGTTCACGGTAGGTAGGTGGATGGAGGGAACGAAACCCAGAGGCATCTTTGTGTAAGTTCTCGGCCTTGCTCTTTTCCGTCTTCATAGTCCATAGTTCGGTACCCGGGTACCTAGGCCATGTTGTAGTAGTACCGCACTGCAATAATGGAGAGTCCGCGGGACTGGCGAACAGATCCGCTGGGAAGGAATAAAGTTCTCAATCAGGACGTGGAATTTGCAAGCCTGAAAGAAAGCACCTCGACCAGTTGCTGATGGTGGAGGCACGGTAGAACGATTACAACGGAGGAAGAGGATTCGGGCTGAGAGGCTGAAAGTAGAAAGAAATTGCGAGATACGTAATAACTCTGTACGTACCGTTGACACGAATAGCGGTTGGCGAGAGAGGGAAAAGGCACAATTGAAATGAGGGAGAAGAGATTGGCTGGTTGAGAGCCGCAGGGCCAGAGGCGCAGGCGCAGGCACAAGAGGTGTTGAGGCGAGCCGTGGTATGGGGCTAGGAGGCTAAGGGGCTCCCAAGGCGCCCAAGGCTCTCCTTATAGGCTGCGCTGCGGGCTTCGAGTTGGAGCTGACCGTCAAGCTGCAATGGATGATTATGTGTGATTACAACACTGTAGAACATAGAACACACACTAACCGCCGCCGACCCCATATTCATTCATCACACACTACACTTCAAGTTTCTTTTCCACCGTTCTCTACACCCCGTCATCGCCCTCAATAGCTCCCATCGACTCCTCACCATCTCTCACCTGAGCTATCCCGTCAGTCGACTGCAACGCAACCATGGAGGCCCTTCTCCAGCAATCCAAGGGTGTTTGTCCCTTCTTGAAGAAAACCTCGCCCGCGACCTTACGCTCGCTCTCCACCTCCACCCACCAATCCCCCGGTGGCGGTACCATCACCAACCTGCAGTTCATTGCTCGACGATGCCCCGTCATGAACAAGGCGCTGGCTATCCAGAGCGCTCGCATGACCTCTCGCCGTAGCTATGGCAAGGCTGCCGCCGGTACTGGTGTGGTCAAGTCGTTGCTGGAGAAGAAATTGCACACTTCGGCAGAAAAGAAAGCCAACGTCGCGCCCAGCACATTCCGACCGGTGCAACCAGGTATGTCAATAATTCCAAGGGACGAATGTTCTGCTGACACCTCTTAAGCTCCGCCGCTCCAGAAAGTGCAACCTGCCGTCAAGAAACCGGACGCTTATGCAGGGCCGAAGCCCACCCCGCCAACCGCGCCTCGGTTCGACTATGAGCGCTTCTACAACAATGAGCTCGAAAAGAAGCACAAGGACAAGTCATACCGATACTTCAACAACATCAATCGACTTGCCAAGGAGTTTCCTCGTGCTCACAAGGAAACAAAGGAAGAGCGAGTCACAGTCTGGTGTTCCAACGATTACCTGGGCATGGGGCGCAACAAACATGTCCTGAAGACAATGCACGAGACTCTCGACATGTATGGCGCCGGCGCCGGCGGCACCAGGAACATTTCGGGCCACAATCAACACGCTGTGGCCCTTGAGAAGACTCTGGCCGACCTACATGGCAAAGAAGGGGCGCTAGTCTTCTCTTCGTGCTACGTAGCGAATGATGCCACACTGGCCACGCTGGGCAGCAAATTACCCGACTGCGTCATCTTGAGTGACAGCTTGAATCATGCTTCCATGATTCAGGGTATTCGTCATTCCGGTGCGAAGAAGATGGTCTTCAAGCACAACGACTTGGTGGATTTGGAGGCCAAGTTGGCCAGCCTGCCACCTGAACAACCCAAAATCATTGCCTTTGAGTCCGTCTACAGCATGTGTGGTTCAGTCGCACCGATCGAGGCCATCTGCGATCTTGCAGATAAATATGGCGCGATTACTTTCCTCGATGAAGTCCATGCTGTTGGTATGTACGGACCGAGGGGTGCCGGTGTTGCAGAACACCTTGATTACGAAGTCTACGCCAACCCCCACCGAAACAAGGAGATGCAGAAAGGCACGGTGATGGATAGAGTCGACATCATCACCGGCACGTTGGGTAAAGCCTACGGATGTGTGGGCGGTTACATTGCCGGTTCCGCGGCGTTGGTGGACGCAATCCGGTCCCTTGCCCCGGGCTTCATCTTCACCACCAGTCTTCCTCCTGCCACCATGGCTGGTGCTCGTGCTGCAATTGAGTATCAGGCACGCTATCAAGGAGACCGACGCCTTCAACAGCTGCATACCCGCGCCTTGAAAGATGACCTTACCAAACGTGGCATTCCCGTCATCCCCAACCCCTCGCACATTGTCCCTATCCTTGTCGGTGACGCCGAAGTTGCCAAGCAGGCTTCCGACATGCTGTTGAATGACTACGACATCTATGTCCAGTCCATCAACTACCCCACCGTTCCTCGTGGCGAAGAACGGCTCCGAATCACCCCTACTCCTGGCCACACAACCGAGCTGAGGGCTGAAATCGTAGACGCCCTCGAACAGGTGTGGGAGCGCTTGGATATCAAGCGTATCGCAGACTGGGAGGCGCAAGGTGGGTTTGTCGGGGTTGGTGTCAAGGACGCCAAACCCGTGGAACCTCTTTGGACCGATTCGCAGCTCGCTGAAGCGCAGGCCGTCTCCAAACCAGCCGCCGACGAAGCTACTGAAGAGCGCGTCATGCCTATTGCTGCCGCTGCGGCTTGAGCTTTCCCCAGTTTTAGAGCTCCTTGTCTAGCTCGATCCAGTGAAGTGCTCGCTGTCAGTGGTTGTGGTGTCATGATGAGGAGGAGAAAGAAATTTGTTGACAATATACATTCTTTGCCATCTTACCCGTTTGGCAAATGTCCGGCTCTTCAGCCATCATATATACTCTATTTTCGGTCAGAAACCGACCGATGAGGAATCTAAGATCGCCATCAAATAGATGGCCATTTTAACCTTCTCACCCCCTGTGCCGATTGATATTGGTCTTGCTCGCTGCACTGTTCAATGCCACACGTTGCGCCGTGACTCGTTGCTTGTCTTTGCATGTCATCGTTTCATTCTCTTATTCCTATGTGCTAGACTTTCACTGGTAGACGCTGACCGCCTTCAAGTTGACCAGATGCTCACTTCTCGGCAAACAGCCATGCATGTCGCTCTGTTCACTCTTATCTCCTACTCGGCCGCCCGGCGCTGATCTTGGGGAATTCGATGGGAAACCGGAGTTTCGCAAACTTGGGCTTCGGCAATGTCGTCTCCTTGCCATCCTCATCCACTATCTTCCTCGCCTTACCTTTCTTCTCCCAGCCCCAACGTGCCAGCTCCATATCTGCCAAGCTCTCCATCTTGCACCCCAGTTCACGGAAGAGCTTGCTCACCTCGGTCGGCTGCAACGCCAGGTCCAGCGAGATGTCGGACGGCTCGGTGACGAGCACGGGCATGGTCACTCCGGGCTGCCACTTGGGCGGCGGGATGTGCAAGGTCAGGGCCAGAATCGTGGTGGTCAACAAGGTCTTCGCCTGGGCCGTGGGGATCGACGTCGGGAAGAAGTGAGCGACCAGTTTCGACAGGAAGGCCGTCGACAGACTTGCATCCGAGGTCGTGTGGTCCGGCCACTGTTCCGGCTGCGGGATGGGTTTGCGGGCGGGCAGGCGCGTGATGTACGTGTACAGCTCCAGCAGGAGCTGGATGTACCGCAGCAGCTGCAGCTTCAACAGCGTCGTCTGGTCGTCGGGATTCTCGAGATGGAGTCGGGTCAGACGGTCCACGCGGTGCGCGACGAAGCGGTAGCGCGACACCACGTCCTTTTTCGCTCCGATCCGCTCGCGCCAGTAGGCCAGCGGCATCTGCGCCAGTGTCGTGCGCGCGGGGGCCGGGAAGACCAGCGCCGAGAGGCCATACACTTCCTCGATCTCCGTCGTGTCCAGGTTCGCTGGAGGCAGTGGCTTGTTGGCCCGCGACAGGACCGTCGCGTCAGAGGTGTTCTTGGTATCCAAGAATGGGTCGTCTTCGTCCTTGATCGACCACAGAATCGCATTCGAGACAGGGCTGTCTGTTGCCTTCTCCCCGCCGCGAGCGAGGAGTCGGTTCTCGGCCACCGAGGCCACTGCCTTTTTGGATTTCTTGGTTCCAAACGCCTCGGTCAGTGCGGCGCGCGACGAGGGCATCGTTGCCCAGGTGGGTGTTGCTCCAGTATCGTTCTCTTCACCGTCGCTGCCGTCTCGCTGGTCGACTTGGCGCACACTGCTGCGTACCGTCACTTTCTTGGCTTCCGTGACTCGCAGGCTTTTTGATGACGGGTCAAACACCGCGACGTAGTGCTTCATGTGCCTCTCGCCTACTTCGGTGGTGTTGCTTTCCGTTGCGACATAGTCAATCGTTGGATGGTCAGAGGTTTGGAGGAGAAGGCTGGTCGGGCTGGCGGACGACGTTGTTGTCTTCTTGGAGAAGGCGTTGAATTTCAATTCCGGGGGAAGCGTGAAACCGGGGGAGAATGCTAGAGACAATCGGTTAGTAAAGGGATCTTAGGGCACAAGTTCAGACTGGTCGTAGGTAGAGCAGGATCTGTTTGTCCTTACCAACAACGGGCTTCGCTACATCGGGGCCTGTGATGTAGGTGACCTTGGCTTTGCTGGTCTGTGGCTTTTTGGTCGGTCGGTCGGTGGCTTCTTGCGCCCCAGCTTTTCTCTTTTTCTCACCCATGATGGGGGCAGGTATTGTTCTTCAGAGGAAGAGACAGTGCGGACTGGCTCGCGTGAAGGGGCGCCTTATGGAAGAAATCGGGTAGTCTCCTTTCTTTGCGTCGCCATCCAGTGCGTTCAACTGGATGTAAAGAGATTCTGTTGTCGGAAAAATAATTTTTGGTCGGCGAGTCGGCGGTTTGGCTCCGCACGCAGTTTGCCAGACGTCACGCACTGCGTCTTCCTCTACAGAGTAGACTAGTACTGTGGTCAACTACAGCCACAACATCGGCTCCAACACACACCGACCCTCTGGGCTTCTCAAAACCTGAGGTGGTGGGGCAGCGAGTCAAATGAATACCTGGTTACTTATTATACAGCGCAAGGCCAGCTTGAATAGCCAAGTCAAAGACGGAAGTATACAGAGCTCATTGTTTGATTGATTGCTACTGGAAAGTGCAACACAGGACAAGATATTGAACTGGGTCCGGGTAGCTTTAGTAGCTCTGTGTTTTCCGTTGTTTTGAGTGACTTAGAGTCTAGAACATAGCGTCGTTGTCCGGAGATTCTGTGCGTGCTGGATCCTCCTTGGCCATGTCCCAGACATCATAAGCAACCCCGTCAGAAAGCTCCATGGAGACTGACCATCCTCCACTCCTCTTACACGACAATCGCAGCTGGCGAAGCTTTGATTATTGTAAGGCCGATCTTCTGGTCCGCAGTTTCCGTCATGGCGATCAATGGCACGCCGGGAGTAGTGTTGCGGTCAAGTAGTTGTGTTGTAGTCGAGACCCGATGTTCGGGGAGTGAATTCAACTTTGAAGATTCGTTGACATTTGGTCGAGAGGGGACGATGTGATGGAGCAGTTGACGCGATTACTTGCTGTAGGAAAGGGTTAATGTTCTGGTTCTTGCAACGCCAATCTGTGAATATCGATTCAAGACATACCTGCGGGCTCTAGTCTTTCTCCTCTTACGCTTGAGACGACGAACTCTCTTCTTTCTCCACTTGGCTCTCATCTTCGATCAATTCCGACTATCGAGGAGGTTAGTAACAGGTCACAGTAGTTCAGAGAATCATCTGGATATTCACAGGGAAGACATACGGAGTTGTTTGAGGATGAGTGTGCGGTGATGTAGAGAGGGAAGCGGGAGGAACGAGAAGCTGCTGCGGGGGATTTTGAAGGGGAACAGCCCGCCAAGCCTGACGGCTGCGTGTGTGCCTATTTGGCTTGGCGTGTTTGTGCCAGTGACGTCGCAGTTGATCTCAATCGGGACAACAGCATCACGTGCAGCTACCGTCCACCATATAATGCTGGACAACACGGCAGGTGCGACTATATACGTCTGAGATGGCAGTCACTACTGTCTGTGACTGTTGACTGTTGAGTTTTTATCTACTTCACTGTCATCGCACGCGTCTCGTCTGCCATCTGCCGTATTGGGGCCAACTATCACACACCGACAAGACCATTTCAAGGCACTCTGGACTCATTGTCATGCACTTGCTTTGCCCAGGTGGGATTTGCCCTGTTTCTCTGTAGATGTCCTGTATCTTTTCTTGAGTCGCGACGAGCTCAAAAGCTATTGATTCGTTCTTGAAGTTGAGTTATTCCATCAATATGGCAACTTTGCCTTGCTCTGGCGTTCGTCGAATATGCAGTGGCTCTGCCTTATCCTCCAAGCCACCTCTGGCAGGTATCTTGGTCCTTCAGAATCGCCACGGGAAAGTCTTGGGACGTGGGTCATTGTCTCTTTAATCTCCCTGATTTGACCTTGATCATACTAGCCTATCTAGGGAAGAAGGTCTATGCAAACCAAGAAATCATCATTGGACGCGACAGAACGAAATGGTGAGAAGATGACTCTTCAGAAAGCCTCCAGCTAATCAGACAGTCAATACGTCCTGAATGATCCCCGTGTCTCCAAGAGACATGTCAGTATCTACACAGTCGTCTACGAAAAAGATGAGCCCAATGGGGTGGATACACTTGTCTACGCGGAAGATCTGTCCCAGAACGGTACATATCTGAATGGGGACTTTATTGGCAAAGGCAATGGCGGGTTCCTTCTCAGCGACGGAAATATCCTCCGATTGAGTCGCTGGACAAGCCTCATCTTCCATGTCGTCAACAAGAACGAGTCAATGGATACGTTTGACGTTATTCAGGAGAAAGAGATGGGGGTATGATGCCCACAGCCTAATCTTGAGATTCGACTGACGGCCACAGCGTTTTCGACGGGATTATGTTGTCAGCGATAGATTACTCGGTGCAGGAGCCTTCGGCAAAGTGTTCATGGCCCTCGAACAGACATCCCGGACCCAAGTTGCTTGTAAAATCGTCGACCTGCGCAAGCTCACACCAAAACTACAAACCCGGTTTCGCCGTTCCCAGAGGCCTGCCACTGCTGATGATGTCGACAACAGGATACAGGCACGCAAAGTGAAGGCATGGGGTGATCAGAAGAAGAGGGAAATAGGGCTAAACCCGAAGTTGAAGATGTATTTCCGTGAGGTTGAAATTCTCTCCTCGATCAGCCATGTAAGTTCTTTTCACAGGAAGATATTGTGCACTGGTTTGACTCCCATGATCAGCCCAACATCATTGGACTGGAGAAGGTCTATATCACCAATAACACGATGTAAGTAAGCTGACTTTCTTCGACACCCAATTGCTCACAACTACAGCTACATGATGCAAGACATTGTCACTGCGGGTGATCTCTTCTCTTACATCGAGTCGAAGAATGGAAAGCTCCTCGAAGTCGAAGCCGCAGTGATTGTTCGACAAATGCTCATAGCTGTGCGATTCCTCCACCAGAACAACATCGTGCATCGAGACATCAAGCCGGACAATATTCTCATGACCAGTCTGGCAGCTGGTTCTCGAGTGGTGCTGACCGATTTTGGTGCCGCCCGAAGGATCCATACGTCACGACATCGTATGTCGACAGTTGTCGGGACACACGAATATGCTGCCCCGTAGGCTATCTTGACGAACACCCGAGTGCTTTGGCTAATGGTATATATAGGGAGATGCTCAGACGAAGACACGATAAACTGACAGTCGAAGAATCTGACGGCTACACTCGAGCAGTAGATATGTGGGCCGTAGGATGCGTTGCAGTCATCCTTCTTACTGGCGGAATGGCCTTCACTGACCCTGCGACGGGTATGTACTCCGAAAAGCTGGCTCGAGACTGCGACCTCGACTTTTTGCGAACATCGAAAGATTGGCAAGCAGTCCGACAACGACCCAGAGAATTTGTGGAGCGATTGCTGGTGATCGATGAGGAATCAAGAATGACCGCCGACGAAGCCCTTCAACACCCCTGGTTTTGCAACGAAGCTCACAAGTACGACTTCGAAGCCCTGTATCAACGGACAATACAGCATTGGCATCCAAGACGTCCCAAGAGTCCTGTGATTGATTTCCGAGACGGTGGAGCCTTCAAATATCTTGCATACAAATGGGGATTTGAGAGCTTCTACCATAAGAGTCGGGCGAAAGGACGTCACTCTCCGGTCGAACCACCATACAAACCGTTCCCCAGGAAGATGCATCTGACGCTGTGGCCGGAGAGAGATGAGAAGAAGAGACTGTCACTCGAGGTGTTGACAGCTATCAGCAAGTGGTCACCGCAATCAGCAATGAAACTTGCCTGTAAGTCGACGCACCTTTCGGGAGAGGAAGTCCAGGGCTTTATCACAGAAGAGGCGACCGATTCTGAGGACTACGGAAGTACAAGAGCTAAAGCGTCGCGGTATTTCCCATCATCAGATGCTGAAAAAGCCGGGATAAAGCAGAACGGCGTGCTGGGAAAGCGGAAACGCACAACAGTTGACAGCGAAGAACGGGATACGAGAAGAGCAATGAAGGCCAAAATCATGATCGACGAACCTTTGACTCGAGAGACCGGACCAAGCGTTGTTGACGAGCGAGCTGCACCTCTAATTCCCAACGCTCTATACGATACAACGCATTGGAGGACCAGTCGCAAGTCACCACTGACCGAAACAGAGGACGTGCTTCCGAGTATTGAAACTCCGGCCCCGACAAACAAGCTCAAAAGAAGGGCGTCAACATCACTGACTGGTCAGAGATGGACAAAGCGTCGAGGCTCCATTTTCGACTTAGCAGAGGACGGTGATGGCGATGGTGGGAAACCTCCGAAACCAACTGCTGCAGCATTCGTGGAGAATCGACCCAACGAGAGTCTCGCTACGACATTCAAACGACCAGACCTGTATCTTCCCCGATGATGATGAGCCAAAGGATTGTCGAAAGGAAGGCTGGGGTCTTGTACTGACTATTGGTATCATATGGATAATTCACATGGAACAGACCTTATGGTGCAAAACATTACCATGCTGCACAGTGTGATGAGCGCTGAAAAGATGGGAGCAGAAGAACATGATCGAGGTGTAACACCGCCGTACATTATTGTACAGTATTAGTCTGAATACAATGGGCAAACAGTCTCAAGATAGTTAAATGTATGAATGTCTTGAGTCGTGCAGAGATGCATATCCATCTGTCGATCCATCCTTTCGAATCCGCACGGCTCATTTTGAGCTCTGCCTGTTCGGATCAAGCCATCTTGTCAGCATTCTGGGCCGCCTTTTCCTTCGCGGCCGCGCTTCCCGTGCCATCAACGCCCAGCAGTCCATCCTCCTTCTCAAGCACCTCATGACCATTAGTCTCGAGGCCACTGACCATCGTGCCGGCGGTCTTGGGTCCCGTGAAATTCTTCCTCCCATCAAAGACCCAGGTGACGAGGCTGATCAAACCGATGATGCCAAACGCGGCACTGCAGTAATTCATGTTATCTGCATCGACAGGCCCCTCCTGGGGGAAGTTGAAGTCGATACCGCCAAAGATCAGAAAAGCCAGTCCGAGGGCGTTGAGCACAGGACTCCACTTGCCCATGTTGTAGGCGCCGGGGATGCGTTTGGCGTGCTCGTATCCGGCGAAGAAGCTCCACAGCCGCGCCAGCAGCGGCATGGCATAGGACAGGTAGAAGCCGAAGGTGGCGATGGAGACGACGGTGCTGAAGCCCTCGTAGCTGGCGTAGTAGATGCTGTTCAGGCCCATCTGGATCACCATGCACAGCAGGATCGAGTAGACGGGCACCTGGGACCGCTTGTTGACTTGTTTCAAGACGCCCGAGAACGGCAGGCCGTGGTCGCGCGCGAACGCCCACAGCGCGCGGCCGCCCTCGGCCATCAGGCTGTTGGAGGCGATCAGCACAATCACCGTGATCAGGCACGACAGCGCCGTCGCCCCGCCGATGCTGCCCGTGCTGTCGTACATGATCTGGATCAGGGGCACACCTGTCGGTGTGTCTGCTGTGGCTTGAATGTCGCCGATGCAGAAAAACGCCGAAATCAGGAATACAAACCCCGTCACCGCTCCGAGCCAGACGGACATAACTATGGCTTGGGGAGCTTGTTTTGCAGGTTCCCTGAGTTCCTCGCTCATGTGAGCCGGCGCATCATAGCACGCCATGCCTACAGACGTGATAGAATCAGCTTGATGAAGTTGTAGAGACAAAAAGGAGGGTTGGAGGGTGGAAGGGAAGAAATGAGGCGTGTTGGGGATTGGGGTGGAGTTGGAGAAAAGCAGTGGATAATAATCGCTGCTGTGCGAATGGGACAGCAGGGCAATGAGTAGTGAAGTGCGAGCGAAGTGGAAGAAGGGTTTGAATGTCTTTGAAGGGTTGAGATGTGGGAGCTTGATGGTGCGATGTCTGGAGGACAGGCTGAGGGAAAAAGGCTCCGGAGGAGTCAAGCAGTGAATGAATGGTGAGTGGGTCTTGTAAGCCCGGGGAGGGTGCCGGAAGAAGTACTGTAGGAGGAGCCAGACGACCGAAACAACGGCATCGCCGAGCATGGAGGTCTTTGCTGTTGGGTTGACAACCCCTAGCTTTGAATCAAAGCGAGGTATGATGGTCCAAAATATGGAGCCAATAGTCATCCCCTGTTCCAGACAATGCCGTCGTTCGATTGTGGGTTCCAGGGATACATTCGAAATCAAAGGAGACGAAAGGTCTTGAGGATGAAAATCCGCAAAGTGACGTGCCTCAAAGGCACATTTCAGCAATTCAACTTACCGAACAGAGTCTGCAATAGACCAATCATGACAGCCATGCCGCCCGACGAGAAACCAGTATCATTCTGGAAATCGGAGAAGACAAAGCTGCCGGACTGCTTGTGGTCGTTGCAGGCGAGGATGGTGATGATGACGACGAAGAAGCTCACAAGGTTCCAGACCACGGCGAACATCGAGATCTGGTTCAGCCAGCGGGAGAGGAAGATGTTGACGAGAGCGGCGCAGATGGCGAGCAGATAAGTGACCAGCACATCGTGCCAACGCTCGATGGTGTAGCCTGGGTTATTGAGATTGGCCATGCCGAGGATGAAATTGGAGCAGATCTTGTAGGGACAGTCAGCACTACATTCTTTTCTTGCTAGACATTGGAACAGAACAGGCTGTGCGAGGAAGTGTCGACTCAACCCAATGAAAGAATGGTGTGAGCAGCGACAAACCAGAATCAGAACTGTTACCGCCTTCCTTCTCTGGACCTTCCCTGGGAACAGGGTGCCACCTGCCACCATGAATCCATGGCGTTTAGACAGATTACATAGCTACTCCTCTTCTCCTGGTTGAGAAGAGAGGGGAGCCACACAATTCATGCAACTACTCTCCCACCTTGACAAGAACGTAAGGTAGGACCGCCCAAGGATGAGCCAGAGGAAGAGTAGATGCAAACACAAACACAAAAGACTGGGAAAGGTCTGGGACATGCTTACAAAATTGTTGACCGCCCCCATAGCAACAATGCCGGTACACATAAACCACCCCGTCACCCAGGCACTGCCACGAGCATACTTCGGCGGAGCGAGGATGGCGACCCAAGAATACTGCCCTCCAGCAGTGGGCCAGGCGGAACACATTTCGGCAAACGAGTAGGCGACGCACAGGGACAGCAGACAGATGCCGACCCACGACCAGACCATGACGGGCGGCCCGCCGGCGGTGATGCCCACGGTCAGCGTGCCGCCCAGGGCGGTCCAGCAGGTGACGATGGAGAAGCTGAAGCCGACCATGCCCAGAAGACCGAAGGAGCGTTTGAGTTCTGTGAAGACAAGATCAGCCAGCTGCGTGAATAAATTGGACCAATGGACACAGGAATGAACATAGAGATGTGGATATTAGGTACTAGTATAGAGATCCGGCTTCGATTCCTTTTTCCACTGCAAGGGATTTCAACATAACATACCCTGTTCATATCCCAATTTGGCCAATTGAGCCTCGTTGCCCAAAGACGCGTCATAGTCCTGGTTGATGGAGCCATGGACCAGCGACGAAAGGCGGCGAGTAGCCATTGTTCTGTTCTGTTTGTTCTGTTTGTTCAACTGGTTGCCAGCGTCCAGCAGGGCCAGTGAGTGGTGTGTATGTATGTGAGAAGACGTCGATAGATGAGTCGAGTATAGTGGAGAAGAGTCGAGTAGAGGGGAAGGAATCCTGATCCGAAAGGAGAATGAGAATGATATCGTGATGGCCAAGGAGGGTGAGCCAAAGACTGATAGATGGATAGATAGATAGAAGGATGTATATATGTAGTATGTATATCACTGCACCCTCATAAGATAACTGTCAGCGAGATGGCCCGGATACTAGTAGAAGCAGACGAATGAGTAAATCTCCGGGCGCTTTGACTAGTACTTGTATATTTCCCCTGCCAACATATAATATATAGAAAGCAGAAGGTAAGGAGCACATATCACTCACCTTAAATCGTGGTACTTAGCGGACTAATCCATCAAGAAAGGAGCTCGAGCCCAACCACAGCCCAACGCAGCCGCCGTCTCTCATGGTACGATGGCCGTCGTCGTGCTCATGGTGGTGAGGTAACCCCGGGGCAAAAGATAGCAGCTACCAAAGAACTGGATCCGACGAAAACAAGCTGGACCGGCCGATGCTTATCTCTGCCATGTTGGCCACATCATTGGATGAGTCGAGTGGCCAGGAGTGTCATTTGTATTACTAGTACCGGGAGAAACACGGATTGCCAGTGGAGGCGACCGGGGGTGATTTGATGGTGGATGGTTGATGGGTTGAGATGAAGGAGAGAGTGATAGAGAGGGAAATGGAGGTGGAGGTGGAAATTGAGGTGGAAATGGAGATGGGAGCCGGAGATGGCCGGGGACCCGCCCGCGATAACCGATAACAGACGCCGTTACTCACTAATTCGCCCTTTCTTATCTTATCTCCCGGACTTGACCACCGGCCTCCTAATCCCGCATCCCCACACAACCACCATTCAAGATACAGACTCAAAGTCACCAGTATCAGTAATAGTAATTAACCTCATGTATTGGTGTCTCTCCCCTCTAATACTGTTTGTCTTGCTCGTTCTCGTCTCCGACAAGATGACTATGACCAGCTGGATGATTGCACTGTCTTCCATGCAATATTGACCCATGCCAGCCAGCGCCGCGTTCATGTCGCCCGCCATCATTTTCCCCCCAACGCCTCGTCTGCACTGAACACAAATGAAATACCACGCCGGGCTGCTTGATCGTACATTCACCCCCCTGAGGTCTTCGGACACCGGGATGCTGGTGGAGGATGCTGGTGGGATTCGATGACTTTTCAATCCCCAACCGCCGTCGCTTCGCCTCCTCCATCCTACATACCACCCATGCCTAGATCTCCTTCGGCGTCCACAATCGCCAATCGTTGTTTGGCCGTCTTGGCCTTCTTGCTCACGCCTTTGCCGCCGCGCGCTCGCGACGACGACGGGCTCTCCACCGTGCTGACCGGCGTGGCCGCTCCGGACGGTTTGGCCGATGCATCTTCGAAATGTCCTTCACCTACAACCAAAATGTCAGTTCATCTTCATCGACAGAGCAGTCCCTGTCAATCTCACCTTCATGATACATGTCGTCCAGGCTCATCTCCCCTTTTCTCTTTCGGCTGGCCGCAGCTTGAGCCTTTTTGCTCTTCTTCTTCGTGCTCTCCTCTTCCTTCGGTTTGTCGGCGATTTCTTTCTCCTTTTGTTCGATGAGGGCGGCTTGATCGTCGTCCGCAAGCCACATCGCAATGTCCTTGGTACGGTTCTCCCGTCGGTCGCGAGTGTTGAAGTCCACTCCGGCACCATCTCCGCCCGTGATGACCACCCGCTGTACCTCTTCTTTCTGCATCGCTCGTTTCCGGATCCGTTCTTCAATCGTACCGCGAGTGATGAGACGATACACCGTCACTTGTTTGGTCTGGCCCAGTCGGTGGGCGCGGTCCATGGCTTGCGAGTCGATGGTCGGGTTCCAGTCCGAATCGTAGAAGATGACGGTGTCGGCAGAAGTCAAGTTGATCCCCAACCCACCAGCACGCGTGGAAAGCAAGAAGATGAAAATCTCCGGTCGGGTCTGGAAGTCATGCACCGTGTCCCGACGGTCTTCCAACTTGGTGCTTCCATCCAACCGACAGTACTTGTAGTTGCGGTAGGTCAGATATTCCTCCATCAAGTCGATCATGCGAGTCATCTGGAAGTACAACAACACCCGATGCCCGCCGTTCTTCAGCTCCCGGAGGAGTTGATCCAACTTGGCCAGCTTGCCAGAGTCGGTGACGAATCGGCGCATCGAAGGAATCGAAATGTGGGTATACCGCGCCTTCTGAGACTCGGGCTTGGGCAACATGTCGGAGAGAGGGAAGTTCTCCGGCTCAACGTCCTTCTCGAGCAGTTTCTCTTCCAGCGACTCTTCGAGTGGGAACAGACAAGCTCGCACATCCCCATTGAACATGGTCAGCTGCCGCTCCGTGAGCGACGACTGGTCAAAAGCGCTGATCTCGATCGGCGGAGCGGATGCCTTGGGACGAGCTGCCGGTTCCAGGACGGAATAGCCTTGGTCCGCAAGATATTCTCGGGAGATGTTGCACAATTTGCCCAGGTTCGAGTTCGCATCGAGTTCCGCCAGCGCCGGTCGAGGACTGTTGTCGACAATGTTGAACATGGCATGTACTGGCGGCTCGGCGTCCGAATCCTCGTAGACAGGCAGGACCCGGCGATGATGCTTCTTCAACTTCATGGCACGCTCAAAGGTCCCCGTCTCTCCAATGGCAGATGCCTCGCCCACCGAAGTGTCGACAAAGCGGAGGAATGAAAAGGCATCGTCATGCTCCATGGACGATTTGATATTGTCGGCAGTCCAAATCCTCATCAAGCCACTCATCTTGTCCGCTCTGAAGCCGGCGCGCCGGAAGCCCGCCTGGGGATTGCTCGGGCCTGCAATGTCAAGTCGGCCTACATCGTTGCACAACACTCGTGGCAAGTCATACTTGATCGGATTTCGGACGGAATAGGCCAACTGCACGAAATAACCCTCACGAAGGAAGGACGCGGTCTCGGCAAAGGTCGACATGGAGAAGGGTGAGGCCGTGTCCGCTCGTTCAAAGAGATCGGGATGATTGCAGACCTTGCGGAATTGCATGACCAGGTTCATCAACGTCGCCGTGTCCTGGTCGTCACCCAACGTGGCCTTCTCAATCAGGTCCATGACGCTGATCTTACTGCGAAGGTTGGCATAGTAGGCACGCTGCCGGTACGTGAGGTCGCAGAACACGTCTTTCTCCACCTTGTCGCCCAGTTCCTTCTGCACATTGGACTTGATACGACGTAACATGAACGGTTTGAGGATCATGTGCAGCCGCTTGAGTTGATCTTGGTTGAGCTTGGTGTTGCTCTGCGCATGGCTTTCAATGTCCTTGGAGAACCAATCGCTGAACTCGTCATGCGAGTCGAACAGCGTGGGCATGATGAAATGCAACAACGCCCACAACTCTTGCATGTTGTTCTGGATCGGTGTGCCAGTGAGCAACAGACGGTTGCGACACTGAAATCCGAGCAGTGTCTTCCATCGTGAACTGCTCGACGACTTGATAGCTTGAGCCTCGTCCAGAATCATGTACTGCCATCTGATCTTCTGGAAGTACTGGGCATCCTGCACCACCAGTTGATAGGAAGTGACCAGAACATGGAATTCAGAGTCCTTGTTGTAGGTGACGTGCTTACGATCCCAGAACTTCCGCAACGTCTTTCGATCCTTTGCATTGCCCCAGTAAGGGAGCACCTTAATGGCCGGCACGAATCTGGTAATTTCTTGTTCCCAATTGTGCAAGGTTGAGGCTGGTGCAATGACCAGGAAGGGACCCCAAATGTTGTGCTGTTCTGCAAGATATCCCATGACCGAGATGGATTGCACCGTCTTGCCGAGACCCATTTCGTCGGCGAGAATGCCGTTGATACCTTGTTCATAGAGGTTGACCAGCCAATTGAGGCCTTTGAGCTGATATCCCTTGAGCTGGGCCTGCAGCATTTTGGGTTGAGCGACTTGAACATCTCCAGCCATGGTCGGGTTTTGGAAATTCATTTCGTCCGAATCGAAGGCCGCCATCGGGTCTTCGCCGTTGAAGTTTCTCGCCTTGTCCTGTGCATCTTGCAAGGCGCTGGCTGCATTGGCCGCGGCTGCTTTCCGCAACTCCGAGTCATCATCGGCATCAAAGTCGAGATCCTCAAAGTGCGTGACCTTGTGGTTGCCATGCTCATCGGACAGTGCCACATCATCCATGCCCCGGTCTCGATCAGCATCGGCAGGCCGCTCCCTCTCACCTGGGGTGGCCACGTCAGGGTCGTCGGTGGCTCTCTCCACCTCATCAGTCTTGATCTTGCGGCCGATGAAATGGGAGTAGAGCTCGGTTTGCGAAATGAGAAAGTTAAGCTTCCGCTTCTGTCTGTTGGCTTCTCGGTCTGCTTCGGCCTTCTTGGCGTCCTCGATCTCCTTTCGTTCCGCCATGCGTCGAAGATCACGCTCCTCTCGCTCATTGCGCTTCCAGAAAGACATCATCTCACGCATGACTCGTTTCGCTCGAGCTTGAGTATCTTTCATGCTCTTGTTGGTCCGTTCTTGCCATTTTCGAGCTTGTTTGCTGGCGAGGATGGCCGTCTTCCGCAGATTCTCTTGTCGTATGCTGAGCGACATTTGCTTGAGCTTGTACACCTTCGGGATGTCCTTCCTCGCGAGATCTCGCCAAATTTGCTCATAGATTTGATTGTAGCCTTTGGACTCGTAGTTGACCGTATGCGCAGCCGCAGCAGCAGCCGCTGCAGCGGCGGCAGCGGCGGCGGCGGCCTCTTCTTTCTGCTGTGCCTTCTTTGCTTTGGCGCTGGGCTCTTTCTTTGTCTCCTCCTTGGGAGCAATCTGGACGAGAGCATCTCGTTCCATGGCAGCGTAAGCAGCCTCGGCAGCATCTTTCTCTGCTTGCTTCTTCTCCTTGGACTTCTTCAGACGAGCCGAAGGACCGCCCTCTCTCTTGGTGCGTTTCTTCGGCGGCTCGGCAGGCTCGGGCGATCCAATTTGGAAGGAGGATGTAACGCCGCCCTCGTAATTGGGAGCTGGCGCGGAGACCTCCATATCTTCTTGCACGGGAACACCCTCGAGAAGTTCGGCGGTTTGTCTGATCCGTGCTTGGGACCTCTCTGCCTGTTTCAGGTATTTCTGCGCCTCTTCTTGATCTTCCGCTTCTCTTGCGCGTTGCTCGAGTTCCTTCAACTTCTGGGTCTCGTTCTGAATTTGTTGTTCGCGGCGGCGCTTTCTCTGCATGTCCTTTTTGCGCTCTTTTTCGGTCTGAATGTCTTTGTCTGCAATCTCCTTCGCAGCGATCGGCTCGAACCGCTCACGGTAGCGCTGTGCAGCACTGGTTGCATGGGTTTCGAAGGATTTGATGAAGGACTCGAGAACGAACTCTCTGCGGCGCTGCAGTGTGGGGTTAGCGCGACGAACACACGGGTGCGGTAGAACAGATGCTTCACTCACCTTACGCTTGCGCAGTTCGCCTTCGGCAATATCGGCAGCTCTCTTCCTACTTCTCTGCTTGAAACGTTCCTTTTCTGCATAGAATACACCATCTTCTGCGTCGCTGAGAGGGCCTTCCTCAATCATTGCAAGAGCTTTCAAGATCTTCTCCGCCTCACCTTCCGTGGGGATTTTGCGTGGATTTGAGGGTGCAATCTGCTTGCGCTGCACGTGCACCACTTCCGTCTTGGGCTGCACTTTCGTCTCTCCGTTAGTGAGAGAGCGGGCAGAATCCACGTCTGGCAATTTAGGCACTGTTGGCACCTCAGTCAAGGGTTTGCTTTCAGCCACGGGCTTCAACGGCGGTGTTGGCAGCCGTGGTGGCTTGACGTCTGCAACTCTTGTCGAGGGTTCATTGCTTGAAGGACCCAAGATGCTTGCGAAGGACATGGGATTGCTCGCTCGATCAGGCTTCTGAGGAACCAAGTCAGCAAGTGCTTGGGCTGCATGAAAGTGGCGGCTTACATCTTTGGACTGAGGGCGTGACTCCATGGCGCTGTTCTCGGCCGCTCTGCCGTTGGACAGACTATGTTGCTCGCGCGTTGGGGATTGCAAAGCTGACGGCGACGGGCCTGATGGGTGAGCATGTGTCGGGGTGCCATCATATTGGGACATCATGTTTGACTGAGGAACAAGACGACCGGAATATGTTCTCTGCAACGGGTATGATGGGCTGGATGCCAATGGAGGGTATTGAGATCCTGGACCCATCGACGGAGGCGGCAAAGCGTTCGGGGCAGGTAAGGGTGATGCCAGCGTTGGCGGTCGATTGTGATGTGGGCTTTGTACCAGAGATGCTGGAGGGAATGGAGGCGGGGTCTGGATGAGGTGTTGAGGAGGTAATTGGAATGGCTCATGACCAACTTGGAAGAAGGGGCGATTTGGATGTGTTGGCGAGTAAGGCGGATATTGGTTCGACTGCGTGGGCGATCGAGCCGTGAAGGGCGTTGATCCCGACATTGTTGGTATTGTCGCGATGGTTGCTCTTTGATCTTCTCCTGCCTTTGGCCCTTGCTTGGGACTGTTGATCTCTGACCTTCAGGTCTGGTATCAGAATTTTATCTTAGCCCTTTGTCGCAGTCCCCATAGCCTTGATTGTGGTATTGTAATATTGTGTCAAGCAGACAAGATAATTTTTTGAGTGCGGTCAAAAGAACCGCAACGAAGATCGTGGTGGGATGATTATGAGGTCTTGTCTTGTGGTCCGCTCTTTCTAACTTTCACGATAGGTTGCCTGGTACGGTCAAGTCAGGTGAAGTCGTGTCACCGTGGTTGACCGTTCAAGGGGCTGGCGACATTGTCCACTTAGGCGGTGGTGATAGATTGTCGCGTAGGAACAGAGGACGATTGTGGTGGTGGTGATGGTAGGATGGAGGGATGGGTGAGGGAGTGATGAAGTTGAAGATAGGTGGCGTCGCAGGTAGACATGATCAGTCACAGTTGGTGCATCACAGCCCAAGCTCGTCTGCCGGATGTCTGGATCATCTCAAAACGCGACGATTCCGGCGTTAAAGTCCACACCTGGCAGAACATCGAAGTGAATGCAGGTCACGTGTTAAGGTTCGATATACGCGATTTCTATATGGAGTGTTTTATCTGGACGGTGGGCATTGCCAGCGAAGATGTTTCTGCCTGTATCTGGTCTGCTTTTGATGCATATTTGATGGTCCCGAGCCCTGTCTGATGGTGGTGTGAAAACGCTGCTTGCAGTTACGGGCTTGACGGGCGACTTCTGCTGGCTGATGATCCACACGGCGTTCTGCCAGTCACTTGTTCCTTCGCCCAAAGTTTTGAGACGCCCCGAAAAGCTGCGCTGCCCGCAACCGCAACCGTCCTCAGCTGCTTCTGCCCTGCATGCCCCGCCAAGACAAGAAATGTACTATTAGAGAGCGCTAATAACCACAGCGGGAGGGCTATGCCATATCCGGTAATAGATAGCATGTGTTAAGGCAGCTAGTTACCTCTTATACTCTATTGCCTTCCTCAGATGGCTTTTCGTGCAGACCATTTTACTATCTTTCAGTGAATACACAGGCGTCGCTTCGGCCACCTTACTACCTGGGCAGCAATTGATATCTAGATCTGTGCAGGCAAGACCGAGATAGCTGCCTCAATGGCGCCCAAAAACAAGGAGGCAGGGAAAGGCGATAAGGCCAAAGCCGGCTCTGGAGGGGGAAAAGGCAAAGGAAAGGGGAAAGAGGAGGATGGGTCAACCGGGGGAAGTGGTAAGCTGAAGGCGGCTCAGTCAATTAATGTCAGACACATCCTGGTACGTGGATTTCCAGTTGATCAGTCCTTTTGCTCGTCGAATGTTGCTCAGTTAATAACTCTCTGTGTGCAGTGCGAGAAGCACTCTAAGAAAGAAGAGGCGCTGGCCAAATTGCGTGCTGGAGCAAAGTTTGATGACGTGGCGAGGGAATTTTCAGAGGACAAGGCCAGACAAGGTACTAGACCGATTCATCTGTCCATCAGCACCCGCCCACTCCGAATCCGCCAGACAACTTGAAGCTGACTGAGCTGTGATGATTGTTTAGGCGGAGCCCTGGGCTGGAAGGTCCGGGGAAGTTTACATGGAGACTTTGAGAAAGTCGCCTACGAACTGGAACCAAGCACAACAGCCAATCCCAAATGTGAGTTTCCCATCTCATTGTCACTAGGACCGTCAGCAGGATCTACCTATACAAAAGAACCAGACTCGAAATGAGCGATCCAACACTTTTAAGCCGCCAAAGCTGACAATCCCATGTCGAATCGGTGAAATGACCGTAATGCAAACCCCTCGCTAACCGAGTGGACAGATGCTGAAGTGAAAACGAGTCATGGCTATCATATCATCATGGTCGAAGGAAGGAAATGAATGCTCCTGACTGACAACGGGAGCTCAGTGAATGAGTGGGCTGGCCACGGTGACATCTGCAAGTACATCCAAGGCAAGGTGGTCAAAATGGTGCTTTCTCTTTCGCGGAGACCCAGTGACAGGCAGGACCACGACATTCACTGCAGGTTCTTTGCCGGAGTCCGCCTTGGATGGAGTGCGACTGAACTTGGTAACCCCCGGATCAGAGTTCGCATAGCCGGGCGGACTTGGTTGATCTTGGGGAGGCAAGGCGCCGGTGCTATGGAGAGCGACCTGCGCTTGATCAGATTTTGCCTTCTGACCGAGGCGTTCTGCAAGATCGAGGTTCAGAAATCCGCTTGACCTTGGCTCTTCTTGTGCTGGGGACAGGTGCTGAGACGTGCTGAGGGAAGTCGGACGTGGCAATTCGACCAGGTTCAGGATACCGCTAGAGCGAGCTTCTTCTGCCTCGGGAGGAGCTGGAGCGTGCCCATTCGGCGATAGGGCTCTCGAGGAAGGGGTGTGGATGGATTTTTCGTCCACACTCGAAGACACTCGTCTCATGGTGTCGGGTGAAGAGTGGCCGTTCTGTGTCGGCCCCTCCGGAACATGGTTGGCGCCCAGTCGTCTTCTCTTGGAACGCACGCCCTCCAATTCCTCTAGCCGTTTCTCCATCGACCAAGCAGCGTCATCAACCGCGACCACACGGTCTCTCAAGCGGACCTGTTCATCGTAGTTGCTTCCGACCCTGTTCTCAATTTCATGAAGCCTCCTAAGCATCTCCTTCTCGCCTTGGTAAAAGGGGGCCAGAGCCTCGCGCAAGATGCGAACCTCCCTCTCCCACATCTGTCGTTCTCTTTGAAGAGCAGTTTCCCTGTTTCCACGTTCACTCTGGATAGTTTCCTCCAAACGCTTGATTTTGTCACTTAGTTTCTCCAAAATGGCATTGAGGGCAGGTTTCTTGTCATTGATAGTGTCATGGACATGGTAGCATGCTTGGTGGCCGCATTCACAAATATTTCCGGGAGCGCCACGATTGTGGTGGAAGGACTGGCAGGAACATTGTTGATTCGGTGCCGAAGGGTGCAGAAGGAGATACCGGCATTCGCCGGTCGGTTGAGGGCGCGCATTTTCGGAGGTCAGGCGGAGAGGGCGATGCTCGTGAGCAAAAGTGGCGGGAAGCGACAACGAGTTGGAGCCAAACATCGAGGCCACGATGAGGTACAAACACCCTCAAATACGACTCCCGTTTGGAAATATGAGAAGATGCCGGCGATGCATGAAAGATGCTCTTTAGATGGTGTCGAGAAGAGGCCTCTCCTCCTTGATGGAGCGGAGGCTATACACCAAATATGGTGTTTCCTGATGTATGCCAAACTGTACGGATATGATGTTTGATGCGAGCCGTCAGACTTCCGTTATCGCTGGCTCTCTGCCTGTGACAGGTCAAGTTACGGTGAGTGCGGGCACGCACGCAGCTTTGTCGAGATAGATTGCTACCACGGCGCAAAGCTCTTTCGCAAAGAACTCCAGCTGAACGTGTACCACAAGTAAATACTCATCGTAGCTGGATCAGGTCATAGAGGTAGGGCGAAAAGAGAGTCTCGAGGCAAGAGCCTGGCGACAGCGCTGGTCGAAGAAGTATCGGTGGCCCAGAAATAGGTTATCAGGGTCGGTGGATATCGATTGATGGAGAGCGAGGAGGGTTCGTTATCTGCGCAAAGTCTCGGTTCTAACGAGGACTTATGCCGGCAAGACAGTGTCAGGGAGACATGTGCCGGGGAGCGCAAAGGCAGATGGACCTCTTGGAGAGGTGACAGCTCGAATCAGAATGAGGAGGACAATCGGCGGAAAAGGATGTGCAGGAGGAGAGACATGGATCGGAAGAATGGCCAGGACTGTCCTAGAGGGCTAGCTTCCAACGCTGCCCGACATGGCGGACTGCTTCCTGGATGAGTTGGGAGGTTGTTGATAAGGCTAGTGAGGCTGCGTCGCAATGCGGACCGGAAGAACGTGGGATCCCGTCGACCAGGTTGTCAGAAGGAAACTCAATGCCCACCCCACTTGACTTGGGAGTCAGAGGCCGATTGTTCTGGAGGATTTCTGGTTGTACAGAGCCTGTAGAACTTGAAGCATGAGAGTTGTTCGAGAAAGCGGCGGGGATGGCAGTGTGCTCGGTGGCAGGTAGGAGACACAACTGGGACGAGATGCGTGGGAGGGAAGACGTGTACGGTGTATCTGAGATACTGAGGTGGCACAAGTGGTAGTCAGATACGATGACGATGCGCAGTCACACCGCAGCTTCGCCTTTGTGCTACCATCACCATCATCATCACCAGGTGTCGGGTAGTACAACAAATCCCCCAGATATGAAAGGGATGCAGGCGCCAGTGGGGATCGTCTACTATGGTGGTTCCCAACAACCGCAGCGTAGGTACCGTATAACCCCATATCTGCCGGGTTCCTGCCCAGTGTCCACTACCCCCCTGGTGAGTATCCTGCTACTAGTACCTTAGAAGAGTGCCTAGGTACTACCTACCTAGAGAAGTACCCCGTCAGTAGCCTACAGGCCCTGTAGTTTTCCTGTATGTCGGTATCGAGCATCTTTATCTAGTGCGACCTGGATGGCCGCTAATAACGAGGGATGCACCCTACTGTGCCAGTTGTGTCAAGATACTAGTACATGTAGGCAACCAAATTGGTGACCATACAGTATCTGCAGAATATCAATCATGGTCCGGTGGCCACAAGCATCCATGGTCGTTTTCATCCACATGACACCTCTTCTTCGAACTTGATTCCCTCAACGAAGCATGGGGGTTGTGCACCGTGGTGGGAAATGGGTTGGGGGTCGATTACGTTGACTTATAGGACTTGGGGGAGGCAGTGCAGTGCCATGCAGTGGGAGGAGCTGGGCTCCTTAGGCTCCTTAGGCTAAGGTACAAGGGCATTTTAGGCATAATTTTATTCAAGTTCAAGTTCTGCAGACTGCCATCTGGAGTGTGGAGGAAGAGAGGAGCCCGGGGGTTTGTTTAGGTCCTTGGCCCCGGGCTGATCACGACCCGGGAGACCCGGGAGCTGCCTTTTAATGGGACTGATGGGATTGATGGGACTGTCCCCGTACTACTACTAGTATCTCACCCATGTCAGTTCAGAATGAATAATGAATAATATCTCGTACTAGTAATCCATCGACAGGCCACGCGCAAATCCCGGAGGATGCCACGATATCCATTGCACCCTAATTGACCTTCCTTCACTTGATTCCAAGGTTCTTTTCCGACATGCCTGTTACGTACTATCCACTGCTTTTATTCGTTGATATCTATACAGTTCGCCCATAAGACCGATGGATATCCCATACCTTATTATTGTTCGCTTTGTATCTTCATCAATGCTCATCTACATGCTCAATGAGTAACTTGGAATTGCGCGTGCCGTCTTCGGGGAAAGTGCATCTGACCACTCATGCACCGCACCGCACCGCACTATCATTTGCTCACGTGCCATGCATGACATAATCACGGTGAGCATCCCCGGATCCTCGGCTTCGACTGCGTCAATATTTGGCCACTGCTTGCGTGGCTGAGGCCTGCCCTGTGTGAGAGAAGCTTCTACACAGTACTGTGTACTACGTAGGTGCTCTGTAGGTACTTGCGGTCCTTGTGGTACTAATCGCCAAAATATTGCTCTTCTGCAGAGGTGGACGCTCTTCTCCTTCTTCAACTCACTGCATAGAATACCACAGCGCTGCGCTTTTCCTATCGATATCGACGACGATCAAACACCAACACCACTTACTGCCACCGCGTCACACTCTAAATTAAGATCAAACAAGACAAAGAAAGATTCAGCCTCGTCCTCACAACCCCGCAAGGCTCCCCAATCCCTGCACCCTGCACCTGAATCAGCCGACGTAAGGCCACGAACATCTTGCTACCACCGCCTTACCTACCATACCCTGTACCCGTAGGTGCGATTCCTTCAGGGGTTGACACGATCCCCCAACTCTGAGATACCCCAAAGGCGATGGCCGACGACAACAACAATAAATACCAACCTCCGCCAGGGCCGCCGCCGTCGTACCCTCCACAAGTCCACCACGATGCCGGCCCTTACTATCCACCGAACGGAACCAACGACCAGAACCGCGGGCCCAACAATGGCTACTACCAACCGCCTCCGCCGCAGGGCTGGGGACCAGGCAGTCCAGGAGGCCCCTGGCCTCCGCAGGGCCAACAGCCGTACGGACCGCCCCAGCCGGGCATGTATTACCAACAGCCGCCTCCGCCGGTAGTATACTATGAAGACAGAAGAAATGTTGACCCTGCCGCCGAAGGATGCTGCGCTGCGCTAATGGCTTCGCTGGCGTGCTGTTGTTGTTTGGACATGTTGTTGTGGTAATCCGAATTTTGAAGGGGACTGGGACATTGCAATGCATTGCCAAACAGGAATAGGTGGCGGCGCATACTGCAGTACAGCACAGCACACTGGGGAGTTTGTTTTTTGGGATTTGTTTACGTGCCGTGCCTGCGGATGCATGCATGCATGCATGATACGGTATGTGCACACGAAGGACTTGTCGAAAGACGATCTGAGATTCCATCGTCAGTTCGAAGACCTCCTTCTTTCCGAGCGGGTTCTCGGTCTGGCTGAGCCAGTTTCGATGTGCCCAGTACAGTACAAACATGATACCTTTGGGATGAGTACAGTACTTATTTCAGAGATTGAGTGGCGTTCCCTCCCCAACATCATCTTTCCCGATATTGTTTTCCGACATTCAATGTTAATAGCCAATTCAATATCAACCCGAGGACTCTTTTTCTGCAACACTGTGACTCTTCTCGTCTCAAAGCCTTCAATGTCTTGCCCTCTTTGCTCGTCACTCTGGGATTTCGCTGGCACGGCCTGACTCAGACGCCAATGGTCACACGCTTTGGCTGCCGGAGTTCGTTGGCCACCGGAGTTCACGGTTGACTCAAAAAGCCTGGGTGAGTCAAAGTGTCCAGTCGCAATGGATCAAAATCGTAGGCTTGGGTCTTTCTGCGACCGAACTTTCCACGCATCGCTTTTTGGCAATATCCTGGTATTGCTTCACGAAGGGCTTGGACAGACAAGAGTTTCTGTTCGCTCACCAAGAGCCAAGTACGTACCAGAGCTTCGAAACGGGAACAAGACAAGAGGCAGCATTGTCAAACACCAGCGACTGCTGCGCCCTGAACACCAAGCCCTTTCCGACCTTCTCTCCAAAAGTCTCGAAAGTTCAGTTCAGCACTTGGACGCCCTGGTTGAACAATACACACGGATACACCCTCGCAGGATCATCTATCTGCAATGTCAAAAAGCCCAGCAGCGCCAATCCTCCACAGTCAGGGTCATACCTCGGTCCTGCTCCTGCCTTTTCTCTTCCTTCTACTTCTATTGCATCTGCCAGACTTCGCCTTCGGCTCTCCAGTCGCCGTCACCGCAGGAAACCTGACAATGACAATAATATCCCCGGCCATGCGATCCCGATCCCGCGCCACACCCGCCGACCCCACTGCCCTCTGCTCGTTTCACAGTTGGAACAACAACCCTGAGTTCTGTATGTTCACTTGCAGCATGGCGCTGGCGCTCGTCGGGGTCCAGATGAGCGTCTGGTCGTGTCGGCGTATAGCGAAGAGACGCCGGGCGTGGAGGAGCACGCAATGTGCGAAATGTCGTTGCCAGCTTGGGGTTTGAATCAGGACTCCAGACATGACGGTGTGACGAGTGCAGTGGTTGGTATGGAAAGGTTCGATTCGATCTAGGAGCTTGACTTGCCTCCCGCACTGGCACCTGGCAATCTCGACCTGACGATGCCCATCTACGGGGCGAGGGTGACGAGATATTCTCAACTACACTCCAAACATACAGAGTAGTTTGTCAAAATGCTTTACATTTTAGCATCAGCACTATGATCAGCACTATGGTCCATATGGAACCATCACAGATGGTGCTCGAGTTGGTAGCTCCTGGTAGTACAAGCAGTCGATCTCAGCAGACTGTCCACGTCATTCAGCCATTCCACTAAAACACACCCTTTTCTGTTTCAGCACTGTCTGCATTCCTCACTTCTTCACCACGAGAGCCGCATCCGGATACACCTTTTGTACTTCAGAGGTCATTGTTGGCATGGGGGTTGCGTCTTTTGCAGCGTAGGAGCCAATCGCCGTGGCCAGCGCGAGGCGAGACTCTGGCGCAACAGGCGTCCAATGACCACTTCGGGGCAATATCGTGATCTCACTATCCTTGCCAAGGTAGTCCCCTAATCCATCCAAGCACATTGCTCTCGAACACGCCTGTTCTTGCTCGCCCCAAATGACATAGGTCGGTGCCTTCACGCTTCCCTTGACTAGGTCCGCAAACAAGGGATTCGAGACTGATGACCGTCGGCGGCCGAGAGAGTTTGGTTGCGACGCCGCTTCTTCCAACGAGTACAAGTCTGCAAGAAGTTCAAGGGATTTTGTCCAAGGTCTCCAGGCAGCGCCATCGCGGTAGTAGCCGGTCATATTCCAGAAGGCCTGTTTGGGAGACTTGGCTCGTTCAAGGACAGAGGGCCCGTATGTATCCGCATCTTTGCCATCTGTCCCAAGTAGCGTCGACGTCTTACACTCTTCAGGGCCTGGCCCGAAAGATGCCGCCATGGATTCCTGAACGCGATATTCGGTCGAGCCTCTGCCGTAAGCCAGGCGATGAGCTCCTCGCACAAACGAGTAGTTTCCGGCAACTCCCATGTATTTGACAAAGATTGGTGGTAGGTTGAAGACGAAAATGTAACCCATCAACAATGTCTGCCGCAACAGGGGTCTGAGGGTGTTCAAGGACTTGGAGAGACATCCGAAGTTGCGTCTGGGGGAATGCTTGAATTGCTTGAAGATCTTGGAGGCAGAGTTCAGCAGCCGGTCTTTGTTGGCCAAGGCATGTTCGACCTGTCCAAATACCAAATCAGCTCGATTCCGACAAGGACCAAAAACTGACAGAACTTACGTGTGGAGCGTTAGTCATAGTAAATCGATCTGCTATGCATGGAGCTTCCGACGCAAGGCGAAATCCGAGTGCACAACCCCAATCATGGCCAACAATGAATGTGCGCGCGGAGTCAGGAGCATCGGCGGAAATGTACTTCTCGCGCATGGCAATCACAAACTCCGCAAGAGCTTCCAAAACCTCGGTGTCGTATTTCTTGAAACTGTCACTCCCTCCATATCCTGGCAAATCGACGCAAACTATGGTGGCTTCATTGGACGGTATAGCGGGCTCTTGCATCAAGTGTCTCCACATCATTGAGCTGTCAGGGAAGCCATGCAGAAAGACGATCAAGTTGTCAGAGGAAGGGCCATGTCGGTTGCTGACATAGTGTAGCTGGAGGCCGTTGCGCAGGGTGTAGAAAAAGTGCCTGAAGCCTGGAAATGGTGCTTTGGAAAGATTCCAGAACCGATCTCGAGCTAAAGGGCGAGAATGTCAGCAATCCAGCCCCTCTTACCCATGGTAAATGGACAGACCGATGGCATATTGGAGTTTGTCTTGCTCGGAATCTTTCTTGAAGAAGGTGCCACTTCTCACGAACAAGCCCAGGAACAAGAACCAGTTGAAAAGCCCGAATGCATAGAACGACACGCTTTTGAGAGCTTTGCGGAAGAAGCTCGAAGCCATAGTAGCCGACAGCGAGATTGACGTAGAGAAGAGGAATGTGAGAGGAGGTCAGGTCAGGTCAGGTCAGGTCAGGTCAGGTCAGGTCATCTGAATCGTCAATTGGAGCCCTTGCCTCGTAGGCACGCGAGCTACAATCTGTGAGGGAAGAAGAGATTTCGCCAGGGTGGTCAGTTGTCTCGGCGAGGCGTCACGGATCAGCGTGAGGGCTGAGGTGGACAAGTGGGAGAAGGATAGACTCAAAGGAGTACGGAGCAGTCTGTGATCTGACGGTTCAGTTGGAAAGAGGCATCCACGTGGTGTAGGAGTGATGGTGGTGAACGATCATGGCTGGACGATGAGGGCCTGCGCCGTTGACATTGTAAGCATGATCACCGCTAGCATTGAAGCATTTCTGCAATTACTACTACTAGTAGTATGCCGATCTCCAGCCAAGCATGATTCCAATGTCCATGTTGTACAGCCGTCGCGTGTGGTGTGTTCCAGGTTTCCAGCAACGGGCAGAATATGATTGACAGCTGGAGCGTGTCACAATGCCATGTTGTACACTGCAGTAGTAGTAGTAGTAGTAGTACGTACAGTAGTGGGCGCAGGACTAGCAAGAGATGGGCAGAGAGAGAGAGAGTGTGTGTGGATTGGTGGGGATCTTGTCTCCTCGCATTTCAGGGTCCCTTCCCTTAATTGCAGTCTGACACTACAGAATCCCATACTCAGACAACGAGATGCATTATGCCAATGCGTATACATCCTCGAACAGCCCAAGGTCAAGCTGTTCGTTCTTATCTCCCATCTCACAGTCCCTTCGTTCCAAATGGATGGCAGTTGACAACCATCGCCGATGATCAGATCACCACCGACACCGTTTTCAATTTGTCCTCCTTCGAAGCTCTGGGAATGCCATCCTCCCTGACGATCCCCTCCTCCAATCGAGCCTAATGAGCCGTCTCGCCCCTCAGATGTTGAAGATCTCCAACTGGCAAGATTGACAACAAGGAGAGGTCGACGGGCGGCCTAGAATCACAACCAGATCTTCTGGCCACATGAATGGTCATGGATGAAGAAAGGGCACCTACCACATAATCCTAAATGCTCGTCTCACACCGCCGTTGGGGCTGGGGAAATTCTTGCATTTTTCTTCCTTCTGGCCCGAACCTTTTTCAGAGCATAAGAGCCAGTATCATCAAGAACAAGCCCCAGGTGACCACACAGACCGCCGTCAGAAGCCAGGGGATATTGGCGGATGACACTGCATCCCGTCTCCTGTTGGTGCTGCTGGACACACTATACATCCGTTGGGCCCGGCACATATTGCTCTGATTGACCCTCTTCTTGTATTGTGACCTGGTGGTTGTACCTGAGCTAACCATATCAGCGAGGTATCTAGATTCATGAGGGCCAGTTCTCATACAGAAACTTTTATCAAGGGAAAGTCAAGGCTCTTGTTTTGCGGCTTGCTATTGAGTTTGGAATGAGCACGACGTGTCTGACTGCTTGTTGCAGCTTCTCTTGCAAATCAAGAAGGGACTGGAGAGTCAACCTTGTGGATAACTTCGTTGTCAATTCTTCCTTGTGCGAGATGCCGTCGTCAGGACTTCTGATATTATCCAAGTGTCCCAATTTCTATCGCTTTATGGTCCCCTCAACAAGCTAATGACATCGAAAATGCTCTGTTCCTTCACTCGAATCTCGGGCAGCCGAGATGACTCGCTGCAACTCAGTCAGATCAAGAGCCAGAGTATGTTGTGTGAGTCAACGGCGGATATTGTATCGTCACTTAGCATCCACCCCTGACTTGGTGATCACTGCAGCAAATTCGGACATCCCTTCCACGATATCATTCAGGGAGCCTATCCCTATCTCCAGGCATCTCATTCAAGACATAGGGACCTGTTGCGGGCTCATTCCTATGTTCCAGTGTTTTCTCCGGTCTCCTGAATAACTTTCGCAGCTTTCGTTTGAATAGGGCCAGGTTGTTGTGGAAGATTTGTGGGTTTCTTTTGTACAGATAGAAGTTGATGCAACCGCCAACAACGATGATGCAGACTATGAGCGGCACTCCCCATGTCACGCTCGAGACCATATTTGCCTAGTCAGCAGCCCAGATTCGCAGTCGAGAACGGATGATATGCTCGACTTTCTCGGCGTCTGTACGGGAGGGTCACTCAGTGATGTTGTCGATGATGATATATATGGTGTTAGGTGCTGTGAAAGTCTCTGTTGCTGCATGAGGTTGAGGGGGAAAGCCACAGTATATAAATATACTGTTCAGGCTTGTCACCCGGGCTGTTAAGATGTTGGACTTCAGCACAGCGTCACCCAGAACGCTATCCAGCGGAGTAGCCGGGATGACACCAGTCGCGGACGATGCAATGATTCTGCGCAGCCAGGTCTTCCGAAGCAGAGTGAAGACAAAAGACGAAATTGAGTCAGCAGCTGTTTCAAAGCTATATGGTTGCTCACCATCTCGTTTGTGGCGATGGCGTTCGATCGTTCAGCACCCGAAGAGACCGCAAACACTCTTGCTTGCAGCCCACTTGGCCCGGTCAGATGGAATCAGAAGCCACAACATTGAGAGATGATAAAGTGGTACAACACTGAGATACAAGTAAGTCACCGCAGCCTCGTCGCCAAGCCTTGTGTTTGACCGCGCAGGTGAAGGAAAATACCAGTTGACATATCAAAGTCGCAGAATTCCAGTCAACACTGACCAACCTCGGCCTCTAGACTTACTCCCACTTGCCAAACCACCCCCGAGGTGGGGGAGTGGTATAAGCCCTGCACAACTGGTGTTCATGCCTCATCAGAGAGCGGTTGAACTCGAAAACTAGTGTTCGGAAGAACCCTGCTAAGGATAACATCTGTATAGGCGGTGGTTTCGCTCCCTTGAACCTCAGTAGCCTGATCAGCTATGGGCTTCAAGACAAAGTTTTTTGGCCCGGGTTCAACTGTGGACTTTTTGTGTCTTTTTTGTATCACAGATGCGTGGGATTTTGTTTTGTTTTGTGCGTGTGCGGAATCTGTGGGAGGGTGCCAGAATTGTTCACTGACTATTCACCGCAAAGAATGGCTTGACTGAACATGTCACACGGCTATAGCCAGGCCAGCTTCTTCACCGGGCGGACGTCGTGTCTACAGCACCACACTCTTCTATATCTCGATTACAGGAAGTGAGGAGAGAGTAATCCTCAGCTCATATGCCACTGCTTGAAGAATAGATGGCTCTGCAGCCAGACGGAGCTCACTGTCTGTCTAAGGTGAGAGAACATTGATATCAGCTACTAGGTTTGGTTTCCAGCTGCTCTGCAAAGAAACCCATTGCGATGCCTTCTGCGTTTTGAGCATGTGAGATATCAGGAGAAAGAAACAAAGCCATGGTTCTCAAGTCTCTGTTTATCTCCATGGGATATGCCTCACTATATCTATATGTGAGCACCTAATAGCTGCAGCAGATCTCAGCACCACCAGTCTCAATCATGCCGTATCTGTCCTACAAAGAGACTTTCCCATTCTAAGCACGTTTGCAGCTCATTGACCGTTGTGTCTACCTCTCTCCAGCCCTGTCCAGTCATCGAGTCCATGCCTGTCCAAGCGATCACATATGTCACAAGGGATCTCAGCTCCCTCATCTCAATGTCCACTTCCATTGCTACGAGCATGCCGAGTCTGCTTTTTTGTCTGAGCTCAGAGCCGGGCATTGAACCCTTCTCAGTTGTATGTGCCTCAGGCCTTCAGCCTACCGGCATGCATAGGCATAGGCATCGGCATCGGCATCGGCATTGGCATTCCGGCGCCAGGATTCATGAGGCCTCCAGTTTTCATATTCATGAGAGTCTTGAAGTCGGCACCAGCTTCCATGGCTTTCTCTGCCTTGCTTTTGCGAGGTGTCTTTTGCCCCGCGGACATGGCACTAGCTAGTTCGATGGGGTTGGCCATCTTCATCTGAGCAGCTTGCATCATCGGATTAGCCATCTTCATTCCTGGCATGCCATTCATGGCCATTGCTCCCTTCGCCAGAGCATCAACTCCCTTGGCAGCATCTCTGTCCCATCCATATCGGATGTAGAGATGCCATATAACCGCGACGAGGAAAAACCCCAGGGAGCCGAGAAAGAAGAAAACAGTGTTGTCTGTGACAGCGATATGCTGAGCATCGGCTGTAGCTGGTGCCACGCTACGGACCATGATGCGAGTCTGTTCTGCGAAGGGAGCCATGGTGCTCGTCATGAAGGCCTCATCGGTGGGGATCCGGCTTGTTGTGTCTGGGCGCCCAGGAGTGATCTCTGCGCTTCCTGGATATGGGTCGACGAGAGGGTGATCCCAGATCTTGGTGGCAGAAGTCATGCCTGCAAGCATGCACGACACGAGAACAACAGAGGAGATCCATGCAGCTGAGAAAGATGGCCGGCCGGCCCCCTGCGGCTCGGAGCAGGAGACGGGTGCAATACATGGTTCAAGCTCTGGTCCATCAAGGCTGTTCTGTGCCTGCGGCGGTGGAAGCCCGGTCGGATGTCTAGGCTCGTGGATACCACCGTCCTCGTCTGGTGCCAACTTCGACATACCAGGGACCTCAGTGGCGTGTGTCGTCAACAGGACACCACAAGTCGTTCCACCACTGCCGCCGCCTGGCTTTGGTTTCGGACTTCCACTTGGACCTGCTCCGCCACTGCTGCCACCACTACCACTACCGCTGCCACTGCCACTGCCACTCCCGGTGCCGGTACCGGCAGCATCATCAATTGAAACCGGTTCGAATGCCTTGTCATTCACGCTCGGTTGCACAGCAGTATAAGCCTCCAAGCCGTCTTGATGAGACATGTTGGCGTCGATCTTGTTCAACTCAGGAGCAAAGTCCATGGCGGGCTGAGGTGTCATTTCTCCAGTGGCCGACATGGGAAAGATCCGATATTTGGATATTTGAAGATACTCGAGATGTCCGAGGTTGATTGTGGATAGGTCGAGGTCTGTCTGTATGCCTGTTCGGCAAATTGATATCTTGATAAGATGATATTTCTATCTCAAAAGTTCTTGGATTCGGATATTGATATCGAGGATGGAAAGAAAGAGAGACTATTGAGCGACTCGAGACCCGATATATATATTCTGATTTGTCATTTGTTTGTCCTGTCACTTCCTTCTGGACGTCTTCACACTCCGTTTGTTCATGACCTGGCGTTTGTACGTCTGCAAGTCTTGGCTTCGAGGGGTGTCATGAATGTCAGACACACGCCTGCTATTGAACCGTTGTTTGACTGTCTCGATGTTTGATCTCGAGTCATCATCAAACGTCTGCGTTCAGGCCTGAGCGTTGACTGCTGCGCTAGTCTTCATCAATCCTTTCAAGGAGGCACCGTCTGGTCGAGCTTGTTCGTTCTCCCTCGGTGAGTGATGATGGATCTACTCTGATGAACCTTAGCGATTCCGCTGTATATACCCTCTACACTATGATACGGCATATGGTCACTTTTGGTTACAATTCGCTCTAGCCCGGAATGTCTCGCCCCTGACTCTCAGATTGATATATTTTATGACTCCACGACTAGTTGCATCTCGTTCAATCGATCAGGACGTTGATTGTTCTGTCTGGGCTACGTTGACACGTTTACTCATCGTTCGACAAGATAGGCCAAAGGGCTGTCTGATAGAGACGTACAGGCAGATGGTGAAATGGGGGTATAGAACTGTATATTTTCACTTTCATGCCCATAGCCACATTTTCCAATGGCGTCAAGCAGGACATGCCTCCACACCCTTTCCGTATACAACCAAACAGAAGATGACAATAGAGGAGGAGTCTCCTTCTTGTCGTCCAGCCTTGCCTTCATAGAACAGACTATTATCTTCCCTTCCGTCGCTGTGCCTGTGCCTTCAACTCCCCCCAAACCCAAACACCTCTTCGAAGACCCTCACCTCCCTTCCCTCATCGACATACCTAGCAAGAGCATGTCTCACGTCTCTTGCCAGACTGGGCGGTCCGCAAAGAAACACCGTTAGGGGATCCTGCGCCGCACGCCGTCGGTGGCTGGGGACAGCTGGGATCTTTCGTGGCGCAGTCGAGACGACATTGTCGCTGTCGTTGTCGCCGTTCTCTCCACTCGATGAGTTCGCCAGAGCGATGTCAATGATGGACTCGAGGTCCGGACGGTGACGGAGTCCGTGGACTCTGATCCCAGAATCCTGTTTCGTGACCAGAGCCTTGTCCCGATGCTCCCTCGGGTTCTTGTCATCATCCATATGATCCGTCTTGCCTGCCTCGTCGCGGGTCACGTAGATATCCACATCATTCTTCTGTTCAGCCCGAGCCGTTTCCAAGATGGATATTCCCCATTGCGCCGCAGACAGGGTCTTGACCATCCACACCATCTTGACCTGTCTTCCGTTGCCATTTCCATTTCCATTCCCATTTCCATTTCCATTTCCATTTCCATTTCCATTTCCATTTCCATTTCCATTTCCATTTCCATTTCCATTTCCATTTCCATTTCCATTTCCATT